TGAAAAAGAATTACTACAAGCAAAGATTGAGAATGACAATCTTATATCTCAAATCAATCAGAAAAACGAAAAGATTGAAGTTGTGCAATCAGAGGCTGCCCGCTTAAAGCAAAGTATGGATGACAAAACAAGAGTTTTAGTTCTTTTGATTCAAGAACTTTCAAATTTGACAAGTAATGGAGATTCTAAATTAACCAATGTTCATTTGAAGAAGATTGTTTCAAGATACAATACAATTTTAACAAAAGGAATCAAGACAAACAATCAAGCAGAAAAGTTGAGAGATACAATAGAAGAATTTGAAAGGCAAAGAGGATTTTTAGAACAAACCATAACAGGAATGAAAAGAACCCTATCGACAAGAGAAGAGCATCTAAAAAACGATCTTTTAAGAAAGAATAATGAAAATTCCATTTTAGTAGAAGAAATCAATCAATTAAGAAAAGATCAAAAGCAGTACAAACAAAGAATAATATCTTTAGAATACCAGCTCAAGAATGCTCTTCATTTCCAACAGCAAGCACAAAGAGAATTGAACTCCTCGGCCTCCAATCCTGCATCGACTATATCTTCTGCGAGATCAAGACGAGTTGGAAGTGCCACATCTGCAAGTAGATCTTCCCTTAATAGAATACGAACTCCGGATGCATTCTTTGGAAATAGTGACATTACAGGTTTGGACAGACGAAAGGTTGCTGAATTTGTGGACTCTCTAGAAAAGAATAACAAACGATTCGAACAACAACAGCAGGATATTGACAAACTAAAGAACTATGTTCAAAACTTGTTGGAAGATGAGGGTTCGAAATCTCCTTCATCACAAAGTGACGATAATAACATTTCGTTTGGCGATTCTCCTCTTCTGGTTTCATCAGAAAAGCAAAAACCAAAATTGGCTCCGATTAAGATAAATAAATAATTTATTGTTTTTGTCGCAAGTTATGTACAAAGGTTGTTGATCTAGGGTCTGGTTTGTTTAGCTTGTGTTTGAACGTTAGGTTGTTGGTGATCGGCGATAGTTGCTAATTTAATTAGATTTTGTTGTAATTTCACTTGGAGTCTTTGTAAATCAATTCCATAATAAATTTTAGTATTGCCAGTCAAATATTGATAATAGTTAATATTTTGTGATGTAGATCAAACATACGGTTCACATTGATCGAATTGTCCTAGTTTTTGTCTTTCAATAATAGCAAAAATTAATTGTTGATTTTCGTCTAAATACTAATAAAGTTGTTGTTATTGTTGCGATATGAAACGTACATCCTGTATAGTTTTTGTGGTAATATTGCTGGCCGATGTATTCATATTGTCATTTGATGATGAAGCACGAGGTTGTGTGTTCATTTTTTGTTCCGACAAAAATTATTTTGATTTAAAAAAATGATACACAACAAAGTAATAATATGTATTCAAATATGAAAATGGAAAATTATTTTGAACAAGTGTTAAAACAACAACACCTAGTTAACGATGATTTAATTGGCTTTTCTGAGTACTTAGACCGATTACTAGAATTAAAAGATTCCTATGAACCGCCATCAATTAGGAAGGATATTGATCAATCACCACTTATGAATGTATTCGGTTTAAAACGTTCCACGGTGAAGCCTTCTTTTTTATTTTCTCATACTCCAGATATTAAACGACTTTCAGAATTTAAAAACTACTACGTTGAAAAAACATTCAACAGACAACCTGCTTTCAAAGCTTCTTTTAGAAACAAGAACAGGGATATTAATAATGATCATTCATTTATTGAAAAGTTGGAATTGTTATTTGGCGAGAATGAAAAGTATTTGGATAAATTGACTGATTTGAAAACTCTCTATCACATAAAGCAACTCATTTCAAAATATGAAAGGAAAAATCAATTACAAAGTAATGAGGATTTTAATATTTATAATAGGAAGGACAATAGTTTCAATTCTTCTTCATTTTATCATCAACCAAACAAGTCACTCACTGAAGAGAGTTCAACTATTATTCATAGACTGATTTTAACAAGTGAACTATTTTCGCCCTACGAATTTTCAAGTGATACTAACCAAAGTGCTGCTTTGAAATCATTTCAGATAGTTTTACATGGTAGCTCTAAAATATTGAAGAAGAGGCTATCCTCTCTACCAATGTATAATGATATTTATTCATCCCTCATTGAACAATGCGATAAAAGATTCTCAACACTGAGAAGGGAAATATTTCCTCAAGTAGGTTTTTTATTTTACAAATTGTTGTAAAAAACATGAAATCCTGATTAGCCACCTGACAGGTCAATCCCAACCAAGGAAATATCTATGGAACAAATAGAATGGTTGAGTACAAAATATTTACCAAATATTTTCAGACATAGAGTTGATTGGGAAAATAGTCTCACAAAGAGATCAGAGCTGATTTACAAACTCTTGTCCTATTTTTCAAAACAACCTGATCAAACAAACAAGGATTGGAGTTCTATAATTTGCTCCCAATACCCTGTTATGGTAAAAAGAAATGGGCAATATATGTTGATTTTCGGTATTCGTTGGAAGCCATTCACAAATATTAACAATACAATTCAATCTCTCAGGGAAAAGGGTTTATATGGTTTGGAATTTAATACAGAGCACTTCAACAACTTTCCATACTTTTTCAGGGATGGGAAAGAGTGTATTCCAACAGAAAGGCCAAATGTTACATCATCAACCCTTTTGAGAGATTTTAAAAAACAATTGAAAACTCAAATAATAGACAGATCAGGAACAAACAAATACTCTTTTCCAAAACATCCACCATTCAGACATTGGGTATTCGATTTCTTCTTTAATCAGAGTATGTTAAGTAAGAATGATTTCCTAGCTGTTATGGAAGGAAGGAGATCCCTGCTGGAGATTATACTCAAGTATAGACCCGATCAAGTGTTGGAAAATCAAATTTATCAAACACTGATAACACAGATCGAGGAATGTTTGAAATCATCGAGAAGAGGTCATTCTTTTAAAAATACTATAGGCCACAGTGATTTGAAAAGTATACAGATTCCTGATTCCTCAAAATATCTCTCACTATTTCTTCCTTTTTACTTTCATATTGATGATAGTGAAATGTTAAGAGTTGATCATTTATTTTCTATTAATTTGGAAGAATATATCAGATATTTTAGAAGAGTTTTAAGCGAATTGAGCGATTCTAATCTCTCCCAAGTGGGAATTTTGGATATATTCGAAATTAGAGAATCAATACAAGAAAACATAATGTACAACCACAAAAATCACATTAATAACTCTCTATTTAATGTTGTGGAAATTTCTAACCCTTCAAAAGGACATTATATCATTGACATTATTCCTAATCTAATTGAAACCATTCGCTCAAATGTGAAATTTTTAAGGTTGGATAATTTATATTGGAAACTCTATTCGAGAGGACTTTACATCCCCGAAAATCCAATACTCCACCGAGATTTTATTCTACAAAGTATTAAAACCTTTCTGCATGATTTGAAAAATCGACAAGATAAAACGGCAAGAAAATTCAATACCAAACAAGAGGACACTAATCTATTGCAAGATAACTTGACTCTAATGTCCAGATTTTTGAATTTGAAATGGAAGAGGCCTTTAGCATACGTTCAAGTTATGACCCCTTCTACAAGATTGGTCATTTCCAAATTGGTGAAAACCTATTTCCACCCCTTACACCAAGTTTTACAACACGAACATGGCTCCCCAACTATTCCATCAAAATTGGTCAATACTATCATCCCATTCCAATCTAGAGTTAGCACTTTTGCGATAAAGCTGCTGGAAGTCACTCCTTCCCAGAACAACAATAATCAGGAAGACACTTTGGTAGATACTGTAAAGACCTTCATTGGAAAGTACAAACACGATGTACACAGATGCGAAAAGCAACTGTCAAATCGCTTGTTGTTTTTATTCTTGACTGAATGCGCTATGAGAAATATCATTACTACAGATAATGTTCTCCCCAAGTTAGCTCTCATATTTAAGAAACATGTGCATGACAACGATACTTGTCTATTACCATGTGTTGATAGTATTGAAAGAGAAATAATTTCTCTGAAGAATTTTCCTAACAACTTGAAGAAGATTGAAAAATGCAATTTGAACACTTCTCATCTACATCCTTTGGTAATTTCCAATACACTCATGTGGAGAAATGACTTTACAGACATTTCAAATCTCAAGGCACTGATATGGAATTCATTGAAAACTACCAACTATTTGATTAACCCTATCAAAGTTATAATAGCAAATTTTGAAAAAGAAAATACCTACATATGGAACAATATGTTAGAGCAAAGCTTTGATGTATTAGCTATTGAAAATATCAAACACCATGTTAGTAGTTTCTTTCCAATACGATCTAGAGAAGAAGAGGAAAAAGAATGGTCAGTTCACTACAAGAGATTACAAAAGTTAGGCATAGATTATTTACAATATTACCCATTCAAAGATTTACATGCAAAGGCATTGCTATCCCTTTCAAAAAAGTCATTAACCACCACTAAACTTGAAGAAAAGGAAGACATTATTGATATGTTTTTTCAACCCATTGATACCCTCAACTCTAATTCTAGACTCGTGTTGGATAACTCAATTAATAGTTTGAGCTTGAAAAAATCAACTAGTTCTCTATATAATCGCCAATTTGGATTTCTTTATAATGATCTATCGGATATGAGAAAACCAAACCAATTTCTAGATGATTGGGATTTGACACTAACGATTAAATGTATGTCTAGGAGAATACTTCGCAAGTTGAAACAAGCCACACAAAGAAGGGAAATTCTAGGAAGGATGGAAACCACTTTCAATATTTCTTCAGAGCTTTCTGCTGAGATATTGGAATTTTCTTCATTTATGATAGAATCAATGGATAAGCATTCCAATAAGGAATCCAAATTGTTGAAAAAATTTAAGAACATTACAAATGGTGGCAGTGACAAACAAAAATTTTCATCCCTACAAGAATTAATTGAACAAGTTTTAGAGTTTTGTAAAAAATATGAAATTTCCAGAATATCGCATGAAACAATAACAGACTCACCAGAGCAAATATTGTTACCAAGAGAGCAATCTTCTTATTGCCCTGCCACCACTGTCAGAAATTCTATCAACAATAATGAAATTTACTCTATAGTACCATTTATAGAAAGAACCCTAACTAGATCTAAAACAAAGGAAATAATATCTAATACTCTAACAAGATACGAAGAGGATGATTTATTGTTCCAAAACCAAATGAAAATGGTAGAATATTCTCCTTTCCTCCATTACTTTGAGAAAAAGATTCAAAATATTTTTGAAAATTCTTTTGAAAACTCGTTTTTTGAAAAAATAATTGATTTCTCTTACATTTTGTCTTATGGAAAGGTGAAGATTTTAAACTTCAATCATTATGATGAGTCTTTCAACTCTGTTTTCATAACCGAAGCTGAAGCATCATATATGAACGAGCATGACAGACCTTATTTCTATAAATCATCAGACACTGCATGGGATATTCTGAATAAGGATTTCCCTTCTCATGCCATTTGTGAGAATTTTGAAAAACTAGAAACATTAGCATCTGAAGGTGTTGACAGCCGCATGATATTTGGTGGCTTTTGTGGAGGAGATTGTGAATTGCTGCTTTTTCATCCTGATTGTGAAGAGTTAAAAAATGGGAACACTGAAATGAGCTATCTGAAAGAGGCACTTACAAATCGAAGAATGGAACATTTTGGAGAGATTACTTGTGGATGGATGAATTTTGATGACCTAGTTGGTCCTGGTATTGAAATGACAAATGCAAAATGTGGGAATATTACTAGAGAAAATATTTGGATTTCCAATGAATGTTGTACATTCAATTATAATCCAAACAAGACTCTTGAAGAGAACAACAAGGAACGACAAGCTAAACAGAAAGCAAATAAGGGTTTAAAGTATGTCAATCACCCCAAAAGATTTAATCAACTTGAATGTGGACATCACCACTTAAGAGAAACAATACCTCTCTATGATTTAAAATTCTTGTTTTATTCGGCAACACCCTTCAATTTCAAAGAGTTTTATGATAATAAATAAATTTAGAAAGTGTAATTGTTTGGACAATCCAAAGCCCAAGGGAATTTGTCTTGCAAAGTTTTTGAGAAGAGTTTGGCTACTGGTACGTCAGTTCTCTTGCACCATGCAATTGTAATTCTAGGATCACAATAGTTTGTTCTTGATGTTGTAAGAGAAACTGTCTTGTTTTCAATTTTCATCTTTTTTTCTTGTTTGAGATCATCAATCTTCTTCTTAATGGCCTCAATCTTGGAGGAAATAGATTCAGGGGTTTTTGGTAAAAGTGGTTGTGTTGGCTTTTTAGGTGGCTTGCTCTTCTTTGCAGAACCCAAATATGCAGCAACAGATTTTCCTGCTTTTTTGGCTTTTTCAGCTAATTCTTTTTCTTGTTGCTTGTGTTCTTCCAACTTTTGTTCATATTCTTTCATTAATTTTTCATTTTCCTTATCCCATTTTTCTTTTACGTCTTCATATCCTTTCTTTTTAACTTCCTTTAATGCTTGTTGGAGTCTTTCCAAGTAGGTTTCTTGATCTTCAATTTTCTTTTCCATAGTTTCGACTGAAGTATCAAATGTCTTTGGTGCTGCACGTTGATGGTTACAGAGAATAGCAACTTGTCTGTTGGCAGAGTTGAAAATGCTTACTTTCTCAGCAACACTCATGTCACTAGTAATTTCTCTTTCCAACTTTTTCAATTCTCTATCCAATGTAATAGATGCATTATAGGTACGGAAAACCTTGGCAGATAATTTTTCCATATAGGACTTGAGGTGATCATTGAGTTTGGATGGATTAATCTTGTGGAAGAGCATGTCAGATTTTTTCTTTCCTTCAATAAATCCCTTTACACATTTGTAAACCTCCTTCTCAACTTCTACAGTATTTTCATATCTGATTGAGTCTTTACCAAGGAAATCAAATTTGATAGATGAAGGAGCAACCAAGCTCACATGTTCAACTCTTAAACTGCAACAACCAACTGTGTCTGCCTCTTCTTCATCATCTTTTTCATTACCGACTCTCAAAGCAAGCTTATCTATAAAGTAGATGGCAACTCCCAATTGTCTATCACTTTCTTGCTTCTCCGTCCATTGTTGTTTGTAATCTTCTCTTATCTTTTCTATGCAATCCTTCAAGCTTCTTGCAGTTTGATATTTCAGATAATCATTCATTGCCTTCATACTTGATCCACTGGCAAATTGTACATACTTGTTCTTATTGTTGATTGCATCTTTAAAAGCAGCAACCCACAATACTGTATTGTTGGATACAACACCACCCCATTTATGTCCTGTTGGTGGAGGCGGAACATCTTCCAATCTTCCAATATTAATTGTGATATCTTCAGGTTGAATTCTCTTTTTCAACATACCCATTTTAGGATGGGTACCTCTACCTCTAAATAATCCAGGAGGTTCAATCTTGAACTGTTGAACCTTTTCCTTCCGTCCATCAACAAGAGCATACTTGTATGCGTCCTCAAACTTTGCTTTTAATTCCTTTTCCGCCTTCTTTTCTTCTGAAGTTCTGTTTAATTTGGTCTCCTTTTCTGTCAATAAATGTTCCCAAATTTTAGAAAAATCACACTTGGCAAGAGATTTGATTGTGTGATTTTTCCCGAGAAGTTCCTTCCAAGCAGCCCAAAAATTTTCATTAAATTGTTTCTTCTGTATGTAATCCGATTCCAACATGGAGGCGTACATTGTTGCTACTTCCTCTTGTTCTGGGTCAAGCTTTACAGGTTTTCCATCATAATAAACAGGAATGCTATGAGGTTGATAATCTGGTGGGAATAATACACCATTATGCTTGAGTGTTTGCCACTTTTGATCAGAGTTTAAAATTGACTGGATAGTATCATCCGATTGTGCCCACCATTTGTAAACTCCATCATCTGGTTTAGTGTCCATTTCATCCTTAGATTCTTCCTTCTTTACTTTCTTTGTGTCTTTTTTAACTATTACTACCTTTTCTTCCTCCTCACTCTCACTATCATCATCCAAAATTCTTTTTCTTTTCTAAAGTTTTGTTGAACAATAAAAACGCAACCCGCAAAAAAAAACTTACGTCGACCATTTTTTTTTAATTGTTATTTAATTTCAAAGAGGCGGGAAGGTTTTTTAACTGCAGTGTATTTTGGGTGATGTATTTTTGCGCCAACTTGGTTATTTTAAAACTACAAAAAAAAGACATAAATTTTTAGCCAATTTTATAATGCCAATTTCACTTTTGTATGATTTTGAAGAAACCTCGGAACAGATTATTATTAAAGTTAATCTTAAAGGAGCTACCAGAAGTAGTCTCTCCACCACTATTTCTGATTGTTATATCAAAGTCAATTGCCCACCTCATCATTTTTTGGAATTAGATTTGAAGGAGACAATTGTGTTGGATGACTCATCGAGAACACACAAAGTTGAGGGTCACAATGTTGTGTTTGTTTTGAAAAAGAAGGATAAAAAGGAGTGGGGTTCTGCAATCTTGAAACCAAATGATGAAGTTAGCAAGGAGATGATCGAATCTAGAAGAAAGGAGTCTCTGGAAAGACTCTCGAAAATGGAGGCAGAAGAAAGAGAGGAAAGAAAAAAACAAAGGACAAAAGAAGAACAGAGACTTTTAGAGCTTCATTGGCAAGAGGAAAAGAAAAAGAGAGAGGATATTGAAAGAAAGAAACAAGAAGAAAAGGAGCAAGCAGCACTTGAATTGAGTCAACTTAAAGAAAGAGATGAAACATCTTCCCAAAAATCTGAAAAATACAGGGTTGCAAATCAAAGACAAGTAACTATTGAAGATATTACTGAGGAGGATATAGCTGTTGATGAAAAGAACTCAAATTATGAACATTTTACTGCACCAATCAGACAGACAGAAACATCAACTATTAAGTTATCATTCACACCAAGAGCATTGAGGACTCCTGCAAGGGAGGACAAGGATAGTGAAACATTGAAAAAATACGAAATTTGGAGAAGAAAAAACAAACCTGCAGAATTGGAAGAAAATGGTAAGTATTTATTACTCTAAATAAGGTAAAATTTCTAGTTGTGTGGGTGATTGAAAGAGGAGATAAATTTATGAAAAAGAAAAATTTCAACTCTGCAATTAGTGCCTACACTGAGGCTTTACACATGGAATCGAGTGTCATTACATGTTTGCCGAAGAGAGCAGAGTGTTTCTTTGAAAGAAAAGAATATTTGAAGGCTATCGAAGATTGTACCAATTTTTTGAACACTGAATCAAAACAGAATGCTCAAATAGAAGATAAATTCCTGCTTCAAGCATTAACAACAAGATCGAAATGCTATAAGGAGATTTCAGATCTTAAGAAAGCACTGGAGGATGTGAAAATAGCATATAGAATTGACTCGAGTATCGAACTACAAAAAATGATAAGAGAGTTAGAAAATACTCTATCAAAAGAGTTGATGGAAGACAAAGATAAGGCTGATTTGTTGAAAGATCAAGCTGATCAAGAATACTTTGAACAAAGATTTGAAGAGGCCATCAAGCTCTATACTGATGCCATCAATCATAGAGCTCATTTCTTCAGAGCCTATAGCAACAGATCTGTTTGCTACCTTCAACTGAATAGATACTTTGAGTGCATTCAAGACTGTACATATATTCTTCAAAACATTCATTCCAAATCGGTTCCTGAGCCCGAAAAAAAGAACGCTGCTTCTTTCATCCTCAAATCATACCTGAGAAGAGGTACATGTCATTTTAAAGTTGGTGACTACAATAATTCATATAAGGACTATGAGCAAGCATCAAGAATGGCTCCAGAGGATGAAGAAATTCTTGCCGACTTGGAAAAAGTCAACGAAGAACTTACCTCCAAACTTCAAGGGGATTGGTTAAAAAATACAGCCAACAACTTTTACTTAAGAGGAGATTTTGCTTCTGCTATTCATTCCTATACATTGGCTGTCAATCTTGACAAGACGAATCCAGTTTATTATTCCAACAGAGCTCAGTGTTTCTTTAAAACTGGTGACTTTGTCAGATGTGTAAAGGATTGCAATACAGCCCTCTCCGTGCTATCTGAAGATGATGAACTGAAAGTCGATCAAATTCTGGAAGAGGAAAAAAACGTTGAAGCAATGCAAGACTCAAAGAAGGAAAAGGAAGAGTTTCCGACTAATCCAAAACTTACTCCTAAATTGCAACTTAAACTCTACCTTAAAAGAGCAGTTGCTTACAAGGAGATGGAAGAATACGAAAGAGCCTTTTTAGATATTCGAAGAGCTCACCAACTCGAGCCTGAAAATAAGGAAATCAAATCAGAATATGATTCTATTGAAAAATTATATGAGTTAACTAAAAAAGATGAAATCAAAATTGAGATAAAGGAATAAATATTAATTTCTTTCGTGTAAAAATGTTCCTCACAAATTTTGAACATTAAAAAAAAATGAGTAAAATGCTTGCAAAGATTCAAAAATTGAAGAAGAGTAGAGCCACTTCTTCAACCAAACAAAACAAACATGAGGAAGAAGAGTATGATAAATCATTTTTCGGATATATGGATGATTCATCATCGGATGATGACAATTTTGATCCATCAATTTATGGAGGAAGAGAAGTAGTTGGAAGTTTTGTTGAGAAGGATGGTAGTGATGATGAATTATCGGGACATGTGCAATTTTCAACTAACAGTGATGACGATGATGAATATAATCTTACTGTTGGTGACCTTCAAAATGAAGAGGAACAACCAAAGAAGAAAAAGAAGACTACACCTGTGGTTTCAACACAAAAACCACAACAGGTTATAGAAGAACATAATGATGATAACGATCTGGAAATGAATGATGCAACCGATGACACTCACGAAACCAATGAAGACCATCAAGAAGAAACCTCAACAACTGCCAAAAAATCAAGTAATCTTGATGAATGGACAGAAGAGGAATTGAAAGAAAACGATTCTACCTCTTCCACATGGAAGAAGATTAAATTATCTGATGAGGATGCCTTTTCATGTGAAGGAATGTACTCTCTTGAAGTATTAGATGAAGATAATGAGGAATACAAGTCAATAATGCGAAGTCTTTATGGTGATGACTATGACAAGAAAGATGAAAAGAAGGAAAATCCAACCAGTATTGAAAAAGATACCAGAACAAAGGAGGAAATCAAAAAGGAACGAAACAAGAAGAAAAGAGAAAGAAAGGCTAAAAAGGCAGAGGAAAAAAAGCTTGCTGAAAATACCACCCAAGAATTACAAACCAAAGTATCTCAAGAAGAAAAAATTGAAAAGGTAAAAAAGGAAAATGAAACAAAGAAATTAGAGAAGAAAAAACTTGAAACAACAGAACAAAAATTGGTCAAGAATGAACAAGAAAACAAAGTGCAAGAAGAAACTAAAAAAAAGAGAGAAAAAGCTGGTGATTTGAAAGTTGTAAATGAAAATGCAGATACTGCTCCATTTGAAGAAGTAGCTTCTAAAATGACTGCTTGGAATTTCAATGATACCATTCAATTACATGAACAAGTTGTTCGTAATTTGTATCGCCTTGGATTTTACAAGCCAACACCAATCCAAGAAGAATCAATTCCTAAAGCTATTGGTCAACAAGCTGATATTTTAGCTGCTGCTGAAACTGGTTCAGGAAAGACATTGGCATTTGTTTTACCAATTATTGATGAGTTGATGAAATTGAAAGAAAATGAACCTGCTCAACAAGTCAAAGATGATGAATCTAGAACTGTAGATGGAATTTCACTCAATGAAATTGGTGTTAAAAATAAGAGAAAGAAACTTTTACGCGATGTTAAAAAGGACATGTTCCAACTCAGATCACTTATTCTTTTACCTACAAGAGAATTAGCATTGCAAGTTTGTTCACATATTGAAGCTGTCATTCGAAACACATCCCTAAAGGTTGTTGGACTAGTTGGTGGACTAAATGAAGAGAAGCAAATCAGAGAAATTCACGTACAAAAACCTGATATTATTGTTGCTACACCTGGTAGATACTGGTTTTATATTGATAAGGGTATGTTTGCCTCCAACTCAATTCTTGGCCTCAGATTTTTGGTGATTGACGAAGCTGATAGAATGGTAGCTGATGCTCACTTTTTCGAACTCCAATCCATTTTGAGATATATTACCATTGAAAGATTCAAAAGAAGTCAACAAGGAGAATCAAACTCAATCTTGAGAAAATTCATCTCTTCTGCAACTCTTACTTTTATTGATGATAAGTGGAAGAAGCAATTATATGAATTATCACTCCAAGAACAAGAAAAGAGAGAATCCAATTCAGAAGATTATATCAACCAAAAAGAAGAAGAACAGGTTGAAATACCTCAAGAACAAGATGCTGAGCATAAGAAGAAAGAAAAAGAAACTAAAACACAAAAGATTATCCAAAAAATTCTTGCCATTTTAGATATGAAAAATCCAGTGATGGTTGACTTGACTACCAGCAATTTATTAGCCCACACTCTCCAAGAAGCCTTCATACAAAGTACCAGAGAAGATAAGGTTCTCTATCTTTACTATTTCTTGACAATTTATTCTGGTCGTACAGTAGTCTTTACAAATAATATTAAGGTTGTTAGATTTATTGGTAATATTTTGAAAGAGCTCTTTAATAAGGGACCTAATGCCAAGCAAACAAGTATTACAATTGTTTCATTACATGGTAAGATGGACCAACAATCTCGTTTTAAGAATTTGGAAAAGTTTAAAAAGGCTGAAAATAGTATCTTGATTACTACCGACGTATTTGCTCGTGGTATTGATATTCCTGATGTAGAAAATGTTGTACATTTCAATATTCCAATTGATACCAAGACTTATATCCATCGTTGCGGACGTTCTGGAAGAGCAGGCAAACAAGGATTTAGTTTGGCTATTGTTTCTCCGGAGGAACGTAAATCATTCTATCATATTCTAAGAGATACTCGAGGTGAAGGTAGTGAAATGCCTCCTTTCCCGATGTCACATCCTGATTTGTTAGAAGTTTTACGTAAGCGTGTAAATTTGGCAATTGAAATTGAAAAATTGGAAGAAAGAAAGGCTGCCAGAACTCAAGAACAAGATTGGTTTACAAAACAAGCCGCTGCTATGGATATTGATTTAGATGAACGATTTTTCAAGGACTTGAAGAAAGATAAGGATTTGAAACTCAAAGGATTAGCTCCTGATCAAGAACGTAAGCTTGCAACTATGAAGAAACAACTTGAAGGCTTACTCAAACAAAATGTTTTCATGCAAACAAAGACAAGTATTTCAGGAACTAATCGTCTATTTACTGTTGGTGATCCAAGAAGTGTTGATCTTATCAGAGCTAGTCTTAGTGGATTGAGAGAAAACAAAGCAAGAGCTGATTTAGAAGAAGCCCAAAAGCCTTCCGAAGTTCCAACTAAAAGTCAATCGAAAAAAAGAAAGAGAAATCAAAAAAAGAATAAATAATTTAAATTTGTTTTGAAATATAGTACACTATTTGACAATTGTAATCAATTATTTAAATATTCATCTACCTACCATTATTTCCTCTAATAAAAGCGTCTCCGTATGTTCCAGTCTGCACTCCATCAACATATTCCTTTGTTTGTTCCAAAGCAACATTCATATATCCATCTAGACAGGTTAAAACTCCTCTATATTCAGCACCAGAATTTAATTTAACAATCACTGGTTTTCCGACAATATCATTTTTTAAAAAGGTTGTTGGGTCCAAATTGTTTGCTGACATTTTTTTTGTTGATAAAATTATTTTTAAACTTTCAATTTTTTAATTTTTTTAATATTTACAAGTTTTAAAGTTGTTCTGGCCTTGGATGTGATTCCTTACCAAAGTTTGGTGTCACTCTGACAAATTCTGCCTTTCTTTGCAATTCTTTAATATCTTTGGCACCTCCATAAGTGAGGGCACTTCTCAATGAACCACAGAAATTATCAATAACATCTTGAGCAGAACCTGTACATTTGGCATGGAATGAAACACCTTCTGGAACAGTACCTTTCTTCAAACCTCCATAGAAATCATCTTGGAAATCCTTACTGGCCTGACCTCTATACTTGACAAGAGTAATTTCTTGACCGTTTTCTAAAGTTTTCTTTGATTTTGGAGCAGCACTTTCCATTGTCTTTGCAAAAATACTTCCCATCATGACTGTACTAGCACCAGCAGCTAAAGCAAGAACCATATCTCTTTCAAAAACAATACCGCCATCAGCAATAATTGGAACACGGAGTTTACGAGCTAATTCAGCACAATTCTTGATGGCAGAAAATTGTGGTAATCCGAAACCTGTCTTGATTCTTGTAGTACAAGCAGCTCCACAACCAACACCAACTTTAACTGCATCAGCACCAGCTGTGACAAGATCTTGATAGCCCATTGGTGTACAAACATTACCAGCAATGATTTCCTTGTGTGGTAATTGTTTCTTTAAATTTCTAATAAATGTACACATAGCATCACTGTGACCATGAGCAATATCAATAACTACACCTTTAGCTCCCAATTCCAACAATTTTACAGTTGATTCCATATCATTGAGACCACAAGAAACAAAACAATTATTTTCATATTTTTTCACCCATTCAGATTGTTTTTCAAATGAAGTGAAACGATGGAATAATGGAATACCTCCATTAGCAATCAAAACATCAGCCAATTCATCACCAATAACTGTATCCATATTAGCAGCAAGGAGTGGCATTCCAATCTTTGTATTCTTTGTCAACCAAGTATCTAATGAAGGGTGCAAACGTGAAGGAACGTTATTATATTGAGGAACAAGTGTAACGTCATCAAATGTCAAACACACTTCTTGGTGAATATTGCTCATCATTTTTGTAGAGAATGTTTCTTTGTTGAATTCTTGTACAACCGAATAATCTAGGTAGTGGGTGATTGTATTTTTTTCATCGTTTTTTTGAATTCAATAATGTGGTGAGTGGTGTTTTTATGTCACCACCCACCACATGGTTCAAGTTTGTAGAGGAGAAGCAGGGTGGGTACCTAACTGGTTACAATTTTTTGTAGTGGTTGGTACGTACCTAGGTAATAATTTGTGCACCAGTAAGGTTTTTTTAATAAGAATCATTGGATATATCTTAGCTCAGGATATCAATTCCAACCCAACTCCCTTAACCAACTACAACTTTGATCCACACTCTACGGGGTTGTAGAGCTTGTGATACTTCTTGTCTCTCATGTCTGCACAGATGAACATAATGTCACCACTCAAAAAAAATGATCAAGAAATTGGGCGTAAAAGCTCAAAAATTTTCTCTCATACTTCACCCTGCATTTAAACACGCAACTGATCAACATAAAACAAAACTTGTTGAAGAATCGGAAGGTCATGTTGTTCATCATGTTATTAGTGAAGATTGTCTTGATGGAGAGTCTAAAGTTAATAGTGAAGAATTAATTGTTAGTGATTTGATTGATGAAGATATTGATGAAGATGATAAAAAAGAGATTGATGAAAATTTACTTCAAAAAGCATTATACTATGCTCTATTAACTTTACATTTACCGATTCATATGGTTCCTGAAAGAATTCAAGATGTTCCCCTCACACTCTCACAATTACAAGGTGAAGTTTTAAAATTATTTGAACCCAAGTTAACTCTTGAAGAGTTGCAAAAAACTTGGAATGAAATATATATTCAGAAATCAGATAATGGCTCTATTGATTTAATTGTAGATTTTCTATTGTTGAGAAAGTATATTTTTGAAAACGAACATCAATTACCATATACAACCTCTGATTTTGTTAGTGTGGAGAAGTATCAGTTTTGGAGACATAACAAGATTAAGGAAATTGACCTCATGTTGGATAGTATTAAAACTGCTAGAAAGAAGGAATTCAATTGCAAGTTGGAATTTGAATTTGATAATGTTATCCTAAACAATTCTGAGTCTCTTGTTAAGAAAACTGAGTGCGATTTGATGTATCATTTGGATACAACTGATCCTGAGAGTTCCATTAAAATTAACAATGATACCAAAACTAAAACTGTATATGAATCAAAACCTGTAGAAACCAAGAAGAAGGATGCTGCTTTTAAACCAATCTTTAAAGAACTTGTTAAATTGTAAGTGTTACCTCTAATGATGTGTTCTAACTTCTTCAAATATGTAGATCTCTAGCAAATAGAGATCAAGAGGTAAAATTTTCTATCATCTTGTCAAAATATGCAGGTTTGAAAAAGAAGGAAATTGGTCACGTTATTATTCCAGTTACCAGTTTAATTGAAAAACTTTTCCCAAAAACAAATTGGGGAAACATTGATCAACCGATTCGAGCTGATTTTCCAATTGTTTTTAATAATTCAACTATTGGTGATATTCAACTCAAAATTACAAGAGGAAATTATCAATACTTCCCAGCAAATCAAAATAATTGGACTACATATGTTTCCAAGAGGCTTGACTTTATCAAGAATAATTTAAATACATTTGATATTCCAGATGTTTACAAGATCAAAAAAGTTCTATTAAGAAGAGCATTTAATTCGCCAAAGACAGACCTTAACTTAGTGACTTATGTTCAAAAATGGATTCTTGGAGAGATTGACCTCTTATTTGGTATGTCTACCCATAATGCAGAAATTAGTTTGTTAGATGTACTTTCAAGAAATATTCGTTTTTTAATTTCATTTGCTGATCAATTTTCAAAAAGTTATCAAACTGCTACAAAAATAATTAGTGATAATATTAAACAAACCAACAAGATCAACCAAATTATGGACAAGACTGAAAAGAAAGTTGTTGATCTCTTAATGCATTTCAAGGAGAGATTCCCAAGAAACAAACCAGATGGTGCTTTAGAAAATGTTGTTAAACTATATGACACCATTATTTCTGTACACAAAAAACATTCATTTGAAGAATTTTTAGATATTCTTAAAGACCTTTTGAAAAAGTCACTCGAAAATGATTATTTGCTTATTAAGAAGCAACAATTAGAGGTTTTCAAAACAGAAGAGTTGAATGCCAAGGTGTTAATTGGAATGATTCCAGGGATTGTATACAAATTGGATAGGTAAGTTGACATGTCATTTAAAATTTCAAAATATTTTCAAAAACCTTAATTGACCAAACAACTTAACATCACTTTCAAAGACTCTATGATTATTCTGATACACTCCCACAGGATGTTAAATATGAAAGCATGAACATGATCTATTATGAATTGTTCAAGAAGGATTTCCAACAAGTTGCTCAATCAGGAGGGTTCTCTGGTTATCAGATGTTGCATTTTTGCACTAAGATTAAAGATTTAGCTGAAGTGATTGGAAACTCCAACGATTTGAGTCAAAAAAAATCCGAATTGATTGACATCGCTGAAGTTTCTAAAGGCTATGAAGAAAAATTCATTGAAGAATTAGCGGCTAAACTCGGTGATTGCGCAGATCAATCTATTAAGATTGACAATTGGGTACCAGTTAATCAAGACGTGAAACACTCAACAAGTGTTGTTGATTTTTACACTGCAGCTAACGAGATTTGGAACTATGTTTCTGAATTGGAGTTTTTCAATGAACATTTATTGCAAATGTTCACAGAAATGTTGGCAAAGGTCACTCTCGATTATGCAAATAAGGTTAAAAATATTGCAGTACAAATTATTACTAGAAATACAAAAGAGAAATCAAGTACATCCCCAACAACTGAAAAGACCAAAAAATCCAAAACAATCAACCTCTTTAGTAGAAATGAAGTTAAAAACGCGGAGCAAGAGAGTGATTTAATTTATTCTGAGATTGAATTGACCTCAGATTTTTTAATAATGCTTAATAATATTAGCGTTTCGAAGCAAGAAATGGAAGAAATTATCGATAGTATTATTGAAAAACAAAAGGACTTGAAAGATAGTGAAGAAGTCACTAGACAAGTAGAAAGAAACGAGGAAGAAGATTTGGACTTGGAAAATGAAGAAGATTTGAAAAAGACCTCAGATATGATTGGTGAGCATCAAATGAGTGCTCTTGAAAAATCCAGAAAAAATATTGACCTTATTATTGAATCATTGATTGCTATCATCTCCTCCAGTTTCAGAGTTCCAATTAGAAGTACACTACAAAATATTTTTAACAAAACTAAAACCTTGGTTGAAAAAAGTTCACCATCGAACAGACCCCTCTCCAAAGATACTACTCTCAAAATTGTGCAATCAGAAATTGATTCAATTTTGAGTAGTGAATTACTTGAGTCTATTCTTACACCTGCCTTTACAATTCTATCCGAAAGTTGCTATGATCAATTATTTAAATTAATCTTGGAAAATATTTTGGATATTACAAACTCAGAAATGATTAATTCATTTATTATTCCAACTGATAATTATGATATTGAATCTGATAAGGACAAATTCCTCACTGTTGAACAATTATTTGTACTTGAAAGCGTTCACACAACCTTTGGAATTTATCTTTGTGGTAATGATGATGATCCTGATACTGGATTGAATGAACAAGTATTTGAGTCCAAATCACGTCTCCTACTCAGATTAATTTCCCTCTATCAATGCACAACACCCAAGTTGATTAACATTTACCAAAAGTACACCAAGTATCCTAATTTGAACTTTTCAAACATTTTGAAAAAGCATCACATATTACTTTTACTCAAATCTAAGGGTGATAAAGAAGCTCTATCATTCTACAAAATTCATCAAAAAGAGGCAGAACATCAACGTATTATTCAAGTCTTCAATTTGAAACCAGTTGATGGAGCAGGAGATGAAGATGAAAGCAATGACAGGTATGAAGAGTTGTTGGTGACTGTGAGTGGTATTTATGAATTAAGTCCGTATGATGTTCATGTTACTGAACTCAGACTTTTACTAGAATCTAAATGTTCTAGAAAGACTAAAGAATTTTTATTGAGAGATGTCATTAATGCCAAATTGAGTAAACATTTACTCTCCACAAAGGGTGTTCAATTTTCAATCAAGGGTGATGAAAAGAGAGTTTACATTCTAAATTTTACTGATTCAGAATTGAGAACCAAATTCCTAAATGTATTTTACCAACAATTGAAGAATATTGGTAATGAACAACCTCAGCTTCAAGAATTGAAATCCCCAACAACAAGTGGAAGTTCTGTTAAAATCCTTGACTCTAATTTGTTTGATCAAGCTGCAGATGCCTTAAAACTCAAGTTTAAAATCAAAAACTCATCATGTAAACTTTTAAAAAGAATTATTGCTCAAGCTGCCTACAAGGTCGATAATACCAAAGTTTTTGCGGATGGTGAAGTATTATTATTCAATTATGGTCTTTGTTTCCATTGTGGTTCAGATGGTGTTAAAGGAACTTTCTCTCTAAAACTCAACTTTTCAATTGTAAAACAAATTGAAGGAAAGAAGAGAAAGGACAATTCCATGAGAATCAAAATTGATCTGCAAGGAGGCTATTCTCTGTCTTTTTATAATGTTGAATTTTTTGAGAATTGTCTCTCTGATATTATCAATGCATTTGAACAATGGTCCAAGGATTCAACAATTACACCTCTACCAAAATCAGATGATAAGAATTATTTCATTTCAAAATTCAAATTGAAATGTATTGGAGAGAGTGATGAATGCTTAGATAGAAAGTTGAGCTGTGGATCAGCACTTACAGAAAATGGAACATTGTTTATTGGAAACTATCATTGTTGTTATGAATCCAATTCTCTCCTTCCAAATAACGGAGACATACAAAAGGAAGAGCAAATCTTAATCCCTGTTGCATTTATCAAGGATATTGAGAAGTATGTTCATTCAAAATTATTGGCTCTCCGTTTATTGAGTGGCCATATTGTTTGTTTCATGTTCCATGATGAAAAGAGTTTAGAAATCGCCTTCCAAAGAATCACTGTCAAGGTACAATGTATCACTAAGCCAAAAATATCCATATTTGGATCTTCAAACAGTGAAAATAATCTTTATATTTCAAATATTTTAAAAAATGAAAAGATAGATTTGGATTCTTGCGATCAGAGAATATTGAATAGTGCTATATTGACAAAACAAGCTCAAGAAGCACCAATCCAAACTTTAGGTAATTTGGGAAGCGGTGTCAAACAAGCAAGTCAAAGTGGTGGAGTTTTCCATTATTTTACCAATATTGGAAAGAATATTTTCGGAAATAAGAAGAAATAAGTGCCTCTGTTTATTTAAATATAAAACTACTTTGATAAAGATTCAATCCATTATTAAGATTGAATATGGGCCATTACTGTTTGAAATTTTCATAGCAATGCGCCCATAAAAATGTCATTTAAAGTAAATGAATAGCTCCCGAATCTTCTTTGTAACCAGAAGCTAATGGAAGTTTTTAAGTGACTGTATCCATATAGTGTGCAGGTTGCCAAGTGGATATAGGTTATCCAGTTTATAATGTTATGCTGATGGTTGGAGGAGAGAAAAATAATACAAAGTGAGCTATTAACCCAAAATTGTAATTTTAAATTCCAAACCAGATATGTTGTTGGAAACAACCCCTCAACAACTACAATTATTTTACTAGGAAACATACAAAAAAAATGATTAACTTTGTGTATCAGTTGATTATAATATTACTCCTGCCAGGTATTCTAATCAATAGTACTTGTTGTATTTCTGGAATACCACAAGAAGAAGATACACCAATTAAAATACTAAAGGATGGAGAAATAATTCCATTCAATAGAACCATGTTAGTTCTCATCGATCAAAGTAGCACTCCAAGAGAAGAAACTCTAGATATTGTGAGTGATGGTATTTCGTTAACATTCTCAATTCTCTCTGTAATTGGATCCTTAGCTGTGTTTGGAATGTTTTTCTTTGAACATGCTTGGGTGTTTGGTAGAGAAAAGGAACAGAAAGCAAATTATAGACGTTCTCTCAAAAGAAATACCATCAAGGATCTGGATATTCTGCAACAACACCATGTTGAATATATGAAAAAGAAGAGGCAAGTAATTTCTCAGAAAAAGAGAGAGTTTGTGCGGAGAATGATGTTATCATTGATGGTGTCAGATGTAATTTGTTCATTGAGTAGGATTATGTTTGTTGTTTGGTGGTGGATTTGTACTCAAGCAGCTCCTAATGAAATGTTCAATCATTTTACAGGTCCAGTTCAAAATTTTGGAACCAATTCATCTCAAATTATTACGAATGGATCCATTTCTTTGACTAGTTTTATTTCACCTCCTCTTTCGAAAGTCATTACAATTCATTTCAATACCAATGGAAAGGAAAAGAATAATGGGAAGGGAAAGGATAAAAAACCAGTTATTGATAAAAAGAATGGAGGAAGTAAGAATGGTTCCATAATTGAGTATTTGTCTGATCCGTTTGGAGAAACAAACAAGTTCAACAAAAAGCAAATGGCCTTAATTGAACCTCCATCTTTCTATTCAGTGTTCAGGATTGATGGGAATGATTCCATGAATGGGACAATGTTTTATTCCTATTTTGAAATGAAAACAGCACCTCAATTGTTTTTAGGATTTCTTGCCAATGTTAATTATGCATCATGCCTGTCAACTGCTTCCTGGGTTGCAATAGTGGCCTTTTCTGTTTTAGCAACAACGAGGCAAGTCAGTTGGGATGACGAAATGCAAGAGGAAAGTGATGACGAATCAAAGAAGGTGAAAATATTATGTGTTGAAACTGTTTTTCATTCATTTTCATGGGGAATAGCCTTTTTTTCGTTTTTCATTATTTTTCTTCTTAGAGTAGTTTCTCACACAACACCAACAATAGATAAGACAATAATTAACATCATTACCAGTATACTCTATATTATGTGGGCCCTGTTTTTTACCCTGGTATGTTATTAATTTCATTCAAATTAACAAAAAACAGATAATAACTATTCTTATTATAATATTAGGTTGTATTTGGAGAAAAATAGGAATACACTTCAACAAGTCTCAATTGATATTCCCAAAATTGGAGACAAGAAAAAGACAGCGTTCAGTAATACTAAAATTAAGCATGCTCCTTCTCCCATTCGCTTTTTGTGGAATTTTTGAAGTCATATTTTGGTATTACAATGCTGTCACAACTCTAACTCAACAAGATGATGTTCTCTTTGTTGTGATATTTTACAACTTTCTTTACAATGTTATCGTTCCATTGAAAGGCTTTCTTTTGGCTATTGCCTTCTTATTGGGTTCACCAGAAGTGAGATCATGTCTCAAATGCTGTTGTTTTTGTAATAGTTTTGCTACTAGTGATTATAGCTCTAGCACAGAATCCCTTCTAGATGGTCATATTGAGGAAGCAAATAGCATCACATCTGTTTTTGAAAATGTTAGGACAAGACTCCGAACGCCCAGCTCAGAATATGCAGGATTATACTATTCCAACTCGGCAACCACGCCAAGAACACCACAGTTCCCAATTAGTGATTCAGAAGAGCCTAAATCCTCAGCTCACTACACAACACTGGACAGAGTGAAAGCAACCTATGCCACTATCTCAACAGAATCCATTGAGGGAACTCTTATCACTTTTGGCCGTCTCTACACTGGTGCATCAACAAGAACCAATCAACAACAAGTGCTCCAAACTAATAGCTCTGAAATATCTGAAGACATTCATATTAATATTTGATTTAAAATATTGTCAATTTATTAAAGCAAATTAAAAGTTTTCCAAATCCAATTCCTTAAGGGTATCCTTCTTATTGGATGATGAAGCATTGCTTGATGATTTGGTCTTCTTCTTGGATGGTTCCGTTCGCTTAGAAGATGGGGCACTTGTGGATTCAGTTGACTCATCTCCTCTCTTTCTCTTAAGTTTAGTCTCTTCCATTTCTTTGAGAGCAGATTCTTCTTCATCCTCTTCTTCCTCGAAGGTAACCTTTTCGTCCAATTTGGCAGCAACTCTTTCCAAAACTTCTCTGTCTTGTTTCTTCTTTTCGTTTGCATAGTACTTGTCGAGAGGTGTTTCAGTATCCTTTAAGAATTCTATAACCTTGTCAAATTCAAGTGGAGTGAAATTAATCTTGGATTTGGATTCGTTTACAAAAATGATATTGTCATTCACATGCTTAACAAGATTAGTTATTTGCTTGGAGATACCAAAATGGAGTGTTTCAGTATGTGATTTAACATACTTCTTCAAAAAGTTTGTAATTGGATAGGAAAGTTCTGGGAAGGCAACAGACTTACTATGATTAGCCAAGTGATCCAAAAGTAAGAAACAACAATCATCAATGATTCTTTGATGGAATTCTCTAGATTTGAGTTCCTCAGGTACAGCCTTGAGTTTGAATTCGAAATATAATGGTTGTGGTTTTTGATTTTGTTTTGGAGTGTTAATAGCTTGTTTCAATTGTAAAATTTCAAAAACTGTTTGCGAAATTGGAATAAAACTCTTGTCACAATCTCTCGAAAGTTGGTTGAGCATGGTCAAAATCTTAACTTTGAATGGATAATGTTTGGCAGAATTAGTTAAACCAATAGCAGCCATAGCAATTTGTGTGACTGGGTAGAGAAGTGCTGAAATATTTTCTTGCTTGTAATAGGCACATATAACCTTTGACCAGGCATCCAAACAGTGGAAGAATTTCCAATTATAACATAAAGCATAACCATTTTGAACTGTTGAGTCCATAGCTCTTCTCACCGTTATAGCAAGTTCTCTAATGTATGTAAAGGCATGATGGTAAGTACTAGTAAAGTTGATTGTTGACAATTCTACAAGACAATTCTTCAAAAATTCAATTTGATGGAATGTAGATGGGTTATACCCTTTAGAATTTCTCAAAAGAGTATAGTAAATACCCTTAATACATAATTCTAGGAATGGATATGGATAAATAACAGCCATACTATTGATAATAATAAATGCTCTAACTCTAACATCTTCATTGGAATGACCTAACAAGTTGAGCATGAGTCTCAAAATTTTCTTTGGTTGAGCTTCAAATAAACCATAGAATGGAACGAGTCTTACGAAATAGTGCAAAACATAAATCAATAATTTTTCATCCAAAGTCTTTTCCATCATTTGGTGGAACGCATTAATAAATGTTGAGAGAGCTAATTTAATTTGTTTCCATCCAGAATGTTTAGCTGGTAATTTGTTTCTATTATTAATATAGTTAATGAAACTATTTCCTAAAAAAATTACTTACGATCCTTGTTCATATTTTGTCAAAATAGTTGCCAAATCTCCCAAACACTTAACACAAGCCATTGTAACTCTTGCAAATGTTGCAACATCAGGAACAACATATGGAATTTCTGGTTCTTTTTCCTTCTTTTTTGATTCTTGATTTTCTCCTTCCTTCTTCAAACCTGATCTGAAACATAAAATCAAGTGGAATAATGGTTGCACAGCGTTAGAAGTTTTAATCTTTTTAACCCAACGAGCAATCAATGCTTTTGTTACTTTAATTCTATTACCAAATTCTTTAGTATCCTTTTCATCTTCTTCTTGTATTTCACCTGCAATTCTTTCAAAGTATTGTTCATCTTCTTCGTCTACTTCTTGTTGATCAGTAACATCATCAGTCATTTCATCATCCTCTTCCTTATCACCTCCGTGGAAAACTTCCTCATCAGAATCATCAGAAACACTAGCAATCAATTGTTGAATTTCTTCTTCTTCTTCCTTTGTTGTTTTTCCTCCTTCTTGTTTAAGTTTTTCAAGGAATTCCTCAACTTCATGTTTAGTTATACTATTTAATGTTAAAATCATCATGATTGTTTCAGTTGTACATACCCATTATCATTTTTTGTTGATTCCTTCTTATCCTTCTTCTTAGATATCTTCAAATAATGTTGGTCAAGTTGTTGTTCTTCTTGTTCGGAATCGGAAAGGTCATCTCTTTTCAGCTTTTCATTTCTAATAGTTTCTCTAATATACTTTTGTTGACCAATCTTTTGAGTTCTTATCTTGGCTTTAACCAAACTTTTATTGGATTTGTATTTTTTATCACTCTTTGTTTGCTTTTTACCCATTATTGTGAAGTACCGATTTTTTTTTGAAGTTTTTTATTTTCAATAAATTTTTGAATGGCAATAATTCTCATCACAACCTGCAGAATTTTGCTGCATTTATTTGTTTTTCATAATAATTTAAAACTGAAAGAAAACTGTTATCAGAGTGGCAGAAAGCTTGTAGTAACCACTATCACACAGGATAGATAATCACAAATTTCATTGACAAAAAATTAGGTACTATGAAAAGTAACTTAAAGTTGTCAATAATATATTATACTTTTTATTAATTTTTTAAAAAAATACCTCAAAAATGTCTGCTGAAGGTCATCACGGTCCATACAATACTCGTTTGTTCTCTTGGAGAATGATTGCGATCGCCGCCGGTTTCTCCATGATTCCTTTGTTGTTCTCAAAGCCTGCTCCTCAACCAAAGACTGAAACTTTCACTCCTCCAAGTAGGTATTAATAATTTAAATTATTCTTGATTTTCTTTTATTCAGAACATTAAATTTCAGACACCATGGGACTTTAATAAAAAAACTACTTTTAAATTCTAACAAAATTCATTATTTGAAAGTTTCATATTATTGCTTGCCGATGATTATTGCTACACCTTCAAAAAAATGTCTTCGTTGGAGCAGTGGGTGAGTGACGAATTATACGATGTAATCAAGTATAGTAGCACCACTGTCAGTAGCTATGTAATCAATTTGGCAACTAAATATCAAGCCAATCCTTCCAAGTTAATTAAAGAATTGGAAAAAGAATTACTGTCACCTGATGAAGTGCCTGTACATCATTCCAAGATTGATTCATTTGCTAGACATCTCATTCTAAAATTACCATCCATTAATAGTTTGAAATCATCCGAGTCATCAATATCAAAAACTAATTCTAAATATTCGTCAGCAATTAGTGAGGATGTATCTTCCTTGTTGGTACTTTCCGAGGAAGAAGATAATCAAGACAAGAAAAAGAAAAAAAAGAAAAAGAATGTAAACTTGAGAAGAAAGATATCGACAAATGACAATGATGAGGAAGATCAAATGCCACCTAAAAAGGTTAAACACGAAGAGGAGGATCAGATTTTCATTTCACAAGATTCTATTGAGGACAACAACCAAAGCTCTTCAGCAGCCGAGGAAAATCAACATGATAATCAACAAATTGTAAATAATAATGAACCAAAGAAAAGGTTAACTAGGGAGGAACTTTTATCTCAAAGAGCTAAAAATCCTCAAGACAGGAGAATAGTTCTGGAAGAATTGAGAAAAAAATCTAGAAATCACTATCTTAATGAGAGAGAAAAGAAATTGTTACGAGAATTGGAAAATAATCTCATAGAAGAAGAAATTAATAGACGAGATGAGGACTTGACAGAATCTGAAAGATTGGAAAGAGAATCTAAAAGAAAAATTTTGGAATATACCAAAAATAGAAATAAGAAGAAACATACCGATTATTTTCAAATGCCAGATACATACTACGATCCAGAAACAGGAGTTTCCAAGAATAGAGACAAATTGGAGCTCATTAAGAAAAGAGATGACTACATTGACCATCATCACAAGGGCAACAGATCATCAGATCAGAAAAAATTGGAAGATGATCTCATTCAACAATCTACGATGAAGTTTGGAGCAATGGATAGACTTAAGCAAGCTGAAAGGGAATACGAAAAGGAAAAACAAGTTGAATTGGAAATTGAGGATGAAATTGAATTTATTCAAGAAATACTTGAAGGAAAGAGAGAAATGCCAAAAGAATTAATGAAAGAGCTTGGATTGAGCGAAACGCCAGGTACAGAAAAGAAAAAAACCTTATCAATGGAGGAGTTCAGAAAAACATTACCAATCTATCAAATGAGAGACAAGCTAATTCAAGCTGTACAAGATAATCAAGTAGTTATCATTGTTGGTGAAACAGGTTCCGGTAAAACCACTCAATTGACTCAATATTTACACGAGGCTGGGTTCACTAAGAATGGGAAAAAAATAGGGTGCACCCAACCTCGTAGGGTAGCTGCAACTTCAGTAGCTACTCGTGTTGCTGAGGAAATGGGAACTAAAATAGGAGATAAGGTCGGATACACCATTCGTTTTGAAGATCTCACATCTGAGAATACAATTATCAAGTATATGACTGATGGTATGCTTTTAAGAGAGTTTCTCAAAGAACCTGATTTGGGAAGTTATAGTGTATTAATGATAGATGAAGCTCACGAACGGTCACTTCATACTGATATTCTATTTGGGCTTGTGAAAGATATTGTTAGATACAGAAATGACATTCGTTTAATCATATCAAGTGCAACAGTTGAAGCTGAAAAATTTTCAAAGTACTTTGATGGAGCACCAATTTTCAATGTTCCTGGAAGAAAATTTCCTGTTGATGTTTACTATACAAAAGCTCCTGAGAATAATTATCTAGATGCAGCCGTTGTTACAGTTCTTCAAATCCATCTTTCCCAACCTGATGGTGATATTTTAGTATTTTTAACAGGTCAGGATGAAATTGAAAAATGTGAAGATATGCTAACAGAAAAGCTTAAAATGATACCATCAAAAGGCAAAGGACTAATTGTAGTACCAATTTATTCTACCTTACCTTCAGATCAACAAGCCAAAATTTTTGAACCTACTCCACAAGGCTTTAGAAAATGTGTTTTAGCAACCAATATTGCTGAAACATCACTTACCATCGATGGAATAGTTTATGTAGTTGACTCTGGATATTGTAAGCAAAATAGTTATAATCCAAGAAGTGGAATGTCTTCATTAGTTGTCACTCCAATTTCAAAAGCTGCTGCAATTCAAAGAACAGGCAGAGCTGGAAGAGTGGCACCTGGAAAATGTTTCAGATTATATACATCCTATTCATTTAATAATGAGCTGGAAGAAAGTCCAACACCTGAAATTCAACGTACTAATCTAGGAAATGTTGTATTGTCATTGAAAAATTTGGGAATTAATGATTTGATTAATTTTGATTTTATGGATCCTCCACCTCCAGAAACATTAATTGCTGCTCTTGAACAATTATATGCCCTGGGAGCTCTAAATGATGCTGGCGATTTGACATCAATGGGCAGAAGAATGTCAGAATTTCCACTTGACCCACAACTATCCAGAATGCTTATTGCCTCTGAAAAATATGGTTGCACAGAGGAAATTGCAACCATTTGTGCTATGCTATCTGTAAATAATTCTATATTTTTTAGACCAAAAGAAAATGAGTTACAATCTGATAATGCAAAAAAATCATTCCACCATCAACATGGTGATCATTTGACTCTTCTTAATGTTTTTAATGAATGGGTAGAAACTGGTTATAGTATTCCTTGGTGCCACCAACATTTTATTCAAGAAAGGTCAATGCTAAGAGCAAAAAAAATCAGAGAACAACTGGTACAACTTATGGAAAAGGTTGAGATTGAATTAATTTCAAACAGTGAGGATTCTGAAGCCATACGAAAGGCTATTACAAGTGGTTTCTTCTACAATGTAGCTACGCTTGAAGGACACACAGGAAGTTACAGGACAATGCATAAGAAACAAACAGTCTATATCCATCCATCCTCTTGTCTATTCACTGGAAATGATAAGGATAAGGTTGTAACAATTATTGGTGATCCAAAGTTGGCAGCAAAAGAACAAAAAGATCCACCAAAATGGGTTGTCTTCTTTGAGCTAGTTCTCACTACCCAAGAATTTATGAGACAAGTTATTGAGATTGAACCAACTTGGTTGCTAGAGATTGCTCCTCACTTATATAATGGTAAAATTACTGTTAAGGAGCATAAGATGCCAAAAACTCTTGGAAAATCAAGTCGTAATAAATAATTCTTTTACGAAATTGGTGTTATTTACAAGTTTACAGACGATTAATCTCTAATTGTTCCCACATATACTCTACAACCTCTTCACGATTCATACCACTCAGGTCATATGTTTTTGTTTCTTCCGTACCACAAATTAATGCCACAGTATTTGCATTCTCTAAATCGAATATCAGTGGGGCAATATGTTCGTAAAGTTGAACTGAAAATTCTGTTGATTTCTGATAATCTTCAATATCTCTCTTTAGTTGTGCTTCCTTTTGTTCTAATTCTTCCAATTCACTTTCTATCAAGGCTGAATTATGTGAATAATTTTTAATATCTTTATCAATTTGGTCAATACTGAATTGAATTTCTTGGCATTCTTTTTTCAGTATGGACATTCTCTTCTCATGCTCTTGTGTGATGAGTGTCTTGTTTTGACATGATTTTTCTAAACTTTTTAATCTAAATAACAGATTACTCATTACGTCTTTAAATTTTAATTCTTGCGATTCGGAATACTTTTGAATAGTTTCTTGTGCTTGTGATATATTCCGAACTCGTGCAAAATTACTTTCCATGTTTAACGCATCCAATAAATTTGTTGTCATTTGATCCAACGTAAGAAGATCTATTTCTGGGTCTTTCTTCAAATCATCCAAGTTGAGTCCTTTGTGTTGCATTTTTTATTAAATTTTTAAAACGAATTTTGGCGGGATCTTTTTTTAATAAAACGAATTTGGCACTCACTTTCGTACTCAAAAAAATTAAGCGAAAATCTCCATCAAAAAAAAATAACAACCCTTCTCTTTAGCATCTGGAAGAAGGATGATTTTTTCGGATTTGCCCTTCGAGGTTAAATGTCATATTTTTTCATTTCTGGATTATTTGGAATTTATTTTGCAAAGAGGATTATGCTTGAATAGTAATTTTTATAGATTACTAAATTCTTCTATCGGAACACCAAGAAAGCTTATTTTTGGATGTGCAAATAAACCAATTCACAGAAGAAATGAATTGGATCAAAATGAGGAAGAGGATATTTGTATTACAAATAACACACCAATATTTGAGAGAATAACAAAAGTACTCATTCCAAAATTCATCATACCAGTGTCTTTTCATAAGAGTATCACATACCTAGATGTACATCATATCAGTTCAAAGCTTACCATGAAACAAACTGTTGACTTGTGTAAAGAATTCCCGAATCTAACTCAAGTTCATTTTGTAAATCATTTCCCTACATTAGCAAGACTCAAGTCCTTTATCTTGGAGTCTCTTTTTCCTAGTCATTGCCCACATTTGAGAGTAATTGATATTACTTCTGGAGAATTAAATGCATCTCAACACCAAAGTATGAATGGAGGATCTGTAAAGCAACAAGTCACACCTATTCAGAGATTAATGTCTGAAGAGGACTTTCCTGTAATTGTTGATTATGCTCTTTTAGTTTTACCTGACACTGCCTCTACAAAAAGTGCTTCTGGTGCTGGAGGGGGAGGAAGTGGTGGAAGTCGCTATTTGAAAATGAATGATGAACAAACTCTGTCATTTTTAAGACAATTAATTGAAAAATATCATGTACCAATCAATACATGCATACAGGGGAAATATACTTTCTTATCAGGTGCCTGTCATAATGGGCATTTCGAATGTATCAAATATTTGTTGAATTTTGGAGCAAATAGCAGAAAGAATTTATCAAAATCGACTGATAGTTTAAGTAGAAGCATCTCTTACGATTTAATTAGTTATGCTGAAAGTGCAGAAAAAGAAATTTTACTTTTGAAATCTCAGCCAAATAGAGCTATGTATTTTTCATTTAAAAGAAATTTCTGCATTGCTCCTCTTATAATAAGTTTAAAGGAGAATATTATTAATTTTTTATTGGAACGCCAGGTATCTTTATGCGAATATCAAATTGGTTCTATTATTCAACACTTAAGAAGATCATTAGCAAACATTTCACTGGTTACTCCTGAGCTTAAATTAAAAATTTTAGAAAAGAAAAAGAAACAAGAACAACTGTTTTATAATTCATTAAGGAAGGTTAATGCATTTTTATTCAATTTTGATGATTTGGATAGAGAGACTGGCTGTTCTCCAGTGCACCAAATTTTAGATTATTCAAGTTTAAGATTGATTTTTGACAAGATGGGAATTTATCCAATATCTGCCTCTACGGAATCTCTAACAGATGAGGTTATCGATATTGTAAACAGAAAGAATATTTATACTGGAGCAACAATCATACACTTGTTGTGTGCCTCTTCTTCTTCAATAAGCAAGATGTACCAACCAACTTCAATAACTGAACTCATATCCAGTCTGAGTAGACCAGAGAGCTCAAATCTTACAGTTCTTGATAGTGAGGTTTTCCACAATATTCAACACTTGCATAATGCATTGGGGGCCAAATTGGATATTTATGATATGAATGGTATGATGCCAATTCATTTATGTATTGATATGGAGAGGTATGAGTTGGCTAGAGAGTGGCTAAAATGGAAACCATCACATGCACTCTTTCTTACTAAATCTACCAATGAATCAATATTACACATACTAACAGAGCACCTTTTCCAATCCCTTTTCGAGTTTAGTGCCTCAAGTAGTGAGGATGAGGGTTACAGAAGATGTATGAACAATAATTTTATTCTTGAATCACCTGCTTCACCTTCTTCAGATATTTCAATCCCTCTCAAAGATAGGTTAGAGGATAGCCTGTTAGAGAAACGAAGAATGGAGATGGTAGAAAAAGAACGAGAGAACAAGGTTACTAGAATTATTTCACTTTTCAAAGTTATTCTAACTGGGTTGGATTTGACTAATCGCGAGAAACAAGAGCTTATTAGTGTAGAAAATGATCTTGGGAGCAATGTTTTGGATATGATTGAATCATCTATTGAGGAAAATAGCTATGAGGAAGATGATGAATTCTTTAGACAACACATTTACCAGCTGAAACAATTATTAGAATATTAAAGAATATTGAAACAATTATTATTCCGAATTATTGTTGTATTTGTGTCATATTACTTAGTATTCCGAATAATTGTTGTATGTTTTGTATTGAAAAACCGAAAACATACAACAAAAAAAATGTCCCAAAGTGTTGATGATATCTTTGAAGAAATGATGAGAGAGGAGAAAGCCAAACTACTTCAGGCAAGCTCCTTTCAAAAACATAAAGAACAAGTTACAACGGAATACCTAGGAGCAAAAATTAACAAATCATCATCTAACACTTCAGCATCCGATACAAAAACGCCATACATTTCGTCGGAAATTGAAATTCTACTCCAACAAACACCACAACAAATACTTCAAAATATACAAAGAGATGTAAATTGTTTAACCAGTACAGAAAAGGGAAAAAGAATTGGTGCGATGAAGAAATTAAAATCACTTTTTGATGCTATGGAAAGCAGAAAAGATAGCCTTCCTATTGTTGATTATATGAAGTTTTTCTTTTCTCACATTTATCAACCACTCTTAAAACTATTTTCCAATGAAACTGAATATTGCAGAGAAACTTCTGTAAAACTGATTGCAACCTTCATTAGCTATGCAAGCAGGAGTGAAATAGAAGAATCTCTTCCCTTCATGATACCAATACTGGAAGAAAGAATGAAAGGTCCAAAGGAAAAATTTAATGAAGAAAGCGAGGAAGTTAGAGTATCACTTGTCAAATTGATGAAATTATTGATTGAAAAATGCACTTCGATCTTTGAGGATGCAGATTACCTACAGGCAGCCATTCACTTTTTGGAAAAAGCTTTTGAAGATTTTCATGCTGTTAAAATTGAGGCTTGTGGTTGTGTTGTTTCTCTTTGTTTGTCTCTCAAGGAAACAACAATCAAGCTTTTTTCAGGATCACTGATAAAAAAACTTGTCCCTCACCTTAAACATCAAAGATTTAATGTACGGTCTGACGTTCTGGAAGCAATTAAGCATTTAGTCTCTTGCGGATCTGTAGAAGTGTTGGAAGAATTACACTCTCCTTTAAGAGAATTATGTTTGGACAGATCTAGTGCTGTGAGGCAAAAGTTGTTGGATGTGGTTATTGACTGGACACTTAATTTAAGAGACAAATACTCATTTCAACACAACTTTGTCTATTATCTTGTCTTGCTTAGCTCTGATGAAATTGACACAATTTCCAAATCTGCATTTGACTATATTTTGGAAGCTGGGAGACAATTTGAAAATGATCACGAAGATGAAGTCAACGAAACTAGAATGTATGATGAAGATGAGAATAATCAAATCAAATCTACTGTTTACGAAGATGTTGAAAGATTACCAAAATTACCGCCAGTAATTATTCAAAGACCTCTTCTTGGTTCTAGATTGCTTGTAGGAAAAAAACATTTGACAAAGGTGATTAATTATCTGATTACAGATTTTGAAGATTGGAGTCTCCAAAGAAGAATTGAAGCAGCTAAAGCACTTCAATTGTGTGTGATATTTGCCGAAAGAAATCTGACACAACATTTGGACAAGTTAATGGTCACATTATTCCAAGCCTGCAATGATGACGAAAAGGACTTAAGAGAAGAGTCACTAAGGGTTGTATCTCTGATAGGATACTTTTTAGAACCAGAAACATATTTAAATATTATTTATAACAATTCCAGACCAGAATATGCAGCATCCCCAAAATTTTTATCAACTGTTCTCAAATGCCTCTCCCTTTTGGTTTCTCACTCCCATTCCATGTTAGTATCTAAAATTTTACCTACCTTATTGAACAAACTTGGATCACAACATTTGGTTTATAGCGAGGAGCCAAATGTCAAGTTAAATATTTTACACATATTGGATGCCTGTCTGTGTAACAAGTCAGTTACTACTCTAGAGATAGGGTTTGAAGTATTCATTTTGGTTTTAAAGGTTTGTTCCCAGCCAAATACCCCTGAGGTAATTTCTAAATCGGGTCTTTCACTAATGGATCAAGAGGCAAAGTTATTCGGTTTGAATAATGTTGAGGAATTCTACAATATCTATTATGAAAAAGCTTTTACAATATTCACCTCTGATGTTGCCTCTTGGGATAAGTTATCACCAAATTTTTATTCTTTCGAAGCCCTTCTTAGAAATTCACCAAAGTCCACCATTATCCACTTTTCAAAGATTTTTGAAGTATTGGGAATTCATCTTGCTACGGACAAAGATCCAATGATGATTCTCAGACTTCTCTCTGCTTTGAACTCGATTATTTATTCGAGTGGAAAAGAACTATCTCAAGAACACATTCATTATATATTAACACATTTTATTTACCCACACTCCAAATGGAGAAATGGAAGAGTATACGTTGATGTTAGAAAAGCTGCAATTTCATGCTTTAGCTGTATAGTTCGACAACAATTATGTACTACAAAGGAAACTATCCAAACATTTTGCAGTGAAAGTCAATTCGATAATTTTATGTCGTGCATGGATGATGATTTCGATCCTCATTTGAGAGGTCTTGTAGTGAAGATAATGATTGATTTAATAGAGTATTCTCATGATTTATTAACTGAAAAGCAATGGGATACCCTTTGTACAGAATTGAGAAATAGAATGGAGGATGAAAATGATGATGTGAGAGCAATTACATCTACTACTATCGGTCAACTACTTCTTTATCTTCCAGCCCAAATGGTAGACCAATGTACTGCCCTCGTTTTTTGTTTGTCCACTCACATGGATGACCCTAATCCAGAGATTAGAAAATCTTGTTTTAATACTTTTCAAACTGTGATATCTGATTTCAAAAATCATCAACACTTGGAATATGTAAAAGAGAGACTAGATACAATTAACCATCAAATTAGAGGTTTTCTTCAATCATCAGTTAGGGCTAAGAATGATTCCTTACCTTACCAGAATTTAATTTGAAATAAAAAGAATGTTTCTCCAGTTGAATATTACGTGCTGCAAGCAACACCGAGAAGCGAGCATGAATCACAGAACATGAGGACAGAGGTCCTATCACACTCAGCGATCCTCTGGAACAACAAGGAGAATATTGCTAAGGCTGATACCTAACAAAGGTGGAGTGTTTAAAGACGGTAATTGTTGAATTCTGTGCCATAAAGACACCATCAACTACTGTTAAACGCGTTGCTCCATTCAGCACTAGGAGTCGTTCTCAACATTATGCCAAACTCAAAAAATTTTAATTGTTATTTTTTAATTGGTTGTGGTTGAAGAAAATTACCGATATTTGTTCGAGCATATTCCACATTTTAAATTAGTCTTGGGTGATGACCAATCATTGGGCATAATTAAGGAAAGGAAGATGTATTTATTTATCTCTTCCCTCATTAACCGCCAAAAACATTATTTTGCAATCGTAAAAAATAGTGCTCACCTGGCAGCACGTCATCATCAAATATTATTTATTTATTGAGGAATTGGTTGGAGGATTTAGGCTTTGAAATATCTTCGGAATGTCTCAAAGAAATCCAAAACTTGAAAGAAGTGATTCTAACCTCAGTACTACATCCACTCCTTCATCATTGGAGGATATTTACAAGGCAAAGAAGAATTTACCTTTCAAAACTATAAATTTAAGCGCTGTAAATAGAGTTGAACAAATATCGAGTAGAGGAGGTTTTGGACCAACACCAGAAATTGAGACTCCTGATTTTGCTGCCCTAAGAATTAAAACACCAACAGCACAACTGGGTAGACCTACTGAAAAAATTGATTTAAATTTCCCTAAATTAAGCTCGAGAAAAACACCACGATCTGCTAGGGAAGAAAGTTTCATATCACTAAATTCTAGTGAGATCAAAACATCAACACCCATAATTTCCCCAAAGAAAAATAGATCAGCAACAGCAATTGGACATTCGAATGAAAAAAAGGATTGGTTTTCTGAGGAAAAGAGAATAGACAATTCTCTGAGTGAATTAACAAAATATGAGAATTATAAATTTCAACGATGGAATAGAAATCTTGAGGCTGTCCCAATTGAGCAACCTGCTGATAATGTATTAATGAGAATTGACAATGATGAAGAGATCACTCCTTTTCTTACAGAACTAACATCAAGAAACAGACAAATACAGAGGAGGACACCCCTTGGCAGGCATACTCCAACAGCAAACGAGGAAGACAGCGCAGAGAGTATTATCAAAAATAAGCAAGCAAGATACAGATCATTTCTCAATAATAGAACATCAAGTTTAGCTGAATCAAAAAACCAAAGACCGAGTACATCCTTTGAAATGTACAAGAAGCAATTGTTGGATGCGGAAGAAAAATTTGATGCCTTGGACACAAGTTGGGCTGAATTTGGAATGACTTCTACATCTTCATTTCTGAAAAAAATTCAAACCCTAGACGTGAAAAAGAGTTCCATGAAAGAAATAGAGGACGATCTAAAACGAAAAATTAAAGAATTCAAGGAAAATGCCAATAAGAAAGACCTTCAAAACCATATTAAGGAAATTAAAATTCTCAAAATGAAAAGAAGAAAAGAGATGAAACAAGTCTACAAAAAAGACCTTATTTCAGAGAATAAGTTTATTGCAGCATCACTTACCAAGGAAGCTAAAGATGAAAAGAGAGACCTCTTTTCAAGGCAACGAGAAGAAAGAATTAAACAGGCTCGAGAACAAAAATTACACAATTTACTGGAGAAGAGGGCTCGTACAGAAGACATGATCAAGGATCGAGAAATGGTATGTATTTTCGAATTAGTAAATTTAACTTGGGTTATAGAGGGAAGAAATCAGAAATCAACAGCTCAAAAAAATTTCTCTTCATACTTCATGGAAAACTATAGTTACGATTATTAACTCATTGTACATAATTAAAGAAAAGATTAAGCTCTCATACGAAGAACGAGAAAGAAAGAAGGAAACAATCGAGGAAGCCCCAATGTTGGACGTTCAAGATGCAGACTATGAAAAAAAGAGACAATATTTCAATTTACTTTTTCGTGAAAAATACCAAAATACTCTGGATCGTATTAAAGAACTTATTGGTAATGGTGTGAGAAGATGGAGGGAGCAAAAGAAATATGAATCAATTCTGTTGATAGCCAAATTTTTGACTGACTTGGCAGAGACGTATAGAATTCCTTTGGCTGTTTCTAAATTCAAAAATGCTGTAATCAAGGTACAAAGAGCTTACAGAAGCTACTTGCAAATGAAGTCATCCCAAAAGTTATTGCATTTTCTTCAACTTGAAAAGTTTATTCAGAGAAGAGTGGAAAGAATCGAGAGAGAAATCTCCAAACTGTATAACGGTAAAAAGGGAACGAAACCTCAAGAGGTTAATAGCCAAACTCTTAACAAAATGATGAGTTCAGCAACTTTAGGCGTTCAAAATTCGAAAGTACTCTTCGATTTAGTTGCCCAAAAAGAGGAAATTAAGAAAATACCGAAGTAAGTTGCAATTTTTTAAAATTCTGTACATAAAATTGATTTTAGAGAATTGAAAGAAGAGGTTGTAAATAGATACTATAACGAGAGAAGATCTGAGCATTTCAGAAAATTAAGACTCTTCGAAAAGGAGACAATGTCAATGAAAAAAGCCTCCGTGTTTTCAGACTTTAGGCCAAAACAAAGTTTCACTCTTTCTAAAAATGAATTACAATCCCTTTTCGATGAATGCTACAGACGAACGAGAGAAGATATTCAACGAAGAGAACGATCTCACCTTGGTGGTATCAGAACTGAGTCTAAGATGAAATTAAACCCAGAGGCCCAAAAATCATCAAACCAGCTATTCAAACTAGCAAGAACAGCAACTAGAATAGCTGTTGGCTTTAAGAACATGTCAAAACCGTCAGAAACTCATCTTACATCACCTAAACCAGTACAATTTACAGAAAATTAAGAATAAAGGTTTAAGAGATGCTTTATTATGTACCGAAACGTTTTCTGTCAATAACAGGTGGTAAAAGTTCTTCTGTGTGAGTATTGTAATCGAATGAAGCCATTATCAGCTCATTACCACAAACAGATGAAAATCCAATCATATCTTCAGTCTTTCCTAATCTGTTTGCTAAAACATAATCCTTAATTTCAAGAGTACTGGAATCCAGAAGGAAGCAACGAGTCAAAGAGGTAACCAAATAGTACTTGAGTGAAAGTTGATGAAGAGAACTGATTACTGCTTGGTTCAATTTTTCAGTAGGGAATGACAATGGAGAAATAATAGTTCTACGCTTGTTAGCATCAAAGACAGTAATGGTATTTGGATTGGAGAGAGAATAAAAGGCAGGACACACACTATCGCATGGATTTAAAAAGCCAATCTTGTATATAAATCCGTTATGTGTTGGTAATTCTATTTCAAAATGAACCTTATTATTCTCAGAGATTAAACTCTCCAATCTATAACACAGTACAAGATTCCCTTTTGATACAATCACATACTTTTCATTAGCAATCAAGCCATTAATGGAATTTGAAAATACTCTGAATGGTGAGTTTTCATTTTCGAGTGATGAATCAATCTTTGAGGATGGTAAATGGATTGATTGAACTGTCTTCTTTTCAATATTAAATAATTGAAGAGTTGAACAATCTCTGGATGCAATTAAAAGGTGATTATTTCCTGCAAATGCTGTATAGTGACCAGGTACAACATTATATTCCTTATCAGAAAGGTTAATCTTATTTTCCAAAGAAACTCCTCCATTTTCATCTGTGGCAAGTGTTATTAAATAAGTGCAATCAACTGAAGCGACAGATATATGCTTTCCATTTGGTGAAATGTCTGACATGGAACTATACCAGTTACCCTTACTTTTAATTTTGACTTGCATTAAAATTGAGGCTGGGTCATTCAAACTAACTTGTCTATTCTCGATATTAGATTCTGGCAACTTTAAAAGTGTAATTTGATTAGCCAAATTATCATAAAGAGCCAATCTTGAACCCGTAGCAACTTTTAGCAAATCTCTGTTTGGTTTGATTCTTATTCTGTCAAAGATTTTATCCTTTAAATCTTGTTGTCTATAGAAAATTTCAGTCTTCATTCTCAAAATGGCACAATTAAGACCTCCAAAGTAAAGAGATTTTTCCTTCTCGCAATATACCATGTCCAATAAATCATGGAGGGATGGTCTCTTTTTAATGACAGAGACATACTTCTTGCCAACTTCTTTGTACATGGAAATACTTCCATCAACACCTGTTGAATAAATAACACCAGGTTTTTGGATGCAAATTCTCAATACATCACCATCATGTCCCTTAACTGAGTTAACAATAGCTCCTAAACGATAGTCACAAAAGTGAATATTTCCCTCAGAATCACCAACAACCATAATGCTATCATTGAGTATTTCCATACACCAACAGAATGAGTTCTTTAAGGAAATTTTGTAGACAAGTGTTCTCTTATTGAGGTCAAAACAATAAACTCCGGTCATCCCACCAACAAGTACCTTATTACCTCCATCAATAATCTTCGTGGTTAGCATTCTATGACTATTTTCACAATGCTTATATTTCTTTCCACTAGGTGGTTCATTGGTTCTTGAAGGTGCAAGGAAGAATTTCAAACTCAAGTCTTCATCGTTAATAAGTCTTACTGCTCCATCTTCACAAGCAATAGCAATTAAATTCTTTTCAGCACAATGATCCATACTCCAAATAGCACCTCCCAAAACTGAAGTAGAAATTCTCTTCGGGCTTTGTCTTTCCAAATCCCACTCTGTAATCATTCCATGGAGACCTGCTGTGAAAAGTCTATTATCTCCTGTCCATATTATTGACTCTATTGTAGTTCCAATCTTTCCTGGTAATCTCTTAATAAGAGTACAATTTTCAATTGGACGATTAGTGTCTACACTACTTTTTTGACCATCAATTGACCAAATTTCAATTTCACTATTAAACCTAGCAACAGCTAAAAGTGATTGAGTAGGATTAAAACAAAGTCTCTTAATAGCTGAAATGTGAATATTTTTAGTAACATTTAATTCATCAACAATAAAACTACTATTACGATGTGTTGTTGGTTGATGTTCTCTTTTTACTTTCTTTTCTTCAACATGTTCAATTGTGTTGTTGTTGTTAGTAGTGGTTGTAATAATTTTGTCTCCATATTTTGCTGTTGTGTTTGCTGATGTTGGTTCACTCACTTCATCTTCACGAGGAGTTGATTCTAAAACCTTTTTTGCTGAAGAATGCTGTTGTTGATGCTTTCTCTTCTTTGAGGAGTTTGGTGTTGCAACTTTCTTCATTTTTTTTGTAGAGCAAATTTTCTTCATCAACAAGAAGAATGAAATTAGTGGTGTAAATAAATTGGTGAAAGGAAAATCAGTTCTGACAGCAGAAAAACCGAAGCTAATTGATAAAGACATTAAATCATCTAACTCTTCATCAAAGTCATTCAACAACGATTATTACTAGCTAAAAATTGAAAAATTCTTCAACAAAAAAAATGAGCGGCATTTCAGCGTTTTTAGGGCAAGGTGGAAGCAAACCAACTTTCATCCCCTCTAACAATTATAGAGGAGAAAAACCATCAAATAGGCACTCTGAAAAATCATCGGATCACTCAGGTGATCATCATGGTGTTTCTTTTGGAGGCTCTTATATTAAACACATTTCCGAAAATGATAGACCAATGAGAAGAAGAGACTATAACAATAGAGACTCCAACTATAGAGGAAATAATAGAGGAGGTAAAAGAGATTTTAATAATAGAGGCCGTGATTACAGAAAGGATTTTTATGGTGGATATTACAAGAGAGAAGATGAGTTTGGTTCTAAATCATTGCCTGAAGAAAAGGATGAAGAGTCAAAAGCTGAGGAAGAAGCTTTGGCTCTCAAATTGGCCGAACAAGATGAGTCTCTCCAAGCAATTGGTTCCGAATTTTTTATTCCTGTCGAACAAGAATATGACATGTTTTTAAAGAAGTTAGTTAATTGGAAAAACGATTCTCACTCAATTTCACAGAAAATGAACGATGGTGCACAACTCAAACAATTTAGAGAATATGATGAAGAAGCGTCACAGCAAACAAAAGATTTAATGCTTCAGATATTCAAATCAAACAGTCAAACTCAAGCTCCAAAGAGTATTTGTGCTACCACTGATAGAGAGCTAACATCTACTTTTAAAAATTCAGTCTCTGACATTCAAGAAGATGTTGCTAGAGGAAGAAACAAAAATTATGGACTTTTAGATAAGACAATCCTTCACTATGAGGATATCATGTACTCACTGTGGAAAGCTCCACTTGTTACAGACAGAAAATCAGAAAAGGATACAGAATCAACTTTGGAAGAGGATAGTTTTGCAAAATTCCATGAAGAATTCGAACGAGAAAATAATGAGAAAAAAGAAATTGATACCTTTTCTAAATTTGCCGATGAATTATTCGAAAAATGTACAGACCTATATAGAATTGCAGAAAAAGCTCCACTCTTTGATGTTACCCAAGATGAACAAATGCAAGAAGCTATTCAATCTGTTATAGATACCTCTAAGAAATCTGTATATAAGAATACCGATGGTCCACACGATGCTGGACATTTATTTTTTGCTGTTTCTGATTTATTAGGTAGAAAAGATGAGAGAGAATACGCATCAGACAGAAAAGCAGACAAATCACTCACCAACAATAATCCAAAACGATCTCGTGATGACTATGAAAGTGAGGAAGAGAATTTGGAAGAAGATAGACAAGTCAAAGCCACCACCACCTTTGAATTACTGGGTGATAGATTCAGGTTATTACCAGAAATTCACAAATATGAGAATTATCTAAAACGTTCTATGGGTGTTACTGGACTTGATTACAATGGAAAAACCTCACTCAATAACAGAAAAAAGCAAATACGACTTGATTCCTCAGTTGCCATGCGACACGAATGGATGGATAAGGAACCAAAAGAAACTGCTAAGTTGGCTACCCCTCATACCCATCTCTCAAAAATGGTTCTCTCACTGAGCGAAAAATGTAAACAAGTTGTAGATAGTCTGCTCTATTAAAGAAGAATTGTTTTTTACCCCCAAATTAAATTTGATTTTTATTGTTGTAAACTCCCTTCAAAAAAATGGGTAGAAAGCAAAAGCAGCAAGCTGGTAATTTTGTTTTTTTAATGTCGTCTAGTTGCTCTACCACATTGATAGTAATACTAATTCTTACTTCATGTTTTATTATAGGAAATGTTGAGGGATGGAGACCTTTGGCTAGATTTTTACCTATCGGAGGTGATCAAGTCGATGACTTTGGCAACAGAAATGGACAATATGCCACACGAAAATTAATTTATTCTTCTAGTAGGATGATTTTGGATGTTTATCCTTCCTCTAATACTTCACAATGTTATGAACAAATAATAGAACCGTCCGATATATTACAGATGGATGAAAAAAGTTTGATTTCTCAACAATTTCATATCTTGCAAAGACCTTTTGAAAATGGAGATTTCAACGAACAAATGTACAGAACAAAACAAATTGTTAATAGATATAATGTGACAAACCAATTATATATTTTGAAATATGCTAAAACTCAATTACCACAACCATTTAAAATCATACAAATCCCTAATACCGATGAAAAAATAATGTGCAGAAGAGATGGATATTTAACATCTTTATTATTCGATAATCATCAATCTACCATTTTATACAGTACTGGATTTGTAAATCTTTTGGATTGCGTATACGTGGAGGAAAATGGTGTTGATACTATTATTGTTGTTGGTATTCAAAATATTGAAGGAGGAGCTGCCACTGCAACCATTATGAAAATTGATTGGAGGAACAGTGCGTCAAGATCAACAACTTTATTTACTCTTCACACATTCGATACAACTTATTTTGCCAGTTTTATTGGAAAAATAATGTTAACAAAAACTCAATCTATGGTTATTCTTGTTGGATCAACTACCGAAGATATATTAAGGCTTTACCATGTTACCTATAGTTTTGTTTTTTATGTTGGAACCATTATTGATCTTCAACAATACTTGCCTCGTACCTATAAGCCTCCTCTACTTTCAAACCAATTGGAATTACCATGTCAAATATTTCAAAATAATACAATCACTCTCTATACAGTAGTAATGGAGGAGTATAGATCAATAGCTATTTTAGAAATTAAAGGCGAAGATAAGGGCTCATTCAGTGTTTCAAGAGTTTTACCCATCTTGGATATTCCTCGAAATGAGAGCTCGATTTCGAACATTTTCCTTCTAAATAATAATGCCAATCTCTTAGCCGTCTCATATGCAAACAGTACCAGATATGTGTCACATATTTACGCAGATACTTCTAGCAATAATATGTTAAAATATGAAACAAGAGCATTTGGTATGAAAGATATAGCAAATATAATTAATCTAAAACAAGTACACTTTTGCAATGTATTTGATACTATTTTTTTAATGGAAATAAGAGAAAGATCCATTCAAACATTTACTATCACTACAAAGAATCTCTACCCAGAACTTGTGAATGATATCAAACGATTCGAAAGTGATTGGAGACCTGATAAGATTGATGGCAAAAAAATTCAGGTCTTGGATTTGGTATTCGATAGTGATAATTCTACGTACATCAGTTCAAATAGCAGCTCAGTAGCTGATATTAGATATGAGATTGACAATGCTGACATTGGCATCAAAGCATCAGTAATTCACTTATTGCGTATTGATTTTGATGTGAAAAGTTTTACAATCAGAGCTATCAATTCACTTTCTATTGTATACTACAATTTACCTTCCAGTGTCACCAAGGATCTCTCTTCTTTCTTTCCCTACTCTAACAATACCATAGTTTTTACAATTAATACAGTCAATAACACAGTTGAATATACTGAACTCTTTGAGTTTGATACATTCGCATGGATTCAAAATGTAAGAAAAGAATTTAATGATATTAGCACAGACGACACAATGTACATTTTCGACGATCATCTCTATTTAACCAACTCTACAACAGGTGCACTCGTTACAAACTTGGAAAATTACAAGATTCAATATATTACATTTCCAAACCTTACTCAAATAGATCCTTTGGATAAAACCGTCAAAATCAGTACGGTTTTGCATAAGAACATGTCTGAATATCTTGAAACAGTTCCAAAACCTGTTTTTCCACATGAGCAATACATGTTTTTTGCGACCTCAAGAGGTTACATTTACCAAATGTCAATGGAGGGACTAAATTCACAAATAATAACTGAAAATACTATTTTTGTTGGAAACAGCTCGTGGATACCTATGTCAGGCCTATTTTTCAACCTCCATCTCTACCTTACTTTCTATCCTGGCCATATTCTCGACATTGAATACAAGGAAATATTTTTAAATGGTAAATACCAACTTTATCCTTACAAGAAGGAATTTTACGAGTTGGCCTTTCTTAATGATATATCAATGGGAAAGAAGTCTACCATGTGGACAGCTCAGCTTGATTGCTATGCTGAGTATACTTATTTCACAGGTGATAAGGAGGCAATTTACAAGTTAGAAATGAGAAATGTTCCACTCTCACTGTACGATATTGAATCTGTGAATATTAATAACATTGCAGATATGAAAGCATCTGATAATAGTGGTATGCTCTATTTAATAGACTATAACGGTAACATTTTGATAAGAGACATCTCCTTGTATCCTGATGTGAGATTCTATCTTGTCATTGCAGTAATTTCTCTTTTGGGTATTACTTTACTGGTTGTTAGTATTGTGTGTATTATTCCTGTAATAATGAGATACAGAAGGAGAAAACTCATATTTGAGAAGAGAAAGACCTTTAGAGAACTTGTTAAAAACAAGACAACTAATACTAAGTTCATTCTAGAAAGAAGACTCTATGTTGTGGATCCTTATATCTTATTTGTAAAGAAGAAATATTTTGCTCCCGACATTATCACTCACAGAAGTGTGGGTCCTCATGGTATTATGTTTGAAGCAACTATTCATAACTCGCCAGTCATGCTCAAAAAGATAACAACCAGTCTCAAAGTGTACAGACAAGATTTGGAAGAGGAAGCAATGAAGTTGGTATCTATACGTCACAAAAATGTACAGAAATATGTTGGATTATCAGTGGATGATCAAAACAACAAGTATATTGTATATGAAAAACTTCCAGATTTTGAAGGATCCCTTAGAGATTACATTGATTATGGCATACTCAAACACCAAACAATTTCAGAAGAGAAAATTTCTACTTACGAAAAGTTCTCAATATCATTCCAAGAAAAACTTGTCTTGCTAAGAGATACTATTAATGGACTTCAATACCTACACAAAAAGGGAATAACAATGTGGGGCAACTTGAAGCCATCCAATATTCTCATTCATTTTGTTGAGCCCGAAGAAACCACCAATACCATTCAAGAGCATTTGGACAAGTCCTATCTCACTTCCAGTCAAGCCAATTTTATTTCTGGTAGAAATGTAGCAAAAATAACTGATTATGCTTTCCTTCACTATTGTAAAGGTGTAATCTATAAGCCAGAAGATTTAATTTATACAAGCCCTGAGGCCCTTGAAAATGAAACATCTAAATCAGAAGCGTCTGTAGATATATATAGTTTCGCTCTTGTAATGTTTGCTCTTATATTTATGATATCTCCATGTGAGGATGTTCCATCAATTAATACCAGCAAGCCATCCATACCATTCGATAGTAACAATGACGAGGCAGTATGGGAATGGTTCTCAAACTCATACAGTAACGATGACTATTTAGGAATGCTAAATTACAACATTTTAAATCATGATAATACCAAAGTCAAACAGACTACGATTAAGAATATTAAGAAAATAGTTTCCATGATTGAGAAGATGTGGTCGAGTGATCCTTCATCACGCCCATCAATTCGTGAAGTTATTGAATTGTTCAAAGAAGTTATTGTTTAAGCAAGTAATTGTAAATCACTGTAATTTTATTTCTGTGGTACAACAAATATGAATGGTCTTTAAACGAACTCTTCTCAAAAAAAATAAAACTTTGAAAGATGGAGAATAACTATGCACCTTCGCCAAGCACGGATGAACCCTCATTTTTACCTCCTCTTCCATCTGTTTTTGAATTATTTGAGGGAGTCAAGACGAGAATATATGACCTCCTGAATGAATCGAAAAATATACTGCCTATTGAATATAATAGTATATCTTCAAGGTGTGTGGCTCTTGTGTTTGATTTTAAAAAAACTGAGCAAATGAATCACCTTACTGAAGAGGATAAGAACTATTATTTATGCAATGTAATGGTTCATGAAATTCACGATACCTTGCACTCTTTGCACGATATCGCTGAAGATAAAGTTGTGAAGGGTGAGGAACTTTCCACAAAGGAAGTACAATTTATTAAGGACCTAACAGAGCAATACAGTACATCATTGGAAGATATTCTACCAGAATTGGAATCAATGACACAATCTAAGGACCATGTTATAATCATGGATTCTGTTGTCGAAGATGGAAATAGTAATAGTAAAAAAAAGATGGAGTTTATGGAATTGAAAAATAATTTACATGCATTAAGTTTGGACATTATTTCAAAATTTGAAAACACTCATATTGCAATGGTTAACGAGCAATTTTTGTACTATTGTGTTGTCATTGTTGACAACATGAAAATAAGACATTTGTTCTTGACTAGTTATAGAATATACCTCACCTCTCAAGATTTAACCATTAAGAAAGTAATTGAATTGTATGACTTGTTGAAAATATCGAAAATTCAAAATGAAAATATAACCATATCAATAATTGGAAATAGAGGAATGAACATATTCTCAACAGATATTGCTAAACTTAGAGATGAATTATTCAAGGCAACAGATTTGTACAAGACTCCTCTGCAAGATACAAACCATGGCAATAATACCGCAACAACATCTACTATGAATATCTCAAATAATAACATTACAAGTCCAAACTCTGAAGATGGTGTAAAAATTCAAGTGCTAATTCGTAAGGCTGATAAATTGAGACCTTCTCCAAAGAAAAGACAAGATAACCCAATTTTCTATATGGGTATTGGAAATCCTGAACACTTTGGTCAGAATCGTGATGAGAGATTGAAAAGTATCAGTGTAAAGTCTGGAAGATCTCCAGAGTGGAATGAACAGTACAATCTTACTATCTATCCAAATAATGAACTATTGTTAGACGTTAGGTTGTATTCTAAAGTTGGTGCAACAAAGAATGATTTTGCCTATGGTGTTGTCAATATCCCACTCAAAGAAATTCTCTTCCCAAATGACAGTAATGAGATGAAACCAGAACTAAAAGGAAAGTGGGAAATTTGGTGTGGTATGAGTAAAACAGACAATAGTAGAAAAGAAGTGATTGGCGACTTGTATGCAACAATCAAGTTAGAGAGTCAAGTGTTACCAGAATGGCTCAACTCCCAAAAACAAGTTTTCCAATTGCCACTCATTTGCTTGTACAATAGATTTGTAATCTTTGAAAATTGCAATGAAGTTCCTTATGTTTATGGTAATATTTCTGATGAGAAGAGTGAAATTGTTGGAATAGTCCAACAATCTTCCAATAATCTTACCAATTTAATTGACACAAAGAATCGAAAGAAGATTTACACTTTGGAAAAGAGTTCATTCTTGAAAAAGGAATACACAATAAGAGATGCTCAAGGACATGTATTTGCTAAGTGTTTCCACAAGATGAAAACAATCAGAAAGAAAAAGATTAGAATGTACCTTGTCAATGGAGAATATTTGTATTCTATGGAAGGAGGTTGTTTTGATGATAAGAAGAATAATAATGAAGCTTTGATTTTGAACAGTTTGGGTTATCCAGTTGCTAGTGTTTTGTTTGGTGACAAGATTAATCCAAGAGGAAATATGATGATAGTCACTGTTTTAGATTCTCTGGTAGATCGACCTTTATTAGTAACTTTTTGTTTGTATGTGTTGAGAACAAGTAATTAAATATATTGTAAAATAATAAATTATCTAGAAACGCAAAAGGAAATCAAATATTTCAAGTCTGTAAGTACATATTTACATGAACGAGTCCAGTTTGCATCATCTCCAAGTTTAATGGTTTTTCCACCAATTTTGTCGTCTTGAATCCTGAAAATGAATGAGTATGATTATGAAAATTGTAAAACTTACTTGTAAGGTAACTCAAAATAGGTATCTTGTTTTTCTGCAAAAGTGCCTATTTCTTTTAGGCAATGAAGAAAAGCAACCATCGCCTTGTCAAACTTAGATTGCCAAAATAAACCGCCATTACTTCCACCTCCGAATAGATCATAACTATTCTTGTTATCTAAAGTTTCAATTCTTGAAAAACTGCCCATTGGAATAATCTTGTATTTTGAAAATGCAAAGTGTTTGTGTTTTGACAAGGAGAAAAGCAAAAGTGCTGCCTGACCCCATGCAGCATTAATTTCATTCCATTCAACGTTTTGTGTTGGTAATCTTCCTAATCTAAAGTTATTGATTGTTCCGAAATGGCCTTCATACCAAATGTGGAATGCATCATTAAAAACATTGGTGCTATTGAGTTTTTCCATTTCCTTTGTGACATGTATGATACGTTGTTGGATAGCCTCTCGTTCTTCATTATAGAGCAAAAGTTCGTTGTGAAAATCATTGTATTCTTTCCAGTAACTCTCTTGAAGGTTTGTAAATTTATCCTCTTTTTCTGTCTGGTGCTTTTCACGTAAGCTCAACTCTTCTTCCTCTTTTTGTAAAAGGTCCAACTCCTTACGAAGTAATTTCTCTTCTTCCTCTAGTAAGTCGAGCTCATTTTGTAAATCTGCTTCATTTTTCATACCAGATGATTCTTCAATTATTTTAGATTTGAAATTGGTATAAATAGCTTCTTCCTCCTTTGTCTTTTCCAATTGTTGATTCAATTGAGATGATACCTGTTCCATACACTCTATACAAAGTGGAGAATCCAATTGAGTAACATCGGATAAATATTGATACAATTGTTTTACATATTCTACATTCATTTCGTACTCCTCATTGGATATTACACACTTGTCCAAAAAATCAACATCCTCGTTCAATTGATTCATTCTTTGTTGAAGTTTCATTTGTTGTTGTTCTTTTTCTAATTGTAATTGTCTTAATTGTTGTTGCTCTTTTTTCTTTGCATTTGGATTGAAGGAAAATCTCTTTTTATCCTGTTGAGTCAATTTTTGTAATGGATTATTTGGTGTTGTTGGTCTAGGATCTTTTACTGCATCTGTTTTTCTTGGCAATGCAAAGGAAACATTTTTTGAGAGAGAAGACGACAAAATTTCAGCACTTGGTTGATCTGAATTGGTTGGTAAATAGCCTGAACTTTCATTTAAAGATGTTAAAGGGCTTGATTCATAAGTTCCCATATATGAGGTAGGAGTAAAAGAATTATCTGTTGGTTGACCATCACTATTTTCAGATTCTTCGAATGATGACATATTCTGATCATAATTTAAATTATAAAATGATGGATCATAAACTTTTAAGAATGCTCGTTTTGGAGGATTTTCTTCATCACCATTTGTCTCGAACATTATTTGAACAACCTGATGTTTACACCTATAACAAACAGCACTGTGTACAGCCTTTTTATACTTTGGAAAATATAACATTTCTGATAATTGTTGAACATCATCAGCCGACAGTTGAGGTGTTGCTTCCGATGATGAAATTGATTGTAATAAATTTTGATGATGAGGTGGGAGAGGAGTGTGCTGATAATAATAACTAAGAGCTGTTGTTGCTGCATTGATATTACTAACACCTGATGTTCCATTTGTTGCTTGTTGACTTGTTGAATTGGAGGATCCTGTTGATGTTGTTGTTGACGATCCAAGAATTGCATTCGAAATGTTATTGGTCAACACCTGTGGTGTGTTGTTATTCGTTCGTAATGCGGAAAGATTCGGCACTGATCGTGTGGAGGATAGTGAACCCTTGTTTTTTCTCATTTTTTTACAATTTAAATAGAATAAATAATAATTAATTGTAAATTTCTCAAGATTATATCATCACTTCCAATAAGAGTGTGTTTAATCAAAATACTACCAATTAATTTTATTGTTGTAATAATGGCAATAACAATTTTTTCTTCAATTTACGCCATATTGCCCCTTCCTTCTTACTTTGGATAAGAAAAAATTGTGTGATAAATGTGGGCAACACAAGTCATCAATTAATTGACAAAACAAATACATCCACCCTATCATCAAACGGAATTTGGAGAAAAAGAAATATTTTCTCTCCGATGACTACTTCCTCCACTTCTTACCTCCAAAATACAACAACACATTCCTCTCTTTTAACTTGTAATAATAGTAGTATTAAATCATCAAATATTTCAAACAATACCGTAATGAATAATAGTGCCTCCTCTTCTCCAATGATCAATTCACAAGAAATTCAATCATCACAGGAGGAAGAAAATAGGACACCACTAATCAAGCTAAATGTAAAACCAATACCTAAATTATTTACTGTTTTAAATTATCCTATAATAATTATAATGTCAATTATGAATGTTTTTTATTCATTATTTGTGAATAGTTGGAACTTTTTGCATTCATTATTTTCTCCCCCACAATCTAAGAAAAAGAAACAAAGAAAATCAAAGGAATATGATAATTCAACTCAAAATAGTTCCACTTCTTCAAATTCCTCCTCGAGCTCTTTACCCCCACTGGGGTTCTTGTCTGTTCTGTCAGGTAGGACAAGCCGTTCCAATTCTAATGCTGAAAAACCAACACAACAATCAAAAAAGTTTTTAATTTTGGACTTGGATGAAACATTAATTCACGCCAGCACTACACCACCAAGAGCTGATCATGAGAGATTGTACAATTATATTTTGGATGTTCAAATAGATCATGTAAATTGTACATTTTATGTTTCTGAAAGGCCTCATTTGAAATTATTTATGGAAAAAGTATGTGAATGGTATAATGTTGTAATTTTTACAGCTAGTGTTAAAAATTATGCAAACCCAGTCATTGATAGATTATACCATTCTGATAAGATTGTAAAACGATTATTTAGATCATCATGTTATGTCACTGAACATGGTGTCTATGTAAAAGATTTGAAAACAGTGACTGATGATCTCAGTAAATGTATGATCATCGACAATAGTCCTATATCTTACATGTGGTACCAAGAAAATGCAATTCCAATTTCAAATTGGATGGGAGATAATGAACGTGACAGAGCTTTGCTAAATTTACTGCCCTTCTTGGAAGCAATGAGACATTTGGAAGATGTAAAATCAATATTATCTTTTAGAATTGGTTTATAAAATCAAAATAATCTCCTTTATTCATTTTAGAATTAGTTAATTATCTTTTAGATATTCTTCATATTGTTGAGGGGTAATGCATTTTTTGAATGAAAATGCATGAATTCCTTTCATTTCTTCTTGGAGTTTAGTATTGACAAGTCTTTGCCTTTCCAATAATTTCTTTCCCTCAAATTCAGGGCTTACAATAAATACAGAAAATGCTAATTTGCAAGTAATTTAATAAAATTTAATTAAATTTAATAAATACCGCTTCCACACCCTCCACTATTATTTGATTAATGATGATAATTAATTTATTTTGAACCTTAAAACATACCTTTGATCTTCCACTTGAACAAAGGTTGCTCCGATTCTTTCTTTTAATAATTCTTCAAGTTTTGATGCAGTTAATACACTCATTTTTTAATGTAACTACCTGACCGAAGCGATGGACTCCATGCCTCTACTATTAATCTTTTTAGTCATTGTTTTTTATTCTATTCAGTTACTAGTATTAAAAGATGATGAGAAACTGTGAACTTTAAACTCTTATAAACAATACAGAATATGAAGTTTTACAAATTAATCATTTAAAAAAATGGGTGCTTTTCTTTCTCTTTTCAAAGGTGCAAATTTGACCCAATCAAGAATTTTAATATTAGGTTTGGATAATAGTGGTAAAACCAGTTTACTGATAAAGATGGGCCTGGTGACTAGTAGTAGTGATAAGAAATCTTCAAAATCCCAAACTGATTTGGATGATGATTTAACGGTGACGCCAACAATTGGCTACAATGTAAAGGAATTTTCGTACAAAGGAGTTGTTTTTAATTGTTGGGATTTAGGAGGACAAAAGAACATTAGAAGTCTTTGGAGTAAGTGCTTCAAAATAGTTTCCGTTTTGAATTTAATTTATTATTATATTTTCATCATCTGACAATTTAATTTATTTTACTTAATGACATTAATAGAACATTATTATAAAGGATCAAATGGTATTATATATATTGTAGATAGCGCAGATCATAATAGATTAAAAGAATCTAAACAAGAATTATTTCATCTATTGGAAGATCCTGATCTGAAGAATGTTCCGGTTTTAATTTTTGCTAACAAGAGAGACAAGGAAGGTGCTATTTCTGCAACTGAATTGATTGCAAAATTTGAATTGGAAGACTCGTTACAGTTTGTTAATGGAAAACATGATTGGTATGTTGAAAGTGTGAGCACAGTCACAGGTGAAGGTATTGAAAGTGGATTGAAATGGCTGGTCTCTAAACTGAAACAAAAACCATCAAAAGATAACTAGGATGTATTTTACTTGTACTTTATTCAATAATAATATTCAATACTCTCTTTATTTATTAAGAGCTGAGCTTCTTTTAACTTGTAAATAAATCCAAATAATTCTCTTGTTTTTCAAATTCAATTATTTTGCTGATTAAAAAAAATTGCAAATACAAGTTGTTAAAATTTCGTATTTCCATCACAAACAATATAACAAAATGGAGACTCGGGACGTTAGATTAATATTTAATTACACCACCAAAATTGCTAAAAGCTATAACTTGAGACCAGAAATAACAAAATCAAAAGGAATTTCTATCAATAGTATACCGTCACTTTTGAATCAATTAAAATCACGAGAGGAAAATGCTTCAGATGCAGAACATTTGGATTACATGAAGACCAGTTTATCTATTTATTCATTACCACTCTTTACAGTTCCTGAAATTATGGAAGGAAAACATAAAACCTCATCAACAACAACAACAACTGAAGAGGAGGAAGAAAAACCTGAAGTTATTGCAATCACTGATGAAACAAATGATGAGAATATCCAAACAGAAGTTATCTCCGAAGAACAACAAGAACCAGAGGAAACTGTACAACCTGAGGAACCAGCTGTTGAAGAAAAGAAATCAAAGAAGGATAAAAAGAACAAGAAGGATAAAAAGGAGGATAAGAAAGATAAAAAGAATGATAAACCAAAAGGAATAACAAAGTTGGAAAAGATGAAAGAAAAGTTACACAAAAAGAAATGATCACCTTATTAAATTTATTTATTTTAAAAGATGACAGATACCCTAGATATTATTTCATTACAAACTTGTTACAAAACGTTTTTAAAAAGTCATCAAAAGGAACTGTCTTATCTTTCAAAAGAACCTGCACTATTTCACTATCACCCTTCTTTTCCAAATTTACATTCAACTTAAACTGACCTAGTTGATAGCTGTCATCTGAGCATCTCTTAATGGTTATATTATTATTTCTTAGGGTTTGTTCTATTGGTTTAATACTAGCAGTAATCAGCTCATCGATTCGGTCATTCTTATTGGATGTGGATGTTTTGGTTTTTAATCCTTCAATTTCCTTCCTCAGCTCTGTTATCTTATTTTCCAATATTAATTTAGAGTGCTCATTTTCACATCTTAGCTTTTCGATTTGCTTCTCCAGATTCATTACATAATTCGTCAGATCCTTCACTTGATCTTTTAATTTTTGATTTTCAACAAGAATATTTGGAAATACTTCATGAATTTTCTCCTTCAACGTATTCATTAGGAGTAAATGTTCCTTGTTTGTTGAATAAAGAGATTGTGAAAGAGTAAGATTATTCTTCTGAAGTTGTTCGATTTTATCTTTCATCTGTTCCATTTCTTTCTCTGCTGAGCCAGTCTTGAGTACATTTTGCATCTCATCCCAAGAAAGAGCCGAGCTATCTATCGATGTTGATGACTGAGACATGTCAGAGTAACGGTTTGATGAAGTTGTTGTCATTAATAATTTTTGTAAATTGTCTTTTCTTGTTGAAGAGTGTCCACTGATGGAACTAAATCTACTCGAATTACTTTCGTTACTGACTGTTGATTTTGTATCGTCAAGATCCTCTCCGAATGCTGAGTTATTGTTGCTGCTACTACTGCCTGTATTTACTAAATCACTCGAGTTTAAATTATGATGAAAATTATTTAGATGATTATTTGTATTATTCGAAGGACTATAGGTTTTTAATGATGATGATATGAGGTTTCCATTGGTTTGAATTGAAGTGTTATTGCTTGGTTGATTCGACAAATCCGAAAGCCAACTGAGACCTCTTTGGTTTGTATTCATTTTTTCCCGCTTTAATTGACTACAAACAGCAAAAAAATAATAATTTATTTGATTTTTTACATAAAAAACCAATCGCCCCACGTGGGGCTCGAACCCACGACCGTTGGATTAAAAGTCCAACGCTCTACCGACTGAGCTAGCGGGGCTGCTCGTAAACTAATTATAATAATCCGTATTATATTGGAACACAATAAATTTTTCGCTAGTGGTTTTTACATCAATCTCTGGTTAATTTTCTGATTGACGTGTGAAATGTAATGGTACCTCGTCAATCAGAAAACAGCAAACTGTAATGACTTTACAATTTTTTGCATTTCCGAAGAGAGGAAGTATCAATAAAAAACACTTTGACATTTTATTCTGGAAATGAAACTCTAATATTGGAAGTAAATTACAATAAATTTGAATGATGATGACGTGTTAATGTGCTTGTTGGGAAACATTGTTTCTCATGTGTTGCTGTACCAGTTTGCAAGCAACACAATAAAAATTATCACTTTAATAGAAATACTTTTTGTATTGAAGTCTATCAGACCAGTGTGTCTTAACCAACTCATATACAGCAGGGAATAAGTTGGGGAACTCCAAATCAAAGTAAACAAAAATACCGTCTGGCAGCTTGTCACATCCACATTTCAATATTTTGGTAGTTTGAAGTTGATATTCTCTGTAGTGTGACTTTAAATTTCTGATACATCTTAGCACGTCCCACACTCTTGTGTAATCGTATTTTCTTACAGATTTAATTTGTTGATAGACACCATCATCAATTTGGGTTTCCCATGTCTTGTTACCGTTGAATATCTTTTCAGCTGCATTTTGAAGCTCCTTATAAACAATATTCTCTGGTTCTTTGCCCAATTGATCACTTACATCACTAAGGAAGTGTAACTTCATGCTATAATCCCAAAATAAGCATTGTTTTAATAACTGAGAGGCACTGATACGTTTAGTGGGATCTGCAACTATTAGTTCTTCATAAATTAGTTTCATTACAGATGTGTCAATTCTGTGGAAATGTTTTTTTCTCTTTCGTTGATTTTGTTTGGATTGATTGCTAATTTCATCAATAAGGGCTACTGGTTTGTTATTCAAAATATTCCATTCTCTTTCAGATCGTCTTCCATATGGATGCTTACCTGTGAGCACAAAGAAAATTATGCACCCAAGAGCAAAAACATCTACAGCTTTGGTCATTCTATTTTGGAGAATAGAGGCATTATTACCATTTGAGTTGGCAGGTACTATGGCCGGATTTTCGTTTGGTTGAGTCTGGGTAGGGTTTTCTCCATTTTCGATCTGTTGTAGAGTTTGTTCAATGTGAAGCAATATTTCAGGAGCTTGCCACCCAATAGTACCAACAATAGCAGCATTCTTATTTTTCCCACCATTATCTTCACCTGCTCCTTCACTACTGCTGCTGCCACTATTTCCATGCCGAGTGTTAATAATGCTCGATAGTTCGTAGAATGAGCTTTGATATTGCTCCAATCTTTTACCTAAGCCCATATCGCTGAGTTTTACATTTCCTTCTTCGTCAAGTAAAATGTTAGCAGGCTTTAAATCTCTATGCACAATTCCCAGTTGGTGAATATGGTCAATAGCCATGACTAATTGTTTGAGAATTCTTTGTCTTTCTGGATAGCTCAAATCAGGATGTTGTTGAAGGTATTGTTCCATAGTTCCTCCTGTACAAAGCTCCAAAGCCAGATAAATAAACTGTTCATCCTCTTCTTGGGCATAGTATCTTACAATATTGGTGTGACTGTCACTCTCTATGAGTAATGAAATTTCTTTTTGTGCAAATTTAACAAAGTCTTTTAACATTCTCTTAACAGCTACTTTTCTTACTATAAATGCTTCATTAATCTTGTACTTTAAAACACCGTTGTAAACTATTGTACCATTACTGCCATAACCTAGAATTTCGTTATAAAACAGTGTGATATTTCCAATTGTGTATTCATTGGTGTTGGTTGAAGTAGTAGTGGTAACTCCTACAGTTGATGCACTAGAGGTGTCAGGTGTTTTGGCTGTATCTGGAGTGGATGATTCACCAGTCTTTTCTGCTGTTTCTTTTAATTCTCTTTCTTTTCGTCTCTTTCTTCTGGCCTCTCTTTTTTGTATAAAGATAACTATTGCTATGGTTGTTAGTGAGAGTACAGCAATCAAGCTTACACTAATGAAGGTTACAGTAAACTTTTCACTAAAGTTTTGATCAAACTCATTGTTTGATTCATCATCTTGACTCAAAATATAATAGTACTGGTCATCTTTTTGAACAATATTTGGATGTATGTCATCTTGATTTTCGATAATTAGTGTATAATTTTCCACAGTTTGATCCACATTATTCACAGATATGCTTGTGCTATTTTCTTCTTGTGATATTTCATTTGTTTCCCAAACCTTATTGTCAATTAAAAGATTATTTTTTGTTGGTTTTTCTTCGGCATTAATGGTACTCTTTCCCTTTGATGGAACAGATTCATATGGCAACATTAAAATAGAATCTTCTTTGGAGTGGTCTAATTGCAAGGTGTTATGATGTTTGGATGGTACCACCACAAGAGGAAGATGTTTTGGTAGTTCAAGTGCATAGAATGAATCTATTAACTTGTTGTGTTTGATGTGAATGGTTTGCTCTTGTTGTTGTGGATCTAGTACAGAAATGGATAATTCTTGAATGGGCATCAAAACCTTTCGGAAAATAGATTCATCTCTATACTTGGCAGAACTTGGTTCAGAAAAAATACGGTGGGCAACATTTAATTGTCTAAAGACAGACATTGGTTGAGATTCAAATGAGAGGGATATTGCTTGTCTAGCATCTTTGGCCCCTTTTCTTTTGAATAAATATAGATGATTGTCGATTGTTGATAGGGCTCCTAACCTGTCCTCATAATTTTCTTGATAGAGTGGATAAATTTCAGAATAGGTAAAATTCCATTTTGTTAAAGACTTGTCATGTGCATCCATTGATTTAACATGATAATTAACTCTTACTATAGTAATAATATCCTCAGAGTGATTGCTTGGATCCTCTACAACAGTACCAGATTTACTATCTACAAGATAAATCTCATTACTTTTAGAACTAGTATACAGAGTTCCATCATTTCCATAAAATGGACTTCTATTCACCAATTCATTTACAGTCATTGGTAGTTTTTGAATGCCATCACCCTTTTTATACACATACATATTCCCATTAATAGATGGTATTACCTGAATGTCACTATATTGTTTAGATGTTCTTATCAGAGGTCCACCAAGTTTATCACAAATCCACAACGTTTGATAGGATTGTTGATCTATAGCATGTACGTTTCCATTCAGTGTTGTTACTAAAAATGATGAATGTTTATGTGACAAAAAGTCATCCTTATAAATTAATGATAGATTTCTAGATGTTTCTCGCTTGCTTGGCTTTTTTTTAATTGTTTGATTCCGAGTAATTGGAAGTAATTTTGTTTCTCGTGAGTTTACAAAGAAAGAGGAAGGATATGTACAACAGAGTAAAAGTATTAGTATGAAAAAGCAAGTAAAAAGGAATGTATGATGTGAAAATATTTTGTACATTGTTCGTTTGTTGTTGTGTAGCAGCAAGCTGCTAGCTGATTTTGAACCTGCGGGTATCCGATTTATCATTGTATTTAATTAGAATTATTCATAATTATTGTGAGTGTAATCATCAAGAAAATCCACCTATTATTTAATTGAAAACTGTTATAATACAACTGTACTGCTATTTTTTAATAAAATGAATTTTTATATCCAATGGATAACACGTGTCTATTCTTACCAATGACATGGTTTATATTGAAGAACAAGAGATAGGATACTAGAGACGACTACAAACTAATTGTATAGTGTTTACTGAGGAAAGTCATAATAACCTTTGATTCATCGAGCAGTGATTGTATGAATCATGTCTTGCGCGCCAAAAAAAAATGGCTTCCTCTTCTCAGCCAAGCATATTGTCATTAGTAGAGAGGCTTTGTCGAAAACTTCTGTCCGGTCAGCAACAGTATAATTCTTATTCGGAAACACATGGTTGGTCATATAGTAAATTCTCAACTCAAATTGTTGTTAACCAAGATAATTCCGATAGAGTTAGTGAAAAACTTGTAAAGAACACCAAAAGGACTTGTTTTTCTATCCTGATAGATAGGAATGAAAATGTAGGTTATATTGTTCTGTTAAAGGATTTATCATATTTAGTATATTCCCCCATTCGATTTTTCTGAATCATCAGATCAATTTCCATCTAAACTTTGTGAATTGGATTATAGAATAGATACCCTGGTATGCACACTCAAATTGAGAGGTCAAGAGTCGACAGCCCAAAAAATTGAGCGTTTATTTCAATCCCTAAAACTATTGGATATGAAAATGAGCTCATTTCTTCTTCTTTTATTTAATGATTTAATTTCTCAAAACATTGACCAAAATTATGAGGAAAATAATTTAATTTTTGATATTTCATCCATTCAATCAGTTAGTGGAGAAAGTAAAAATTCAATGATATTGGAGGATTTGAATTTAAGTAGCCAATCTGATTTTTTCCCCAATGTACTTGATTGTGCCAGCAATACTCAATCTAATACTAGTTTATATTCAATGCAACCACTTTCAAAGATTGAAGGCTTCTTTGAAAATTTTGAATATTCTGACATATCAAGTCTAAAGAGACCACTAAGTGATTTTCAATCAGTTTTAAAATTGAAACCAGAAAAAAAGAAGCGATCTATCTATTTCACAGAACAAAGCAGTGACAAACTTTTTGAACACAAACATTATTTTGAGAGACTTTGTTTTGGATTGAATCCTCAACAAATACAAGAGTCTGATCTTGTAAATTTTGGCATATTAGCCCTACAAGGTATTTCATCGGATGTATTTATTTGGGATTCTGTAAAGTTTTGCTTTAAAATTCAACCAGTGAGGATAAAGACATTATCATTTCTAGGACTACGACAATCTTTGCAGGTAGTGGCCAACATGGGATCACTATTCAAACGTTTAGAAATAATAACAGAATATACTCAACTAGATTTAACCTATACTGGAAAATGCTTGCAGAGTTGTGGACAAGGTCTTTCTCATGTCATGAATTGGTACAAGTCATGTATACTAGATATTCCAAATATTCTAACTACTCTAGTCTCAGACTATTCAGGATGTGATTGTAGAATTACAATTCTTAACTTGATACATCATATTACTCCTTTAAAGCAACGTTTAGAAGTGTTGTCTGAAATATTTGAATGTGACATACAAGAGAAAAATGCAAATGATGAATTCTCCATACTTCTTACTGATAATATACAGAGTAAGAATCTGTATATATCTAGTAGAGTTAAACAACTGCCCAAGGGAGCAAAGCTCATCAATTTAATGTATGAAAAAATTCAATCTATTGAAAATTCAAATAGGCCAGATTCTACGAATATTCTTCTTATATTACTCTACTATACTTTCCAGCCATACCTATATTGGATAAATAAGTGGATATTTTTTGGTGAGCTTGCTGATGATTTTAGTAGAGAGTTTTTTATTCAAAAGAATACCTCAAATCATTGTACTGAAATGTGGAATGCTCACATTGTGGATGCCCAACAAATACCTTCATGCATTTTAAAATGGGGAAATGACATATTTACTACTGGCAATACCGTAGGAATAATCAAGTCTTGTAGACCAGATCACTACATTCTCAAAGATTTCATTTCCTCAACAATTAAATCTATCACAATTCTTTTCACTGAACAAGATTTGAAAATTTATGAGCTTCAATGTGAAAAATTACAAAAATTACAACACAAAGACGCAACCTTAGAGATGAAAACCCAATTACAACAATTGGAAGTAAAAATTAGAGCTCAAGAGGAAAGACTGAAATTTGGTGAAGAATTATTGGATAGATTTCAAGAAGAGGAGAACAAATTACGAGATAAATTAAAGAAAGAGATCTTGGAAGAATACAGAAAGAAAATGAATGTAGATATTTTTGAGGAGAGTCTGAACCTCAATAAGACACTGAATGAAATCACTCCCAAGCAACAGGATGAAGATTCTCTGATGAGTGAAGCTCCTTCTCAATTGATTATTGAAGATTTAGACAAGCTGATTGATGATGAAGATGCAACCTTATTAATGAGAGTAGAATCTTTAAGTGTTTCCAACTTGTTGGAGAGTCAAAGGCCATTCATAGAGTTACCAATTGAGGTAGCAACTATGAGGAGTATTTTTTCAGTATTATTCCAGCAAAAACACATGATCGACAGCATTTTTGTGAAGATGTTATTTCACGACTATAGATTGAGCGAGTATTTTAGTATTATTAATAATTTTTTCCTTTTTCGAGCTGGTGACTTTCATGATTGTTTTGTAAATATTTTGCATGAAGGCATGAAAAAGGGTATTCTGTATTCTGATATTTATATTGTAAATAGAGCTATGCAAGAGGCATTAAAGATTACAGGCCATGCAGAGAGAGATGAAAGTATTGTATCCAAATTGAACTTCCGTATTGATGAATCTAAGGTTATTAATTTTTTAGATTACAACTCTGTTACAAGTCTCGATCATTTGTTATTACATTATGACATTGAGTTTCCTGTCTCGTTAATATTAACACCAATCATGATGGGAAAATATGCATCAATTCATGCACTCTTACTTAAAATCAAACGGATCGATTGCTCACTGTTGGATATTTGGACTATTTTCAAGGTAAAGACTAGAATAACCAATCAAAGACTAAAGTATCTCCAACTATTTAGACAAGAGATTCAGCATTTTATAACGGTATTCAAAACGTTCATCTTTGTAGAGGTTATTGAATCATCCTTTTCTGATTTTGTTAAAGAATTACTTCACCAAAAAGATAAGGATTTGAATATGGAAAGATTGTTATCAATTCATCAAAAGTTTGTTGATTCATTAATCAAACAGTGTCTACTCTCTACATCAGCTAAACCTATTATGGATATTATTTTGAAAATGTTTGGATTAATTTTAAAGTTCAAAATTCAAATTGAAAATGTGGACATAACAGATTTGCCAGATACCCATTATGCAATAATTACACAAACTAGAAAAGAATTTATAGATTGTGCCCTATTTTTGGATTCATTAATGGACAGAGTAGCTCTGCAATCAACAACATCCAAGTTTGGAAAATTCAGAATGAATTATAAATTTACATACTAATTTATTTACACAAATACTAAAACCAATAATGAAATTACAAATAAAATTGCAGACATGCAAATAATGTTCGAATCATTACACAAATCATCAGCACAACAATATAAATTTCTCAATTTTTTACAAGTAGAACTATCTGTGGCCCCATAAATATATTTCACAGTACCATCAATTACATCTTGCTGAGAACATCCATTATATCCACTCCTACATTTAGCAGCAATTTTTGAACAATAATTGTCAGTATAATTATAAGTGACAACCGTCAAACTAGTCATGTTATATCCATCACTAACTCCAGTATAACATTGTTGTGCTCCTTCACATTCGGTGGTTAAATTTGTCAACACACAAACCACAAAAGTAATTAATAATATCAGTATAATATTTTGGATTTGTTTTCTAGTGATGGATAATAGTTTCATTTTTTTTAACATGTTTCAATTCACCTTTCATTCTTTTGTCTATGGAAGCGGAAACATTAGTGAGATATAAAGTCAATACTGATAAATATTGGTTAGAAAGCAAGAAGAAAAAAAATGCACCTTCCCAGAGAATCAACATTTAAAAGGTCATTTCTAGTGAGTGTTCGGAATTTACTCTTCCAATCAAAGTTTAGATCATTTCTCCTACTGCTATGGTTATTGTTCTTTATTTATTGTAGTTATTATTATTTCTTATTGTCTTCTATACAGGGATCGGAGAAGGCAGCGAGAATAAATACAATGCACCATGATGATCAACAAGGCGCTGGTACCACCAATAATATTCAGAATGATCTGAAGGGCAGCAATCAAAAACCTACTGGTGCTGTTGTGGAGCCATCATCACCTACACCTATCGTTCGTGTAATCAAAAAACCAATTATTAATCTGGTAAAAGAGGAGAGGAAGAAAATTGATAATTTGGAAGATTTTAAAGAGAAGGGTGAACAGGAAACAGTTTCAAATTTCATCATTCCAATTATAATATTTACCTACAAACGTGCGGAATATTTGAAAGAGACTATTGATACTGTTTTAAAGTATGTGGTTAATAATTTAAAAATTTAGTGATTAATTGCTGAATAAGGTATATGCCATCTTCTGGATTTCATATTTACGTTTCTCAGGATGGAGATGATGAGAGTGTTAAAAAGGTTGTGGATAGTTATGGAAATACCATTAAGAAGCATTTCCAAAGAGAGAGAAATGTCATTATTCCTGATAAAATCTCCAATGTTGTGGCATACTACTCAATTGCACAACATTACAAATATGGAATCAATAAGGTTTTTGAATCGGATAAAACTTATGACAGAATAATTATATTGGAAGAGGATTTAAAAGTTTCTCATGACTTTTTCGATTACTTTTCAACCATGTCAAGATTACTTGATCGAGATACTTCATTATTCTGTGTTTCTGCTTGGAATGATAATGGATTGGAGGAATTTGCACAAAATCCTTCATCATTTTACAGATCTGATTTTTTTCCAGGTCTTGGTTGGATGATGAAAAGAAAATTGTGGGAGGAAGATTTTGAAGCCAAATGGCCACTCGGATTTTGGGATGATTGGATCAGAGAAGGTCCGAACAGAAAGGGCAGAGCTTGTATAAGGCCAGAAATTTCCAGAACATTTACATTTGGATTCAAAGGTGGAGCCAGCTCTAACCAGTTTTCAAATTATTTGAGTAAAATCAAATTGAATACCGGAACAGTTGATTGGAATAATTTTGATATTAATTCTCTCGTGAAGAGCAAGTATGATGAGGAATTGATTGATCAAGTCAAATCAGCAACTCCAATAACAATACACGATCTAAATGATGCCACCAGAGAGAATACTAAAATAAGAATTGAGTACAAGAGTACAGAGGAGTATTTAAATGTAGCCAAGGTACTTGGAATTATGGCTGACATTAAGGCAGGTGTGCCAAGAGGTGCTTACTTGGGTATTGTTACAGTTAAACTGAAACGTGGAAATGTATTGTTCATTACTCCTCCAACTTTTTCACCACAAACATACACTAATCTTCCTCCTTTCAAACTTACTCAATAAAGTCGTTGTTTATTTTTTATTTAAATATGAAATTGGTTTATCTTACATCGTAAACGAAACGAACTGCCAATAAGGTTCTTCCCATTGGATCAATAAGTTTACACTTAACTCTTGTCTTTGAGAGGAGGGAATACACAACATCTCGTTCAGGCAGTGTAATAACGTAACGTTCTTCACGAGGCTCCAACTCTGAAACTTGAGAAACAAATTCAATTCTAGAACCAACAGTATCGATCTTTTCGTGGAAAGAACATTGTGAAAGATATTCATTGACATAGAAACGAATTTCCAACTTATACTTCCATCTCTTTCTCAATTTGATAAGAATTGGATTGGATTTGACTTCAATTGGTTTAACATTCTCTTTTTCTTTTTCTGAGGCATGTCTTGTAACGTAGACATAGGCAGCTTCTAAAACTACACCTGGCTCCTTATGGTTTACACGAACAACCAAATTATTGTTGTGTGGTTCAATAAATGTTTCATTTGCATTGCTATCTTCAACAAAGTTAATATTAACAACATCATTACCACCTGGAGAGAACGAGAAAGTATCAGCAATATTAATTGGAAGTTTCTTTTGAGATTTCTTCATGATTGCATTTGATAATACGTCCATAATTTCAGATTTCTTATCAGAATCGTACAAGTAATCATATGAACTTGGAACGTGTAAACAAAAATTATCATCGGCAAAAGGACTCATAGAGGCTCCTTCGATTTCATCCAAATCAATGATACGTTTAACTTTGAATTCTTGTGGATCGATATTATAAATGTGCTTATCAGTAATAATCATGATACGTTTTTGAGTTTTAAGATTCTTATTAATCTTTAACACTTCAGAGGCAAACAACACTTGAGTATCACCATTCTTTTGAAGGAGTTGTTGAACTAATTTGTTATAGTGATTTGGAAGATAATCACCCATATATTCTCTCATCATTGAGGCCTTTTTTCTTGCCTTTCTACCCTTGTATAAATCTGAACCAATACTTTGTTTGACTTCGCTTACCATATTGTTCTTCTCTTCTTGTTGATTTTCTTGTTTGTTCTCTTCAACTTCCATATTATTAACACGAATGAGAGCACCTGTACTAGTTGGGAAAATTAGTGTTGATTTAACTGTCAAATCATCTTGGAAATCAAGAGTTTTAACACCCTTTCCTTTGTGAACAGTATAGACAAGTTTATCGTCAACTTGTAATTCTAGTGACTTGTTTTCCACCTTCTTTTTGGCATCCATAATGGCCTTGATAATTTCAGTCTTTGAAGAGCTTGAGAAAATGTAATCGTATTCACCTGGAACTTTAAGAATAAAGAAACCATCTCTCATAGTACTAACACTAATACCAGCAATCTCCTTGAATGGAATTCTTCTCAACACCTTCAAATCATTATCCAAGTTATAAACAGCTTGATCAGTGACTAGTAATTTACGATCTTGAACCAAGTAACGTTTGTTAATCTTTTGAACAAGACCACTGTATAATAATTGAGAATCACCAAATTCCTTCTTGATCTTTTCGAATTGTTTAGTACTGGCAACGTGTAAATAATCACCCAAGTACCATTTGAGGAGAGAGTCCTTTCTTCTGAGTTTTTGACCTTGATAAATATCTTGAACAACATTGGTATCCAAATCATTACTCATAACTTCTTCAACCTTAACTTGAACTTCGGCACCAAAATCAGTTGCAGTAACAACATTACCACGAATAATATCAACTTCCTTAAAATCTAATCTTTGTTCGAAACCCTTCTTCATTCTGTGTTTAATTGAATTCTTGACGAAGAATTTCATTTTAGCACGAGTGGCATTTGTGAAACTTTCTGATAAGACTTTAAGAATTTCAGTCTTTTTGTTACTTTCAAAGATGTAATCATATTCATCTGGAGTGTGAATTACAAAGAAACCATCTGTATATGGAGAAACTGTAATGGCCTTCAATCTTCTCATTGGGATTTGTCTGTTGATAATATAACCATTTGGATCGATATTATAGATGGCTCTCTCAGTAATTAACAATATTCTTTCCTGTTTCTTATACTTTTTGTTATATTTTGTTACAACACTGGAGAAGTGAACTTCTTGATCACCAAAATCTTCAGTGATCTTCTTCATCAAATCAGATTTAGCCAAGTGAATATAGTCACCATAGAATTTCTTGTGGAAGGATGTTTTTCTTCTCAATTTCATGCCATCAAAAACATCATCACTTGGTTTTGAACTAATCACTAAACCTTCAGTCGTAACTTCAATGGTTGTACCTGACTTGGCATTGTAATTCTTAACATATTTAACAGTCTTTGACATAGCTTTAAGTGGATGGAAAACAAATTCTTCACCAATATCAACACGAAGAGTCTTGACACGATGATCATCAGAATTTACAGAAGCCACTGCTTGCTTATTAGAATCATCTGTTGTTGAATTTTCTCCTGCATTGGATGATGATGGATCCGTATTGTTGGCATTATTGGTTGTATTGTCACTGTTAGGAGTATTGGATGGTGCTCCACTATTATTATCCTTATTAATGTGTGAGAAGAATAAATCGTACGAGTCACGAATGGCCTTCATCACTTCATTCTTACTGTCAGCTTCGAGCATAATATCATGGAGTTGTGGTACAGAAACAATGAAAACTTCATCGTTGAGAGCTGAACATTTCAAACTGTCAATCATCTTGTATTGAACTCTCTTTAAAACTGTGTATGTCTTTGGATCAACAAGGTAGATTGCAGAAGGAGAGACAACCAATAATTTTCTCTGTCTTTCGCCTGTTTTGAAATTAATTTGGTTTACAGGTCTTTGGAATAAATTATCACATTTTTCACCAAATGTTTTTTCGAGAGCTTTTTGTAAATGTTGTTCTGCCAATACTTTTTGTCTGGCTTTGTACTTTCTAAAGTTTCTTTGAATGATGGAGGCCATTTCAATTCTTCTCGATGCCACTTTTTCATCCAATGCAAATAATTGAATTGGAGTTTGGAGGAAAACCTTTGATTTGCCTAGGGAATATTTAGATTTTGGAATTTTCATTTCTTGAAGAATTTTCTTTACACCAGCTTTAGGAGTTCCATTCCAACGTGGCCATGTTGAATCTGAACAAAGTTTGTAACGATCCAAGAATTTATCAAAGTCCATCTTGAAATAATAACCACTATTTCTAACGTGTACATTTTCAGTGATACCTAAATATTTAACTTGTTCCATGACAACTTCATCAATAAATTCATTTGGTTTCTTCTCATGGTTTGGTTTGATACATTTTACAAAGTGATGATGTTTTCCTTTCATTTTACCAACAAATTTGAAAACATCTTCAGTAAATTGCATTGTTGTGGTTTTTTGCAATTTACCAAATTCAATTTTTTCATCTCTAGGGAAGATTTGTTGCATGAGACCTGATTGTGATTTTCTCATAGCAAAAACTAAATCTTCAAACAGTGTATCCTTATTCATTGAAATCCATCCTTCAACGTCATATGTTACTTTACCAGCAAAATGTTTCAAATCAAATATTAATCCTGCAAACTTGGATTTTTCATAGCAAGCCCATCCAGTTCCAAAATTAGTATTCAATTTTTGCATGTATCTTTCATCAGTACAATTTGGAAGGAGAGATTCTTCATCCAACAATTTGTAAATACCAAATGGTTTTCCTTCAATAATTTCAACTGTTTGATCAACATTTTTCAATGGAATTGGATTATATGGAATACCCTCTCTTACATATTCATCTTGTTCAGCTTGTAACCATTTTTGCACATGTTGCTGAATCTTTTCATTTACAAAGTTAATGTTCAATTGTTCTAGAGTATTTTTTTCCTTTGTATGTTTTTCATAAATTTCAAAACCATAAATATCAAGAATGCCTATAGAATATTTTGCATCATCAGGTCTTTTTACAGCTGAATTGATACGACGAATGAGCCATGAAAATAATCTTTCATAGATACCCTTTGCAAGTGCATCTCTATTGAATGAAGCCATTGTAGAATTTTGAACTGTTTTTGTTGCTTCCTTACCAACGTGAATAGTTCTATATAAAAGTGCCTCTCTGAGTGTATCAAATTCAACTTGGAATAAGAAAGCTGCTGTTCTCAATGTATCCTTATTATCAATTTCTGCTGTGTCTTTACCATTTACATTTAAATCCTTAAACTTGACATTACCCAAGTGTAGAATACCAGCACAAAGTCTGAAAATTTCCATTTGTTCTAAAACTGAAATACCAGCTTCAGTCATGCTTTGTCTAGTATTCTTAAATTCTAACTTGTCATTCATGCCGTTAATAGTTAAGGAACTAGATGAAGAATTTAAACCGTTTGCAGTTAAATAATTGAATTTTTTTGCTTCTTCCAATTTCAAATCCTTTTTCATTGATTCATCTGCACCGGCACACATTTGATAGAAAATGTGGAAATTTCTTTCACCTTTTCTTTGTGACACTACACGTGATTTTTCTAACAGTGATGTTGTAATGTGTGCTCCTTCTAATTGTCCTTTGAAATTGAAGAATATTTCCATATATTTACCAAAACGACTACTATTGTCGTTTCTCAATGTTTTAGCATTACCAAAAGCTTCTAATACTGGATTTGCTTCAATAAGAATACGTTTAATATTTTCTGTAATTAATCCAGAAATTGAAATGGCACTAATATATTCAAGTAGGATTTTACAACTTTCTGTTTTACCTGCACCACTAGTTGTTGTTATTATGTTTGGTCAGAATGATGAATATTCAAAATATGTCCACACACAAATGTTGCAATAATGTGTTATCACAAAATTACTTACCTCTCACCAGAGACCACAACAGTTTGTCCCTGACCGGTTTCCTTCATTTGTCTATAGGCATCCTCCGCGAGAGAATATAAGTGAGGACCAATTTCATAGGGTTGTTTGGCGTGATAGAAACTTTATAAAGGTTGAATGTGAAAATATTAACAAGTTATACTTACGTCTTGACATGATTCTTATAATTCTTTGTTTTGGAATATGGATTGATAGCAATTATTGTTGGACCAAGATAGGTATAAAATTGAGAAACTCCTCCATTGATATCTGGCTGTTTGTTACTATATCTGTTTTTGAGTATTCGTGTGACTGTCTGATCAGTTGGTTCTTTTATGAGTGATAAATCATCGAGTGTATCCGATTCAAAATTACGTTTATAAAGTTGATATAAAGCAAATTCAGAAGTTTCATTAGTTCCATCAACATCGGCTGGGTTTACATTATTCACAACTTCTACCTCAGCCTCCGCTGCTTCTTTTAGTTGGGTTGACGAAGAGTTTGCGTTCACTCCACGAGGACTCAACATTTAGCGATACTTGATTTTTTTTATTGTGTATTGACAAGTGAATGAAATGTTGTGACATCCAAAAACAAGAGATTTGTCAAGTTTTTCTTCAGTTGATTACAGTTTTCTTCTTACGTAGCATTACATTCTCGTATTAAACCTTTCACTAATTTCAGTCAGGAACTGGTCAATCTTCTTAATGGCTGCAGATGCAGAAGGATCTTCGATAATGTTAATTTGTCCTTCAGCTCCTTGTGGTATCTTTAACACTTCCTTTTGTCCTCTCACCATTCTCAGCTTTGGATTGATTCTAATCAATTCAGCACCAGAATTTTGCTTTAAAACAGTGTCTGACATTGTTCTAAGTTTTTGTTCTGCTCCTATTTCTAAAATACATAATGACCTTCCTTCCTCCTGGATTGCCTTTTTGATTTTAGTGGTCCAAGTTCTAAATGGGATCATTGATGTTTTTATCCATTGCTCATCAGTAGCGTTCATCTTTGCTCTTGGTCTTGCAACTCCTCTACAGCTCTCACAGAAAATTCTGTTAATAACTGGTTGTTTCTTTGGATTGTAGAGGTCGATATCCTCTTCAGATTTTACTTTTGAGTTCAGCAGGTCAGAATACTGCATGGCCTTCTTATTGAATGGATCTTCATAAGGACTCGATGCAAGAGCTGACTTGGGAGTATTAAAAACTGTTGGCGTGGTTACTGAAGGAGTGGGATTGGTTGATGAACTAGCAGAAAAGAATGAAGCAGTTTTTCGATCATCCTTAATCTCTGGTTGATGAACAGGTATGGTTGGATTGGCTGTTGAAAAATCACTGATTGGCATGTCAACAAAAACTGTACCAAGTTTTACACCTTGATCACCTTCTTGGATTGTTCTAAGTTTTAGAGAGTGGACACTATCTCTTGTTTTGAGGGAGAAGTCTAACATTCGAACAGAAGCAACCGAAATGTCAGGTAGCTGGCTGTGAGGTCTTCTTAATGATCCCTCTGTTCTTGGTCGTTGCGCCAAGTTTGACTTCTTGACTGGTGTTCCCAATAAAAACCTCATATTGTATTCTCCTACAAGTTGCCAAGGTTTTTCTTCAACCCTCGTAATCAATGTGTTTTTCCGCAGTAATGGTTGAACTACAACACTAACCTTACCTCTAACTGGCATATTTTTCAATACCTTATTTGATAGAGTGTCTTGAGCATTAATGATAACCGAGTCAACAAAAATACCATCCTCTTCTCTCTTTCTTCTAATTGTTGGAGAGACTTGACTAGTGAAGGAAATAACGGGAAAAGGCTCATCTATTGTATCTTCTAAATTATAAATTTGGACTGATATGATAAATTTTACATTGGTTGAGCCAGCCACCAAAGTAAAATCTTTTGGAATAATTGGAACAGGATTCTTTCGAAATTCTTGAATATCTCTTTCTGTAACTATATCATCCGAATTATGAATATCTGTGTAGAATTGGTGATAATGAATCATTGGATCAATAATTGTAACCTCCATGTACCCTTCCTCTGAAGGGTCAATTTCACCATTAACAGCAAATGAATGCAACGTTACATGAACGTCTTCTGAAAACTCTTGGAATCTAGATTCATCTCCACTCTTGTTCTCTATCAATAATTTAAGGTTATTATTTACATTATGCAAGTGAATTCCATTATTATGTATGTCAGTGTTATATTCTTCATTATTCTCGTCTTCTGTATTAATTAAATTATATCTCTGTAAAACAGCATCTCTCCTTTCGATTAAGCTCCTGCTATTCAAACCAGATTTAATTCCTTCTGAAGTTTGTTCTGCTATCTTTCCAATATCTGCCAGTGACCCTAAAACATAATTATTCTTCCCATATAGAGACGATACTCTTCTTGAGGCAGATCCTGGTCTTTGATAATTTTCTGGATTTTTAAACTTTTCTGGAACATCTTTGTTAGAAAAGAATTGGTAGAATGCTCCTCTTTTTTCCCCTATTTGTGTAGGTATCAACTTGTCTGAGTTTCCCTTATGGAAAACAGCTCCAGAGATTGGAGTATCCATGTAGAGCTTTTTTTTGAAATAATCTGTTTTTCCAGTAGCAGAATAAAAATTAAAATCTTCTTCAGATACCGAAGTAAAAAGTGAGTCAGAAAATCCATCTTCTCCTTTCTTTGTATGATGGTGTTTGTCTTGAAATTTTAAAGGTGGAGCTCTTCCACTTTCCTGGTTGATTTCAAATCTAAAATCTTCCTTAACTCTAAAAAATGATTTACAACAAGGTATTGCACATTGCCAAGTCAATAAATCTCCTCTCGTTTCGTAATATTCACTTTCCTTAAATCCTTCCTTAACCAATTCTCCATCAATACTAGAAGTGACACAGAAAAATCTGCTTGGCATGTTCATAAATTTCTTCTTGTCTTCTTGAGGAGGATTTTCATCTTTCTTTTTACTCTTATCTTCGACTTGAAATCTGGGGTCATTTTGAAGAAAAAATACCTCTTTCCAGTGATGGATGGATTTAATTGCATTACTTGATGATTGCTTTGAGCGTTGAGATCGGTTTAATGCTTGTCCCCAAAATCCATAAAACAGCTCGTCATCCTTTTTTAATACAACAGGATCACATAAATCTTCAAGTTTCAAACCAGATTCCGCATACATTTTGGCTCTTTTTTCAAATATTTCCTCTAATATTTTGTTTCCTGATGTTGAGCCTGATTCTTCTCCCACAATTACCAGCAAGAAGTATGACAAGAAAATGGACTGTTGAACGATTTAGAAATCAAATGAAAATAAACCTACCTCTGCAGCCCTTTCAAAAGGATCTGCTTTCTTGTTCCTCTTGAATTTTGCCAATGCTTTGCTTGACATTGTATAATAAAGCAGAGATCCTCACTCTTTTGATAATAAGGTATTTTTTTTTGATGTGGTTAAATTTAAAATTTTTGGCGCCAATTACTGAAGCATTTGTAATTCCGTCCACAAATTGTTGTGTTTTAACAAATTTACAACTTACTACCTAAATGATTTTATTGATCTATTTTTGGAGGAAGAATGGTAAAGAGTGGATCTTTGGGATAACGAATTTGTTCTTATGGAGATTGAGCCATCCAACAATGCACTCAATGAAGGAGCTTTGTTCATATTTCTTTGATTGACTTGGGACTTAATAGAAGGAGATGAAAAGAGTATCGAATCACCTGATACTTTCTTTACTTTACCTCCACTATCTCTAAGAATATCAGCCATTACTTTTGAAGTTTCTTTCATTTCAACTTCGTTATTTGCATGATGAAGTGCCAATAATTTTTTGCAGGAACAAATGTGTTGATAAGCAAGAGGGTAGTTTTTCATTGTTGCGTAAACTATCGAAATATTTCTCTGACTAATTATTGTGTCAATATGATTTGTTCCAAACAATCTTTCCCGAATAGATTTTGCATGGGTATAGAGTCGAAGTGCTTCAGTAATTTTCAATTCTCTTATTTTAGAATCATCTATTGAGGTTGATTTTTGCTGTAATATTTCTCTTACAAGTTTTTCATCCTTTTGATTATTTAAAAACGAAGTTAAATAGAGATGACCAAGGTTTGTATAAATAACAGCTGTAGCTTCGTGATCAAAGCCAAATGAGCTCTCAAAGATTGCTTTACATTTTTGATACTTTTCAAATGCTTCGATAATTTTACCTTGTTGTCTTAAAATATTTCCAATATTATTTAAAACTGTGCCAGTAGAAGGGTGGTTATCTCCATAATACTGTTGTTTGTGTTTCAATACTCTGTAAAGCAGATCCATTGCTTCGTCTCCTTTCCCAAAATTAAGTAAAAGAGAGGATATATTTTCGAAAACAAGTATTGTTTCCGTGTGAGTATCTCCATAATGTTTCACATATATCTCCTTCGCCTTATTGTAAAATGATAAAGCCTCCTCAAATTTTCCCATTTCCTGTCTCAGATTTCCTATGTACAAATAACCCACAGCTGTTTCAATATGGTCCTTACCGAATTCTATTTCTCTAAGCATGATTCCATGGTATAAATATTCATCTGCTTTTTCAAACTCTTGCATTGTAATATATAGGCTCCCTATCATTAGATAACAAGAAACTGTTGACGAATGCCTTTCTCCAAGAATTCTTTCTCTTATGTTGAGAGCCTTTTCATAGAGTATTATCGCTTCCTCTGTCTGTTTCAAGCTTTTGAGACAAGTTGCCAAGTTCACCAAACTAGTTGCATAATCAGGATGGTCAATAAGAGAATTGCTTTCCAAAATACCTTCTCCCAGTCTATAATATTGGTAGGCCTTGTGATAATCTGCAACGTATAGAAATACATTTCCAATGTTATTGTAAACAGTGGCTGTTTCTAAATGATCCCTACCAAATATTTTCTCTCGAATTTCTAAAGCCTTACAAAGGCATTCCATAGAGTTTTCAAAAGATCCAACAAGACTATACACCACTCCAAGTTGTGTATAAGCAGTTGCGATCTCGTTCGTATTTACATGGTAATATTTTTGCTTTTCTAAAAGATGTTTTCTATAATACTCTATCGAGTGTTTGTACTTTCCTTGCAATTTCATTAGATAACCCAAATCATTGTAAATTTGTATTGAAAACAAGGCTAGAACTCTATTATTGTGCTTTGATTTGAATAAACCATCAACAATCTTCTTGGCCTCCAATAGGTACAACTTTGCTTGTTTGAATTTTGCAAGATGAGTCAATGATTCTCCCAAAAGAATAAAAATATAAATTAAATCCTCATTGAAACTACCTAAATGTTTCAATATCATTTGTTTGCATTCCAAAGCTTTTTCAACTGCATTCTCCAAAAATCCAGAATGAAGTAGCTCACAGGCAATTACCTTAGTTTGCTGTATCTCTCCCTTATCTATTGAGTTTGAAGGTGATATGTTCTTTTTTAAAGACCTCTCATTTTGGAAGTTTTCTTTTACTCCGTTGAAAATAAAAGTGGTCTCTTTGAAGGGCGATAGGGCAGTGGATGGAGAAAAATGGTTGGGAGAAGTTATCAAATTTTCACAAATCGAAATTGAAGTTGCCTTACTTAGTGGAGGAGGTGAGATGGACACTGTGATTGGCTTATCCTCAGTAAATCCTTGCAAGAAGGGTGTATGGCCATTGCTGGGTGTATGTTCTTCGGAACTGATATGTTTCTTGTATTTCTCTACATCATCAGATAGATGTTTTCTGAATGGTGTTGGAGTTTGTAAAGGAGGATAGATGTTCTTTCCGCAAGTTATTGGAGAGTTGTTGATTGTAAAGGGTGTGATGGGTTGTGGGGAAGACGGATTTTCTAATTCATTGTATGAGATATGAATAAAATTTGGATCACTTTCTTGTTGAATTTGTTTTACCCTTAATGCCCATGCCTCCTCTAATGATGTGTTTTGTCCTATATTTAGTGGTTGAGGGTGTGATTGTTTGGTTGATGAAAATATGTTGAAGGGGGAGAGGTTGTTGTTGAGATCCTTCTTTGGAGTTATTACTGGACGAGAGGGTGATAGAAAATTGGCATTCAAAATATTCATATTATTGAAAAGACATTCCGTAAAGATGTGTTTTGATTTTTTTTAAAAACGTTCACCACACCTCATTCAATTAATGAATAACGGTGCTTTTGGGAGGGAAAAGTCGTTTTGACGTTGGCGCCAAGAAATTTCTTCTACAACTATTTAAAAAAATGAGTGAACCATCATCTATAGACAATCAAGAGGAAGGTTTGGAAAATGCAACTCCGTCACCTCTGCCAGAAGGTGCCGAAGAGGAAACAACACAAGGATCACCAACACCTCAAAATGAGGAAGGAAATTCTCCTGGTAATACTGACAACGGAGAGGAACCAGAAGATGACGAGGCAGGGTTTAGGCCATATGATCCTAATGGATCATTAACTGGAGGAGTGAATGAATCTATTGTACAACAAACATTAAATGATGCAGCAAATGTTATTCAGGATGTTGAGGTATTAAGAGAGGAAGAAAATAGACAAAAAAGAGAGGAGCACCTAAGGCAACGAATTAGAGAATTGAAAGAAGAGGAACAATCATATTCAAAAATTAATATGACAAATATCAATGCGAATTGGTTATATTTAATGAGAGAAAGCAAACTAAAGGAGTTAAAAGACTCAATTCAAATCCAAGCTCAAGACCACGACCGATTGGTTGATAGAAAAAATGCAACCATCCAATTAATGTACAGAGAATTAGACGAGTCTGAAGAGCAATACAGATCTGCTTTGAGGACTCATATGCAACACATAGAGGAACTTCTTCAATTACAAGATCAAAGGTTGACAATATTGCATCAAGAGTTTAACAATGATCTGTATCTATTAAAAAAGGAATATGAAGAGGAAACGCAAGAATTAAGACAAAAACACAAGCAGGAAATGCAAGAATGGGAGGAAATAACAAAAGAAATGGAAAAGAGGGAAGAAAAAACCAACGAAACAATGGAACTCGATTTTGCTCAAACAAAGGAAAAGATAAAAAATAGATATCAGGAAGAATTGATCCAAATGGTTGGTAATATGAATGACAAGATTGAGGAGTATAGAAAAATTACAAAGCAGGAAAACAACGACCACTACGAATCAATGAATCAAAAATATAAGGATTATATTATTTTAAGAGAAAGAGATAGTAGTTACATTGAAATTATCAAAACTCAGACTTATCAAATTAAAATGAAGGAAGAGGCCCTTGCCCATTGGAAAGCTAAATGGTTAAACAATTTAAGAGAATGTGAAGAAAGAAATAATAAGCTCATTAAAGAAAAAGACCAACTTGCTCAACACTTTAAAGAATTGAAAAAGAAAATGAATTCATTCAGAGAATCAGAGAAGAAGAGGTTAACAGAACTTGTCAAAATGAGTACAGAAACAAAAGAAGCTCTTAAAGAAAAGCTCGAAAAAGCTTCAAGAATACTCAAATTGTCGGAAGTCAATAGGAGATACGAAACGGAAAGAGAGAGATTACTTCCTTTCGAAAGTGATATGGAAAACCATGTTGGTTTAGTTTCAGTCGCAGAGTCATCCATTGAGGAGTCTAATGTCGATGTTGATGAAAAGAACTTTTCTGAATCTGAGTGGCAACAACTGAATAGATTTTACAAAAGATACAATAAGGTGTTGCTGGATAATCTTGCCCTTGATCAAGAGAAGGAGCACCTGGTTGACCAAAACAAAAAGCTCAGAGACATGCTTAAACAATATCTTGATGGTATTTCAGTTAATGAAGATGTCCTTAACAATAGAAACCCTCTGTTGATTGTGGACCCTCTCACAAAGGGTAAGTCTGCCAATGAGGATAAACATATGGTTGTTGTTACATCTGATAACGGTGGTGGGGAAAAGGTAAAGGTTTCCAATTAACAGAATTCTTCCATAAAGCTATAGTTTCGACAATTAGTTATCATCTTTATTCTGGATAGAATAGTCATCTCTATCCACAATCTTCATCCAACTTACACAATCCAATAAAAACTTTGTACAAATAACGGTATGACCAGTTTCTCGTTCAACTTTAGCAGCATTTTCAATGGTAATTTCATTGTCACCAATGACAATATTATCATATTTTGATTTCCTTTGTGGTTTTTTAAAAGCAGTTTGAGAAACTGTTCCACCACCAAACTCTACTAGTTCAGTTAACTCTTTCTTTGTTGGATTTTTTGCCTTGGGATCAAATTTTCCCATAAAATAGAACCTGTAACCTGAAAATAATCTAGTATCTCCATTTGCCAATCTCTCTCTTGCTACTTTGCAAGAATCATATTTTACATTTGAATCTCCAAGAGCACAATATTCCAGTTCGTCAATATGAGAATTAGAGCTAATTACTTTTTCAATCCAATCAACTCCTACAATCCACACTCCAGATACTACTCCTATACAATATTTAATAGTTCTTCGTGAATATCTATTATCATCCAAAGTGGTTATGAGATGAGTTACCTCGTGAGTAAATTCTGTAACTACATCAGCCCCAAGAACTTTTGCAGCCAAATCTAGCTTCTTCTTTGTGTCTCCATTAAGATTAGAGCCAATTAAACAAAGTTTTTTGAGTTTAGATCTCGATATTCTTTTCCTGCCAGTGGTGCTGGAACTTGTTTGAGAGTTTGTTTGCTGAGAAATGGCCGTGCTTACACTTGGTGGAACCAGCTCAGAAGGTTGGAAATTACTGGTAAACGTTGTTAAGAAGGGAAACTTTTCATTCGAAAACCCAAACACACCATATATATCACTCAAATCAGATAGTAAATCCTCAATTTGTGATAACTTGAGTCTTTTAGCGCTCAAGTCAGAATCCACTTTTGATAATGCCTCCTTTGATCTACTGCCAGAACTAGCATCAATTATTGCTGTTGTTGAAGAATCTGAAATATTTCCATCCTGCTCTGATGAAGAGGAAGGTTTACTTCTTGTAAACTTTCTCTTTCTGGTTAATGTTGTAGAAGTGGAGCTGCTTCCATAAATGTTATTAGTATTTGATTTTCGATTTGGTTGGGTAGGTTTTGGTGTTTTAAACTCGATATTATTTGCGGCAAGTTTGGTTGGATCGGGATACATTGAGCATAATTCTTCATATGTGTTTCCAGTTGTTGAATTTGGGATGTTATCAGAAACTACTTGTCGTTTTGGAGAAGATGGTTGTAATTCTATTGTTTGATTGAATTTCTTCTTCAATGAATGAAATGCCTCAATCAGATTGGCAAGAGATTGCATAGGCATTAAATCTCTCTTGGATAGGATTGGTGTTTTACATAGAGGACACTCTTTCTTAGTCTTCATACCCTCTTCAATACATTCATAACAGTAAATGTGACTGCAATGGGTGGCTGTTGGTTCTGTCCATACATCCATACTATGAATTCAAGTAGTTAGTTTATAGTTGAAGGAAATTTTGATGTGAATTAAAATTTTAATTAGAAAATCCAATTATCAATCTTAACCTACCAAATAGCACAGCGTAATTCACTTTCAAAGGCATCAAAATCCCTATTGGTTAATGGAAACGGTTGAAACTCTGTACTATTTTTGTTTGGAGGGGTTGGAAAACTATCAGATGGTGGCATTGAATGTTCATCATCAGCAAAATCCAATCTCATAGAATCCGAAGTTTTGGAATTTTCTATTGGAGAAACTTTTTGATCCGACGATGAGGTTTTTCGTCTAGGCATTTTTTATTGTAACTGTATTTAAAACAATTCCTCCACTATTACGAATTGTAAAAAGGTTATTAATTCTTGCAAATTAAATCACCATTTTGAATAAATTAAATAATAAAATTTTAGATTATTAATTTCGGATATTTTGTTGTTATTTATTTTACGCCATTTAAAAAAATGCTTCGTTCTGTCGTTAAAGGTGCTTCACATTGTTTGTCAAATAAGAATTCATCATCTTTGCTGGTTAGTCAAAGATTGTTGAGATCATCACAACAACATTATTCCACCGGACCAACATTCCAATATGAAGATCTCTTCCAAGTTGGAAAAGATGGAACTGAATATAGGTTAGTCAGCAAGGATCACATTTCCACCATCTCTGTTAAAGATGAAAAAAGTGGTGAAACCAAGGAAATTTTAAAAGTTGAACCAGAAGCCCTTTCAAAGATCACACAAGCTGCCATTTCTGATATTCAATATCTTTTACGTCCAGCCCACTTAAAACAACTTTCAAATATTTTGAAGGATCCAGAGGCTTCCCAAAATGATAGATTTGTAGCCATGACTCTTTTGAAAAATGCAGTTATTGCATCTGGAAGAAAACTTCCTGGTTGTCAAGACACCGGTACTGCTATTGTTATGGGCAAGAAGGGACAATTTGTTTGGACTGATGGAAAGGATGAAAAACATATTTCAGAAGGTGTTTTCAATACATACACCAAGCAATATTTGCGTTATTCTCAAGTTGCTCCATTAAATATGTACGAGGAAAAGAACACTGCTTGTAACTTGCCAGCTCAAATTGATTTATATGCCACTGATGGTGATGAATACAAGTTTTTATTTATTGCTAAAGGTGGAGGTAGTGCCAATAAGACTTATCTTTACCAACAAACAAAGGCATTGTTGAACCCTGCCTCACTAATGAAATTCTTGGAAGAAAAAATCAAATCAATTGGTACATCTGCCTGTCCACCATATCACTTGGCTATTGTCATTGGTGGTTTGAGTGCTGAACTCACTCTTAAAACTGTCAAATTGGCCAGCACCAAATATTATGATGAATTGCCAACATCTGGTAGTCCAGGTGGTAGAGCTTTCCGTGATGTTGAATTGGAAAAGGAAATTTTAAAACTGACTCAAAAAATGGGTATTGGTGCTCAATTTGGCGGTAAATATTTCTGTCATGATATTAGAGTTATTCGTTTGCCACGTCATGGTGCTTCCTGCCCTGTTGGTATTGGTGTCTCTTGTTCTGCTGATAGACAAGTAAAAGGAAAAATTACCAAGGATGGTATCTATTTGGAAAGATTAGAAACTGATCCAGCCCAATACCTCCCAGAAGTAAAAGAAAAAGATTTGAGTGAACAAGTTGTCAAGATTGACTTGAATAGACCAATGAAGGATATTTTGAGTGTTCTGAGCAAATACCCAATCAAGACAAGACTTTCATTGTCTGGTCCATTAATAGTTGCTCGTGATATTGCCCATGCTAAATTGAAGGAAAGACTTGATAGAGGAGAAGGTTTGCCAGATTATGTCAAAAATCATATTATTTATTATGCTGGTCCAGCCAAGACTCCTGAAGGATATGCCTCAGGTTCTTTCGGTCCAACCACTGCAGGTAGAATGGACTCATATGTAGACCTCTTCCAAAAGAATGGTGGTAGTTTAATCACTTTGGCTAAGGGTAACAGATCTCGTGAAGTCACTAAAGCTTGTTCTGAAAATGGTGGCTTCTATTTGGGATCTATTGGTGGTCCAGCTGCTATCTTGGCTGCTAATAACATCAAGAAGGTTGAAGTTGTTGAATATGCTGAGTTAGGTATGGAAGCTATCTGGAAGATTGAAGTTGAAGATTTCCCTGCATTCATTATTGTTGATGACAAGGGTGCTGACTTTTTCAAGGATTTGAACTAAATTTTCCCACCAATTTTCTTTCCTATTGCGTGTTTTTTAGAAATAAAACTATTGTTTTAGTGTTAGTTTTTATCCCTTAGTAAATTTTTTTGTGACTTGAACCAACTTTGGCCACTCCATAAAAGTTCCATAATCAGAAGTAGATATGGTCCGTTAAATATCTTGATAGCATAGCAAGTCCACTTCTTCAATTTCTTGTTGGATATCAGCTTGCTCAGTGGGTCTGATAACAATGGTAGGATTGGAATTTTGGATAAAAGAAATATGTGCTGTTTCAATCGAACTTTTCTTTTCTCTGTCTGTTGCATACAATTTCGCAGAACTGAGACATTTTCATATTGAACTCCATCCTTAGTTGCCAATTTGTTCATTATTATTGTCGCTTCACCATGATTGTCATCAAGTAAATTTTCCCGCCAATTTACTTTCTTTTTAAAATATTAATTTAAAAAAATGCAACAATTACCAACAACACCTAGTTTTATTCTGGACTCGATAAAGAAGAAAGTAGAGTTTTTTATGGATCAACAGGAATATAGGAATGCCATATTTCATGCAGATAAATTATATCATTTAACTTTTCAAAATAAGAGAGATTGGAGTGTAAACAAAATTGAAAATTATTCCGATAAAGAACACGAAGCAATCTACTTGTTGGCTAAATCTTTCTATGGATCGGGGCAATACAAGAGAGCTTTACATTTACTTACATCATCATTTGTAAATTTTTCTCAAACAGCACCAATGGACTGTTTCTTTTTGGCTGCTAAATGTTTGGAAAGATGTGACGATTGGTTGGAAATTCTGAGCTTATTAGGCGACAATGATAATGAATTTGAACAAATCTTGGCAAGAAATGGATCTGAAAAGGTTGGTATTTCATTTTTATTACGTAACTACAACTTGTAAAGTTTATTGCCAGTTTGTGTTTTTTAAGAGCCAAATCATTTGACATGATTGATAACAAACAGAGAGCAATTACATGGTATTCAAAGACTCTTGTTAATGACCCAAATTTTTATGAAGCATTTGAGAAATTAGTTGAAAAGAATTTATTGACAAACGCAAGTCAAGTATCACTTTTAAATCAAATTAATTTTTCCCAAGAGGATCAGTGGGTTAAATACTTTTATGAAACAAAAATTGATAGATATAGCTTTGTTATTGAAAATAGTAAGACTGCTCTTAAAAAATTGAGCGTGGAATATAACTTGTCTAAAAATCATGATGTAAGATGCAGTGAAGCAGAAAGGCACTTTTATTCCCAAAGATTCAATCAAGCTTATGACATTACCAAGCAAATTATTGAAGAAGATCCATACAATCAGACGTGTTTACCAATTCATATTCTTACTTTGATTGAACTCAATAAGAAAAGTGAATTATTTTCACTTTCACACAAATTAGTTGATGATTATAAGGAATCGGCTGTTTCTTGGTTTGCCGTAGCTTGTTACTATTACAGCATTAAAAAATTCGCATCAGCACGGTCTTACTTTACGTAAGTATATTCTCATAAGAAGGGTATTGATTGTAAACTCTTGTTACAAAAACTAAATTGAACAACTAGAAAGGCAACTAATCAAAATCCTCACTTTTTGGAAGCTTGGTTAGGCATTGGACATTGTTTTTCTGGTGATGTAAGTACAAGCAAATACCCTTTGTAAATAATTAAACTTTTCAAAAAGAATGAACCAGATCAAGCAATGGCAGCTTATAGAACAGCTTATAGATTGTTTACTGGAAGTCATTTACCGCCTCTGTATATTGGGATGGAACATATGAAAATTAACAATCTTACACTAGCTCAAAAATTTATTGAGCAAGCCCTAACAATATGTCCAACAGATCCCCTAGTACATAACGAGTTGGGTATGATTTGCTACAAGTGGAAGCTCTATGATGAGGCCAAAAAACATTTTGAGAAAGCCTTACGACTTAATCCAAGAAAAGATGATTACTCGAGTAGTGAAGGAGTTATTACAAACCAATACTCATCACATTTTGTAGATAATGATAATAACCTAGTTGTTCAAATGTGGGAACCCATCCTTTTCAATTTGGCCAATACTTATAGAAAATTGAAACAATATGAACCAGCATTAATCAATTACAAAAAGTGTCTGAGTTTACAACCAAAAAATGCCTCAATATACTCTGCTATTGGTCAAACATACCATTTACAACAATACAGTGGCAGCTCCAATTTACACACAGCTATAGAGTACTACCACAAGGCGCTTGCCCTTCAGCCAGATCATTCATTTACAGCAACAATGCTAAGTAAGGCACTAATTCAAATATCCAGTCAATCACTGGAATATTTATTACAAGTTGAAGAACTGAGTGATGAAATGCAATACTCAATAGAGGAAGATGAAAATGCAAAACTCAATCAAGTTGTTCATCATTAATTGACTATCACCAGAAAACCCGTGTTAGAAATAAATTAATTCTTTTAATTAGAGATTTTTCAAAACTTCATTCAAAGTTTGGAGGAAGATATTAGCATGATATTGGTGGAAGACTAACATTGGTCTGAGACGAATGGTGTTTGAACCACAAGCACCAGCTTCGACACCTCTGTGGAGCATTTGTTTCAATAATTCTCCTTGCTTGTTAGAATCGAAAGCAATGAAAGTACCAACACCTCTAACATTATCAATCTTTCCTGGATATCTTTGAGACAATTCTTGCAAATGCTTCATCATGTAAGCACCAGTTTCATTGACCAATGACAAGAGATTATCTTTTTCAATAACATCAATAACATGACCAAATTGGATAGCACGGGTGTAATCACCAAGCCAAGTATTGAAAATTCTGTATGGCATGTCAATCTTGAATTCTGGACGATGGAAAATACCAGCAGTTTGACACTTTTTGGAGAAACAGACGATATCAGGACCATTTTCACCCAAACCCCATTGTTCATGAGCCCAGAAAGTACCAGTAGCACAGACACCAGTTTGAACTTCGTCACAAATAAAGGCAACATTATTTTCCTTAGTAATTCTTCTCAATTCTCTGAAGAAATATGGCAAAGCATGTCTGTCACCACCTTCGGATTGGATAGGTTCAACAACCAAACCAGCAACATCACCCCAAGGTGAGTTGGTTGAGTGGGAGAGTTTGATAGTCTTTTCAACTTCTTCCAAACATCTGTCCATTTCCTTCTTATTTTCAACTTCATGTTCACTCAATGGATATTTCAATTGAGGGAAGTCACAAACTGGCCAGTTGAAAGATGGGAAATCAACTTTGTGAATAGCCTTGCTGTGGGTGGCAGTAAGAGATCCAAGAGTTCTACCGTGGAATGATGCTTTGAAGGACAAAATTGACAAGTTTGGTGTACCTGGAGCATTGTTGAGAACAGAAGAGTCCATTTCTTGTTGGGATGGTGACTTGCCACCTCTTTGCAATTGACGATATCTACAGAAAGCAGTCTTGTAAGCATTTTCGTTACTATAGTCAAAATGAAAATTAGTTCAATTTCACAAATTGAAACTTACGCTTCAGCTCCTGATGACAATGTAACAACATCAGTCATACCCTTTGGCATAACTCTAACAAATGATTCATTAAGAATGTCAATATAATTGTGTGGTGGATTGATACCCAAACTTGGTCTATTCAAGAAGCTGGTAGCATATCTGGAATCAGTTTGGAATTTTTCAATGAGATATGGATGGTTGTAACCGAGAGGGAGAGCAGAAATTTGAGTGAAAGTATCCAAAATAACATTGTCATCAGCATCAACAACAAAGTTACCCTTGCTCTTTTCAAAGTTAGCAACAAAGTGAGCAGTTCTCATATCCTAAATTAAATAATAAATATTTTCAATTTCCACAACGATTCTACATACCTGAATTTTGTTCATTCTCTCAACAAGTTCTTTGCTCTTTGGACCTGGACGTTCAGCAGATACCAATTTAATATTGTCATATTCTCCTGGGACATAATCTGGTTTCTTGGCATCGTTCAAAGCCAAAGTAAAGTTACGTTGGCAAGCTAATCAAAATCCACAATATTTATAACATATTTTCCTACTATAAAAATCATCTGCAGCATCATAACTTACCCTTCTTTGCCAAAGTGGAGGTAGCCTTCTTTTGAGCAGCGTAAAGGATTGTCTTGTTTGCAAGCATTTTTTTCAACGAAGAAATTTTATTGGATCACCATCTTGAATCAATTCTATCCGATTATTCAACGTTCTTTGAGAGTATTATTAAGGTCTTTTATGTTTTAGGATGAATTATTTTGTGCTGAGGTGATTTCAAAATAAAGAGAAACAAAATAATTAATATGACAATTAATTGGAATAAGCTGAAATATTTGGTATTTCGAAAAAAATTACAAAAAAATTAAAAATAAATTAAAAAAAAACCCTACAGCATTTATCACTCCTTCAGTCAGTGGTGTTTGTTGTTCAACTGATCAAAAACATCGCGCCTTGTACAAACTTCAAAAAATTATTTATTTATCATTATTATCTGTCGGAAAAAGGAATGAGCAATAATCCACAAAATCCTTTTCAGAGAGGAGCTCCTGTGAATGCTCCAGGTACTTTTATACCATCTCCTAGGCTCTCCCCTCAAAATAATAATTCACGAAATGTCACTCTACCACCACAACCTGTATCCTACTCAAGTAGCATTATGACATTAATTCCTCTTGATGCACCAGATGAATGGGATAAACTGTTATCACAATGTTGGACAACACTTTGTGAGGAAATACAATTGCAACAAATAAGAAAAGATGAAAACTTGATATTAACAAAATTACAGGAAAAAAACTTTCCACCAAACAATAAGGTACCAATGTATGGCTTATTGTATGGAATATTAACAGCAGAAGATGCTACCCAATCTGGAATATTCTTTAGAATTTTAAACGCAATTGTCCATGACCATAAGACTTTAAGTGATGAATTGAAAAAGTTTATAGAATCTAAATTTTACAAACTTCAGGATCCAATAACAGAAAGAATAGCAACATTTTTGAATGATTGTATCAAAATTAATCCTCAATTTGATGCACCTTTCATTTCACTTGTTAAAAATATGAAAACCTACGAGTTTACGAAGAGAAATCTGACTCTTGCCGATAAAATTTTGGACATTTGCTACCAAAATAAGGAATGGATTTATGCGAATGCCAAAGTTTTAATGAAAGTTTTGTATAGTTTCTTGAGAATGATTGAGGATATGAAAATTTTTGGTGTGGATCGTCAGTATGAAGCTCTAATGAGAAAACAACTTCAATTGGTTGAAGATATAATCAGAGACAATTTACAAAAGGAGGCTATTCAATCTATGGGACGTGATTTTGTCAGAGTTGTTTATAGTCTTGCTAAGAAATACAAAGTGAGTGATAGTATGGAAAAACTTTTAGGAAATCAAGATTTTTTAAAGATTATGAACTACCCTTCTTCATCACGCGTTTTAGATTGCAGAATTAGCCATGATATGTACACGCAAATTTCATTTTTAATAAGTAATGTCAAATTTGGTAATCAAAAAAGATATCAATCATGGTTTGCACAAAGATTTTTTGCAACTCCAGAAAGTGAAGCAGTTATTCCTGACTTGGTTCGTTATATTAATTGTGTCTATCACCCACCTCATGAGTCTATGCCTAGATGGGCAGTACTAGGTTGGTTATTAAAATCTGTAAAGAATGAGAAGATTTTGGAAAATACCAAACTAGCGATTGTTTATGATTTATTATTTACTATATCAAGTGATATGAATGAAGAGTTTGTAAAGAACATTGTTTCTCCAACATTCTTAATCCTTTCCAACAATGTTGGTAAATACCCAGAAATTACAAATTCCCTTCTAGACTTTATTTTCTACTTTATTGAAAGAACAGATCAATATTTACATTTAACCAAACAACAGATTATTGGTTCATTACAGACCTGTACTCAAAAATTTGGTGCCAGTCATATTGCAACTGTAATAGAAAAAACTGATAATGAGAGAAGAGAAAGAGTTAAGAAATATTTCACAATCCAAAGTACACCACAAGTACAACCACCAGTTACTGTTACTCCTCTTCAAATACCTGAGGGAGCTCAATCAAATTCAAACAATAAGTCCCCAACTCTCTCTCCATCAAAGATACCACCAAGCGCAAAGCAACCATCACAACAAACAAACCCTCCATCATCCGTTGATCCAACCAAGAACAATCCTCCTCTGGCTGTCAAAACAAATAATAGATCTGGCACAACTCCTTTAGCTCCAGTTTCTGTAAAATCTCCAACCTCACCATCAAGACAGCCATTTGCCTCTATTTCAAAAGAAACTGATAATAAGACTATTCGAGAATTGATTGAAGAAACCACAAAGACAGCAACTAACAAAACCAAATTTTTGGAATCGTTTGAACCACTCATATCAAATCTTACCAAGCAAGTCGGTGACTATTATGACTCAATTTCGTCAACTAAACAAGAAGATAAAGAGGTAGAGGAACTAAGAAAGACTTGTAATCAAACAATCAAGGAAGTTGTGGAGTTTTTCTCCAATAATGTCCTCAATCAACAACCTACAGATATTCAAGCTTTTGCCACATTTATCATGAGACTAGTTAGTTTTGAAATGTTGGCCCAAACACAATCAAATACATACAACCTACAACAAGGAAATCCTTCAGCAGTTATTGTACAAACCATTCTTAAAGAGCGTGCAGAAGATGAGAAAAAACATTTTGAAAAATGTTTACTTAGAAATCAATCAACTTTATTGTGTTGTCTTTTGGATGAAATTTGTACTAGAGTTCTATCATATCTTGGTAATCAAAACAAGGAAGCTTCATCAGCTGAAAAGAATAGAATTGCTAAATTGAAAGAAAAATTCTCCCATCTTGTCAAATTCATGTACAAGACGGACATGTCACTTGGATATAGACTACTTTGTTTTTATGTCAGTAAGATTTACAATGATAAGATACAAGCATTGGATTTGCTTAAACCAACAAGCACTGATCCATTTATTAACATTTTAATATTCAGTAACCACTATAAGTACAAATCGGGATATTCTGTATTTTATGATTGGACACTTGGTGCTCGGAAATCCAGTACCGAAGGAGCTCAAACACAAGATCAGGTTTTTATCAAAGATTTATCAACTTGCTTGGAAGATAATCATCTTCTTTTTATTAATTTGTTGCCAATTATTTCTAGAGATTTTTCTCATTATATTCAAAAGAATAAGGAAGAATTTTTCAAATTAATCATAACCAAGTTACATCCATACGAACTGCAGCATGTTAACACATTTGTCCAAAATGGAAAACTTAAAATTTTATTCTCGCAAGGAAAAGCGAAGAAGGCTTCGGGTTCTGCTCAAACAAACCTGAATGGATTAGATTATATCTCTCAGGCGATAGTAATGATTCAAAATCTGAATGATCACTTCTCAGACGATTACGAACACCAAATGTTTTGGACTTTACTCTCTAATGAAATCTGCTATAATCATACACTCTTCTGTATCAATCAAACAGAAGAGGAAAGCGAAAAGAAGACCAGCCAACAACAACAACAAGTAGGTCTCTATTACAAATTCCCAATATCCCAATTCATCATTTCTCTCCTAAATACTTTATCTCAACATGAAGTTTATTCTGATATTCTTCTAACTCTTGTACAAAGACTTACAGCTATTAATCCTGACGGAGAGGCTTTGTTTAGCTATGAATTCATTCAATACGTAATGACGTTACCATTTGAAAAGTATACTACTTTCCCTTCAACCCTTTTGCATCACTATTTACAGTGCCAATATATCAAAAATGATGGTTTCCTTCTTGAAGTTACTGAAAAGCATATTATTGGCGTTCTACAGGAATATCTTGAAAAGATGAACGACAAGAATGCCGAAACTTGTCAAGATATTCTTATGCATCTCTATTATATGAAACTTTTAACCAATCACTCACTTCACTATATGTCTTCAAACACCAATAATCATTACTTACTTTTTGAATGCGAAAATTTCCTCAAACAGATCAGAAAGATTAAGGGTCAATTGTCAAGTAAGAATGAAAAGATGAAGTTTATATTTACACAATTGATAGGAGATTTCGACCAGGGAGAAAATGAAGAAGATATCAACGAAGCAACCACTGATGATGCTGACGTCAAGATGACAGAAAAAACAGAGGAAGAAAAGGAAGAAGAAGAATCTCCAAAGCCTCCAAGAAGTGCCAGAAACAAAAGAAATAAGAAAGTAGAGGTTAGTGAGGATGAAGAGGAGGTAGAAGAAGACGAAGAACAAAACAGTCAGGAAGAAGATGATGAAGAAACAAAACCTAAAAAGAGAAAAGTCACAAAGGAACAAAACGAGGAAGAACAAGAAAATGATGAGACCATTGAAGAAGAAATATCAGAAGATGAAGAAACCAAAGTTTTGAACAATATCAAGTCCAAGAGAAGAGGCTTTGTCAGAAGAAAGAAGGTAAAATAAATTTGGCGCCAAATTTTAAAAATAAAACAGTTACGCTTGTTTAAAAGCAATAAAAAAAGCAAAAAAAAATGAATCAAGACTCGTTGTTCACTCAGTACGTTAGGAGAAAAAACCGAGTGAGAAGGAAGAAGGCCAGAACTCCAAAACGATTTGCCACTTTATTGCAACAACAACAAATTGAAGAGGTCATAGTTCCATCCTCATCAACAGAGCATTTCGATGAGGACGAAATAAACTGCCCAACAGAAAGTATCGGAACAAAAAAAACTTCATTCAAAGAAGAAGATATCGAAATAGAAATACCTAGATCTGAAGATTATGAATCTGCCAAGGAATCAGATGCCGAATTCAAAGATCCACGAACACCACTCAACCAACTCTTGAGAAAGAGGCATTTTGATTCGTGTGACAAGGAAAACTTTGTCCTCTCTACCCGTAAAATTAAATCTATGCTAATGGACGAGGAACAACTCAATTTCCTTCTCTATGCATATGATAAGGAGATTGATATCAAAGTGAATACCGTTAAGTCCTACACAGAGATCAATTGTAAAATGTTTGAAATGAGGCTAAATATGATTTTAGCTCGTCTTCCTGATTCTGTGAAGAATATGACTGTTGGAGAATTCCAAGAAAAGTATAACGAAGATGTAAACACCCTCCTCAAGACCAGAGCTGAAGAAAACATTCAAGAGCTAGAAGAGAAATTTGCTAAACTTAAGAGTTCCGCATCCTCTCACAAGACTCCATCTGTAAATAGGTACCGTGCTTCAGCAATGTTTCCACCTCAATCTAATCTTCAAACACCTCAACACCAACAAAAGAAGAAGAAGACAACTAACTTTCTCAATACTCCACTCAACCATAGCAGATTGCAAGCAAATAAAATGTAAATAAGTTAAATTGTTTATTTAATTAAGAATTCCAGACACGTCTAAATCATCATCATCTTGAGCTGTTTGAGATGCCCTAAATAAAGCTTCTTTAGTGGTTGAGCTTAGTTCTGAAGAGCTCAACTTTGGAATAGCCACATTCTTCTTTACAAACTCGAGTACGGATGGTTGTGAAATTGGTTGCTTCTTTTTCTTTGTTTCAACTTGTTTGGTAGGTTCTTCTGTTTGTTTCTCCTCCACTCTCTTTCTCTTCTTGTCTTCACCCCCCAAACTAGAAATTCTGGAAAGAATATTTGAAGAGGTGGAAGACTGATTGTTGGAGTCTTTGGTCTTGACAGGCTCCTCTGGAGTATTCTTCTCATTTAATGCAAGGAAAGGATTAGAAGATGAGTTACTAACAGAAGTCGATTTAGAGGTGATTTTTTTCTTTAGATTGTTATCAATGCTCTTCTTCTTTGGTCTCTTTGGAGAAAACATTTGGGCAAGAGGTTTTGCTGATTCAGACTCGAATTGGAACTCCACTTCACCATCCAATTTATCCTCTGTAGTATCAGATTTTGTTGGTGAAATAGTGGCTAATGAACGCGATGAAACAGGTGATTGGCTCTCAATTCTTACAGGAGAGACTGTATTGATTATTTCTACATTGGTTGAGGAGGTATTGGACTTTAACAATTGTTTCACTACTTCGCTGACTTGCTCTTTTGTCATGTACTGTGTGGAGGTTGAGGGTGTGGAAACGAAGGCTGATTGTTGATAGGAATGAGGCCATGCTGGGTTCTTTGCAGATTCTTGAACAAAAAGCTCTGTATTCTTAAGTGTCGCAGAAAGTTTGATATCTTTTTGAGATTCTGCAAAATTGGCAATGATATTCAAGCTTGACTTCATTCTCAATAGTTTAGCAAAATTCAAAGCAGCTGAGTATTCTTTAAGCTCTATACATCTGGTAATGATGGTAACTATTAATCTATCAATTTCAACGATACCTTCCTTTGTGGCATTCCCCTTTCTGAAGGATTGATTGAAATATATATTCTTAATAAAATATCTGAAATACGAAAGTTTAACAGATTTGTCATGGCCTTTTTCTAAATCTATTGATGACCCAATAAATACATCCTCAACATTAGTAGCGTTGAGCTTGAAGGAAGTCATATCATGAGTAGCGGTTGGAACACCTTTTTGATTATTGCATAAAATTGAATAGATAGTACTGTCATTAATAATACTAATAAAATGGGTATTTTCTCCCTTTTTCAAATCACACCAAGCAGAGAAAGAGTCAGTATCAGGGTTCATCAAGTACAATATTTGAGTGGAGTCAAAAACGTAAAGCAAGTCTTTTGTTCCTGTACCGAAACCAATCCAAGCAAGTTCAGAACAAGGTAGAGGTCTGTGTGCCTTTACACATGAAAACATGTTAATATCATACCAATCCAAAAATAAGCATGTACCTTGTTGATAAACAATCACCAAATTATTATCAGATCCACATAATGAAACAATATTTCCTCCAATAGCAATATTTCCAAGGTCTAAGTTATCTTTAGTCTTAACCTTTACAAAAGATGTACGAGTACTGCCCTTATTTTCCTTTTCTATTGCAGCAGCAACAAATGAGGAACCAAGAGTAACACATAGTATTTTTTCATCATGGGGGAGAATTGATTTCCATCCCTTATCCTGGTGAGTGAGTCTGAGCTTTCTAAATGAAATAACACCATTATCATTTAGATTATTAGGATTGGATCCAAACACTATACCATTCTCGCTAAGAGCTGCTACGTGCGGTTTGTTATTATCTTGGTATTTCTCTTCAGAATGACCTGCTAAATTAAATTTGATATGAATATTATAGTAAGGAGCTCTGTCAGGTGTCATGTTGGTAACTGAGGCTGTTATTAAGCCAATATGTTGTGTTACAGCTAGGTATCTTTTGTGATCATTTCCAACCTTTTCAAAAGGAGAAGAAGTTGGTTGAAGAGCTTGGTGCTTGTGCATATATGGAGCAAGAGGAATAGAGGTTTCAAAAGCGTGATGGGAATCTTCTTTGAATTGAGATTCCACTAGGGTTGGACGATCAAGATCCACTACTTCAAGTGGTTCTATTTCTTCCTGTTCCTCTAACTCTTCTTCTCTATCATTCAATATCGAATCGATGTCATCATGAATTTTAGGCTTTGATTTGTTTGGGGTTGGTTGTTTTTTTGGAGGCTCTGTTTCTATCAAAGACATAATATCATCGTCATCCATCATTTGAAGAGATTTGATATACCTTTCACAATCAACAGCTTTGTATGTTGTTTTTTGCTTTTTTAGATTAACAAAATTCTTAATGAGATGAACCTTTCCATCAAGAGTACAAACATAAAACTTGTTGTCTGTAGCTGACCATTCAATAGAGGTCACTAGAGATTTCATTTGAAGTGATTGATAAGGTCTTGGTCTTTTAGATGTGAGAGAATCAACTTCATACAAGTTGATATTCTTATCTATATCAATCATTGCAGCATGTACAGAGTTTGGAGAGAAGGATGCAATGTAATTATTTACGTCAATCTTGCCCAGAGATGACTTTTTCCAACCATCAATATCAGTAATAAGAGTAGAGTTGGGAGTTATAATAGAATCAGAACACAAGTGCCATGACATAACCAGTGGACATAAGGCGTCTGCCTTGGATTGATTATTCCAAAATGAGAGTAAATCTTTTGAAATATGGTTTGAGTTTGAAAAGATTTTGTCTTCCTCGTCTAATTTAAATAAACTAAACTCTCTATTTCTGTTCAATAAAGCAATAACATCATTGTCATTAATTTTGACAGAAACAGTGCCACCTTGGGTTGAAATTGTACGAATGGTTTTTGGCTCCTCATTATTACTAACATCAATAATCTGCACTGATAATTTTTCTGACATACTACCAATTGCAATGATATTCTTCCTATTAATACTCAAGCTGGTAATGGTATGGTCAGAGCGAGAAATGAGAGCTTCAAACTCTAATGATGGATATTTGTAGCAATTTACTACATTATCCTTTGAACCTACAAATAAATGACATCCATCCAAAGAAAACACTGCACAAGTTGGCTCTTTTTGTTTTGTTTTCACTACTCTTTGATCTGCTATTTTATCATCCTTGAGTGATAGCACCATCAATTGGTTATCAGTATCGGTAGTAACGATTGACCTATTCATATGAATAAACTTCTATTATTTGAAAGTACATACTCTTCAGTTGGGTGATGAACCAACCAGCAACACAAAGAAGATTTAGATTTTCCTCCATTGTTTATCAGTATGGATTGTGAAGCCATTTTTTTTGAATTATTTTTTAAAATTGGCGGGTTCTTAAAAAGAGTGGGAAATAACAATTTGACAGGAAAATAATGTTTTGAAAATATTTTCCAATTCTGACTTATAAAATCAATCATTAATTCTTTTTGTCATTAAACAGAACAGTAATACATTAAATAATTATAATTGGTGGTATTGTTATTGTGAATATTGTTAAAATTAAATGCTTTTTTTGAAAATAATAAAATAAAAAAATGTTAAAACGATTCGTCCGTTCTGCCTCAATTTGTCAATCATCGATATGCTCTCACCAGCATTCAATCAATTTTAAAATAATAACATTATTGAATAGACGTAATTTTCATAATCTTCCTTATTTTCAAGCAATATTGTCGGAAAAGGATTTTGAAAAGTTAGAAAAAGAACAACAAACAGAGGAGGATTTAAAACCACAATCAAAATCACCAGAAATTATCACCAATACAACAAGTGAAAATCCATCATCACCACCATTCAACAACTCTGATGATCCATCACTATTTGCTGAATTTATGAAAATGAAGAAAAAAGAGGAACACGACATGGAAGGATATAATAACCCTTTCTATAGAGATGTGGATGAAAAAACAGCTATTGAATACCAAGATGCTATCAATGATAAGGAATCTACCCCATTTCCGACATGGATGATGAATTTCTATAGGGTTGCCTCTATTTCTGTTGTTGTCATAGTATGTTATGGACTTGTTGTGGCAAAACTAGATGAACAATCGATTAATGAACGATATGCTCTCTTAGAAAAGAAGAGAAACGAAAGAGAGGAACAAATGAGAAATATGCAATTTGAATTGGAATTAACAACCTCAGTAAAAGAGAAAAAGAGTCTTTTTTCTGGTTTGAAAGCTCTTGTAGAGGAAGAAAAATAAATCATTTTCATTCTCTAACAACAATGCTTGCTAAGAGATATCGATGATTTGGGATTCATTCTCAACTTTTTCAATAGGAACAATTTTAATTATTTATAATAAATCATTTTTAAAAAATAAATTAAAAAAATGCTAGAATTGTTGAAGGGAAAACCTAAACTTGTCGCGGAACTTATTCAAACGCTACCATTCAGCGCCCAGCCATTGAAAGTAAATGGACAATGGAGACCAGCAAAGTTAAGAACAAGACAAGTTAAAGCTCTTTATGAAGCTTCTCGTTTACATAATATACCATTCCCAGAACAACATTTGTCTTTGATGGAAAACCAAGGAACGGAACAACCAAAGAAGCACGGATTCATAAAACCACAACGTTTGAGAGGTGAAGTTAAAAATTATAGTGATAGAATTGATAAAATTAACAAGGCTTTGGCTCAACAAACACCAAAGATTGAAAAACACAGAGAAGAGGAACGTGATAAGAGATATAAGGATTGGTATGATTTGGGATTATTTGGTAAAGTTTCTACAGATGATCCAAAGAATAAGTATATGGTGGACAAAATTTTGAAGGCTCAAAAGAGTCCAGCCAAGAAAAAGAAGTAAATGATAAATTTGAATATATAGTAATAACCTAATTAAATTGGAATAATCGGAAATTAACTCATCACTTTATTGATAAATAAGGTCTAGTAAAAATCACAAAAATTTATTATATTTATTTATTATGTAAGAAATCATTCAATTAAATTGTACCATCCTGTTTTCAGTTCTATTAATATATGAAACCAATAATTTAGATACTAGTAGCAACAACTTTTTCAATTATTGTAAAGAGGATCCATTATGGTTGGAGCATAAGACGCAGTCCATTCAATTATTCCTCATTCAAAAAAATACCTCACTCTGATTGCTTGATAGTCATCCACATCACTCAACAATGGAAAACAAACCATCATCGGAAGCTGTACCAGAAAATGCAAATGAACACTGTCCAGGTGTAGAAAGTCAAAATGCAGGAAAGTCATCATCTTGTGCTGGATGTCCAAATCAGTCCTTGTGTGCAAGTGGAGGAATGAAGAATGGTATTAACCAAACTGCTGTAGAAACTGAACAAATCAAGGAAGCTATGAAATCGATCAAAAGAAAGTTTCTAGTTTTATCTGGTAAAGGAGGTGTTGGAAAATCTACTGTTTCCTCCCAATTAGCTCTCACTATGGCACTTTGTGAAAAGGATAGTGTTCCACAAGTAGGAGTTTTGGACGTAGATTTATGTGGGCCATCTATTCCAACAATGTTTGGTTTAGAGGGGTATCAATTACATCAAAGTAATTTAGGATGGACACCTGCATACTATGAAGATAATTTGGCTGTTGTTAGTATCGGATTCATGTTACCAAACAAGGATGATGCTGTAATATGGAGAGGACCAAAGAAGAATGGGTTAATCAAACAATTTTTGAGAGATGTTTATTGGGGAGATTATTTGGATTATCTCATTATTGACACACCACCAGGAACAAGTGATGAACACATAACAATTGTTCAATATTTGAAAAATGTGGATATTGATGGAGCTATTATTGTGACAACACCACAAGATGTCAGTTGTAATGATGTAAGAAGAGAAATTAATTTTTGCAAAAAAGTTGGAATACCAATTATTGGAATAATTGAAAATATGAGTGGTTTTGTTTGTCCAAATTGTAAGAATAAGGCAATGATTTTTAAACCAACAAGTGGTGGAGGTCAACAATTGGCTATTGATTATGAAATACCATTCTTAGGAAGTATTCCTCTTGATCCAATGGTTATGCAATCCTGTGAAACTGGTAAAAGCATTGTTAAAGACCATCCTGAATCTCCAGCTTCTCAAGCAATGAAAGAAATTGTTCAAAAAATAATTACTCACAAAAAGAACAATCAATAAATGTAAATACTATTCTCTCTTCATACCCTGTTCTAGATTAAAATTCTTCTTCCAACAATGTAGATTCTCAAATATTGAGCATAACATTGTGGTAGAATAAAATTAGGGCTACTTACCTCTTCAATCAACGATTATAAAAATAAAATACGATAAAAACACACGACAACAGGTCAGCAAAGTAAAGAGTTCGTTTGGAGTCAAGGGGTTTCCCTCTTATACAAGAAGGAAGACAGAATTGAGAGGCCAAAGCCAGCTGCAACTCCGTTAAGGGTTTTGAATAACATTAGGGTTACTAAGTGTCATTCAGAAAAAGTCTCCACTTTCAGAAGAACTGTCAGTGAAGGTGGATGGTTGATTAGCCATCACAATAGCATCAGATCCAAAGCACTTTGCAAACTTATTAATAATAGTTTGCATTGCAATCTTCTTCTCTTCATCAGCAAATTTATGAGCCAACTCAAAACATTTGTCAAGTTGACTAGTGAAATCATTAAACTCTTTTTCTTGAGCTTCCTTGATTTTCTTACTTTTAAGCTCTTTAGCTTCTTCTCTCATTCTTTTAGTCTTGTTTGGTTTGCGTGCGTAAACTTTGAGAGGACAAGATCTCTTAATCAAAATTGGATTATCCAATTTATCATTCAAGTAAAACTTGAGTTCAAGAGCAACCAACTTTTTCTCTTGATGGTAGGAATAATCGAATTGAATTTTCATTTTACATTCAAATTCATCAGCATTCTTACTGGTTGGATCCTTGGTTAAGGCTGATTCAATATTACCTTTGAGCACTGGTTTAGCTAATTTGATTTCCTTATTAGTTTCAGCATCAACAACAGTGGCACGACACAAAAGCAATGGAACAGTAGTAAGGAAGTTACCACTTGCCTTTTGAATAATTTCATACTTCAAGGAAGAATACATCTTTTCAGGAAGGTATTCAGAAGGTTTATCCCTTCTAGTTTTCAATAAAACTTGAGTATCCAAGTTACCAGCAGATTCATCAACATGAATAGTTTTCCACACACGTTCAGAGGTGGAAACAGGAGTAGAGTCCTTCTTTTTCTTGGAAGCAATAATCTTTTTTCTCTTTTGAGTAGATTGATCTTCATCTTCATCATTAACAGAGGACATATCGTTAGAGTCAGTACTGCTATCATCTAGATGAGCGTTTTGTACTTCAAAGAAGGAAGAAAACAAGTCAGTCTTAACTTCACCGGATGGAGATGGTTGAAAGTCATACATCAAGGATTGGAAGGTATTATCCAATTCATTGGTAGCCTGTTTGGAAGTACCAGAAACAAGGATAGCAGGAGTGCCCAATACAATTTGTTGGGTATCAATGGAGAGAGTATTCTTCTTGGAACTAACAGGAGTGGTTGGATCCAAAGAGAAAAAGTCGAATGGCTCGTCAAAGAAGGCAAAGTCGGTTGGGGTTTCAGCAAACATTTTTAAAAGGGAATAATTTTGTTGTATTGATTGTTCAATTTAGTGATTGTGTAATAATTATTAAAAAAGTGGCTATTTGATGATAATTAAAGGTTTAATAATGAGCGATATGGAGAGTGAGTTGTTCGAGATATTTTTCATCCTTGTTGTTTATTAAAAATAAAACTCGCGTCAGTTTTTAAAGGTGAACAAGCTGGAAGATATTTTACAATTAATTCTAAAAATAATAGCCAATAATTGTCTACGAAACGTGCTGTTACAATCTCTCTTTCAGTGCGTTTTTGAATTTGCTCTTGTTCATCCATGTTTTTTAGAATAATGTAATTAAGAAATGTTAAAAAACATGACTCTACATCTAACAGGCTGAGATGATCTTCAAGTTCTGCAGTTACAAATAATTCCATATTATGTATACCTATTGACTCCCTTTTCAGCAAAAGACAGGCTTCTCATCTGGATTCTTCAATAACTTGTTTAAAATTTTGTCATTTCGATAGAATTCTTGTTAAACAACGGTATCGATTTCAGTATAATACTATCACTTCAAAGAGTAACAGAACGTGTCAAACATTGCAATAGTGAACTTTTACAAAAATCCCCACAATTTCAGATTATATTAAATAAACATTGAAAAGCAATTATTTGTTGTATTTTAGATTTAGTGTGGAACAAACATCTGTCCTGACTTCAATAACAAATTTTCACTCGCTGCTGTCTGTGGCTGTAGTGCAAAATAATAATTGCAACAAATTTAATTTAAATGATTCAAGTAAAATAAAATATTGCAGAAAAAATGAAGAGAACAACACCAGCTGCCTCATCATCTAGAGGTGTGTCATCATCGGCAGCTACATCAAATACAATAACTGAAGGTCCAAAAGTACAAATTTTAAATGATGAACAAAGAAAATTAACAGTGGTATATATGAAACAAATCATAAAAGAATTATCACAACATTCGGATGGTATTATGGATGGTGTACTTCGAGAAAAATTTTCAGACCAAATGGTTTTTATGGAAAGCATAAATCAATTGAATATTAAAGGAAGAATTCGACACTTTAAAGTTGGAAAGAATATAATATTCCAACATGTTTCAAAGGAAGATTCTGTAAAATATAAAGGATTGACTGATGAACAAATTGGAATTTATCAAATGATTGAACTTTCCGGAAACAAGGGTATTTGGAAAAAGAGCATTTCTAAAAAAGCCAAAAAGAATGAAAAGGACCTTGAAAAGATATTAAAAGCTCTTGAATCTAAGCAATTAATTAGAAAAATTTCAGACATTACACAAAAGAAGGGAACTCAGATTGTTTATATAGCTTCACATATAGAACCTAGTAAGGAGATTACAGGAGGTATTTGGTATATTGATGGAAAATTTAATTCGGAACTTGTTGATAAACTGAGAACAGAAACCATAACTTATTTAGAAAAGAAACCAAAGAGAACACATGAAGTATTGGAACATATTAAATCTTTGGCTATTATAGATCATGTTGATTTGGGATCAGATGATATGCAACAAGTTATTGACACTTTGGTTTTTGATGGATTTTTAGAGAAAATTATTGATAATAATAATGTGGGAAATCAATCTCTTTACAGAGTTGCCCTATCAAGTGTTTCAACAGAAAACGCTTTTGTGGATATTCCTTGTTCTACTTGTCCAGTATTTGATCAATGTACAGAAAATGGAGATATTACTCCAAAGACTTGTCCTTATTTGAAAAAGTGGATGGATTTTTAAACAATAAATTGTACAATCAAATTTTATTAAAAGCACCTCTTCAAGATAATTTTGGATAAATTCAAAAAAAATGCAGAAGGGCAATAACCAGCAGAATAAGAAGAGAGTGGCGTCTTCATCAACAAATACCAACAACAACAATTCTACAACAGTGGAACGTCCAACAAAAAAGATTAAAGAATCACAACAAGGTACTATAGCACCTTCCGATGGAAAGAATGACATTATTTCAAAGGAGTTGCAAAAATCTCTTCCATTTGACCCTCATTTTGTTGATAGCAATAACGAAAAGAAGGAAAAAACACAATCAACAACACATGTTAAACCAATCAAAGCACTACCTCAAAAAAGTAGAAAAAAGCAAAAGAGTGAGGAAAGAAAAAAGAAAAAGGTGGAAGAAAAGAAGGCTAAAGATACTATGAGACAACAATTAATTGAATCTCACCAAAAGAATACACTAAAAGATGAAGAATTAAAATTATTAAAACCTATAGGATCTATTGGTATTGGATCAGAGACAACAAAACAGGAGTTACAAAGAAAGGCAATTTACGAACAACTTGGTATCAAGGAAACAGCTCCTAAAGCTGAAAAGTTTTGGAATAAGAGGAATCCCGAATTAATTAATGAAAAGTGGAATGAACAAGGTTTACAATTGTATGAAGAAAATGATGAGGATTTGATAAAAATCAATTCAATCATTCAAACAAATTCAAAGGATTCTTCATCAGATAAAATGCAAGTTGATGAAGATAACAAACCAGAAGAAAAGAAGCCACTCATGGTTCTGGACTTTTTTGGAACAGGAAACACAGTTAGTAACGTACCTTCTGCTAAAAACATTTCTAAAAAGGAAAATGAAGAGAAAAAGGAACAAATTACAGAGTCTATCTTTTATGATAGTGATGAAGATCCAATGGTTGGCTTAAATTTGGAAGATATGGGTAAATCTCATAATCAACTTATTGATGATATGATTGAAAAGCTAGATCAATCAAAAACAGATGAGGAAAAGGAAATTAAGTTCACAAGATTTTATGTCACTGTTAAAAGAAAACCAGAAATACAAGATCAAAGAATGCTTCTTCCTATCTGCGGTGAAGAACAGAGAATTATGGAAACAATCAATGAAAGTGAAATTACCATTGTTAAGGGTGAAACTGGTAGTGGTAAAACAACACAAATCCCTCAATTTTTATACGAATATGGATATGGCAGAGTTGAATCAGGTTTCCCTGGAATTATTGGAGTCACTCAACCAAGAAGAGTTGCTGCAGTGAGTACAGCTAAGCGTGTTGCTGAAGAATTGAACGTTGTTTTTGGTGAAGAAGTTGCCTATCAAGTTAGATTTGACAAGAATGTCAATACAGAAAAGACAAAGATTAAATTTATGACTGATGGTATTTTGATGAGAGAAATTCAAACAGATCCTCTTTTGCTTAAATATTCAGTTATTGCTTTGGATGAAATTCACGAAAGAAATGTAAATACAGACATATTGATTGGTTGGTTATCCAGATTTATACCTCAAAGAAATAGAATGGCAGCTGCTGGATTAACAACTCCAGAGGGACAAACTATAACACCACTCAAATTAATTATCATGAGTGCTACACTCCAATTAGAAAACTTTACTGATAACAAGAAGCTTTTCGCTAATCCACCTCCTGTTGTTGATGTTCAATCAAGACAATATCCAGTTGTTGTTCATTTTAATAAGAGAACAATTTTCAATGACTATATGGAGGCTGCATTCAAGAAGGTTGTAAAAATTCATGAAAGTTTACCAAATGGTGGTATTTTAATTTTTCTTACTGGTAGAAAAGAGATTGAATTTTTGGTTGAAAAGTTGAAAAATTACTCAACCAAACGTTATGTTCAAATTGTTAAAAAAGAGATGGAAAGGAAGAAATCTCTTAAAGAAAAGGAAGAGGAAAATCAAAGAACGGTAGAGGAAGAAGAAGAATTAATTAATCAACTGGGTGATTTGAGTGATAGTGATGATGACGGTGATGAAATTTCCTCCAGTAAGAAGGCTGTTGGACTTAAGGAAGATGAAAATTTATTTGACGACGACCAAGATCAATCCGAGCAAGAAGAAAAAGAAGAAAAAGAAATCAAAGAAGAGGAAGAAAAGGGAAAGAGTGAAACTGTTGTTCTCTTCCAAGAAAATATTAAATCCGATAAGGTAAAGAAGGAAGGTGAGGAAAATAATGCCAAGCTCAATAGTAAGAAAAAGGCTGAAAGATTGCATGTACTTCCACTCTATGCTATGCTTCAACCTCATGAACAAATGAAAGTTTTCAACAATCCGCCTGAGGGTCATAGATTAGTTGTTGTGGCTACCAACGTTGCTGAAACCAGTTTGACCATTCCAAATGTTAGATATGTTGTTGATTGTGGTCGTACTAAGGAAAAACAATTTGAAAAGAGTACTGGTATTTTCAAATTCCAAATTGGTTGGACTTCACAAGCAAGTGCCAATCAGAGAGCAGGTCGTGCAGGTCGTACAGGACCTGGTCATTGTTACAGATTATTCAGCAGTGCTGTGTTTGATCAAAGATTCAAGAATTATACTGAACCAGACATTCTCAAAGCCCCAATAGAAAATATCATTTTACAAATGAAGAGTATGGGTATCAAACAAGTCGAAAAATTCCCATTCCCAACTCCTCCCGATGCTGATTCTGTGAAAAAAGGGGTTGACGCTTTAGTCAATTTAGGTGCTCTTGATAAATTTATCTCAAAAGAGGGAAATATTGAAACAATGATTACCAAAATGGGTTCTGCCATGAATAGATTCCCACTCCATCCTAGATTTGCAAAAATGTTAATTCTCTCAAACAATAATCCCGACTTACTATTATATACTGCAGGTGCTGTGAGTGTAATGACGGTCCAACAAATATTTATGCATGATAACCATTTAACTCTTTTGAAAGAAAAGATTGAGAGAAGAAAACAAGAAGAATTGAAAGAAAAATTCTCTCGATTAGGAATGAAATCAGATGCCATTGATAAGAACAAGAAGTTGCAAATCGACTTGGAAGAAATTGAAGAAGAGCAAGCTGCAGAAAGTTTGGAAGAAAATTTATCTGAAGAACAAATCAATGAAGAGAAACAATATTTGGATGAGCAAGAGCTTGAAATGAAGACTAAATGTAAGGAAATTAAGAAAATGTGGTCCCATCCTCTCAGTGATCATTTGGCAATGCTTAAGGCAGTTGGTGCCTATTTATATGCAGATGATGCAAAAGAGTTTTGTCTCGAATATATGTTACATCAAAAGAATATGAGAGAAGTTAGAAAGTTGCATAGACAATTATTAAATACAGTTAGATCAGAATTAAAAGCATCTGCCTTGGAGATTGATACAGACGAAACTGAAGTTGATATTCACGAGAAGGATGAAACTGTTGAATTCCCAGAACCAAAAGATGATGAAGATGAACAATATCAAGTTGATACTGCTATCAGACAAGTTATTTGTGCTGGTATGGTCGATCAAGTTGCCAGATTAGCCACTGTGGAAGATTTGGCTCATATGGATGTTTCATATAAGGAAACAAGCAAGCCTTATGTAACTCTTTCATTGGGAAGGTCTGTACCTGTATTTATTCATCCTGGATCTTGTCTCTTTGGTCGTCATCCAGAGTATGTTGTATTTACCGAATTGAGTAAGAGTAGAAAGAATAAGACTTATATGAGAGGAGTGACAGCAATTGAACCAAACTGGATTTCTAGATTTGGTAACAGCAAGTGTGGATTTGTTAAATTTTCAGACCCTCTCGAATCTCCAGCTCCATTCTATGACTCTGTTGATGATATGGTTAAATGCTTTGTGAGACCAACAATTCGCCAATCGGCTACGGGTGTTGTTTGGACTCTTCCAATAGAACCTGTTGAGTTTAAGGATGGATCAAGACAGGTTAATGTCTTTGCTAAATCTATTCTCGAAGGAAAGGTGTTCGAAGGTCTAAAACTTTCAAAAGAAACTATGGTCAACCTTCCAACAATCATTCAATCAAAACGTTTCTTGGACTTGACAATATCTCTAAAGAAAGTGTTCCCAAATGGCCTTAAATGCTCCAAAGCCAAATTGCAAGCAAAATGGAATGAAGACTCATCCTTCCTTAGGAAAGAACTTTCAAACCTTGGGTTAAAGTTTTAATAAAAACATTATTTGAACAAAAAAAATGGAATCAAAAGGAGTGATTGATTTGTTAGGAGGTGGAGCGTTAGGATATTTTGTTGTTCTTTTAATCTTTTTGCACCTTGCTGCCTTTGGTTTCTGGATTGTAAAGGTAATGTGCACTAACACTGATGCTGTAGATGAAAGGAAGAACAAATAGTCATCGGAATTAATGAATGAACCGCTGAAATAAAATCCTTTATTGTAGTCGATTTGGGATATGAATTGTGATAAATATTGCAGAAATAATTTATTAATATTATAAACTATCCTTTCTGCACTCTGTACTGTTGATATTGCAAAATAACAGACACCAATTGCCAAAATGAAAATTCTGGCCAATACAGAGAAGAAATATAAATCATGGATTTTTCGCACTGCCACGTCAAGAAATCTGACAATCTCATCTCTCCACTTGTTCTAACAATAATATCAGGTTCACTTGTAGTAAGGAAATACTTGTCGAGTAGTTTAGTTTCTTCCTCTATTACTATCGACTTTTTTTTCTCCTCATTTGATAAATCTTTGTTGCTGATCTTATCTGAAATGTAATTGGTGATAGCATTTTCGATTTCATAGGTTGATGTATATGGACAACATAAATTCAATATAAGAGCATCATTACCATATTTTGAATTAATTTTGTAAGAATAGTCCATGGCTCTTTGGGCACTATCTTGAACATATTGTGGAAATCTGTTGAAATCTCCTAAAACTCGTAAAATTACCTTATACTTGATTATGAAAGATTTCTTTTTTGTGACCATGTCTTTAAATCTTCTATCCATTAGATCCATAATATTGTCAACCTCCTGTTTATCCCTTTTAAAATTATCAATCGAAAAAGCATAAACAGTAACAGTTTTCACACCCAACATTTCACACCAATTTAGACATTGTTTCAGTTTCTTATATCCGGAACGATGACCCTCTTTGATTGGAATATTCTTTTTAGTTGCATACCTTCTATTACCATCCATAATGAAGGCTATGTGTTGTGGAAGCAAATCATTAGTCTTTGGGTCGTATCGTAAAATTCTAACAATACATGTTATTATTAATTCATAAAACCATGTGAACCACGAAACTATTACTTGAACAAAAGATTTTTGTTTTTTAATAATCCGAGAATTGTTTCTTTCCGAAATTTTATATTCATTCATTGAGGATTCCAAATTACTACTTGTACTACTATTATCATTCCAAGTCATATTAAGCAATAAATTCATCAAAAAACAAAGTGTTTGTATTTTTTTTTGTTTTTTATTTCGGACTTTATTTTGGACACGTTTTCCAATACTGATGTGACCTAGTTGTGTTTGTTTTTTTTGGAATGTGGCCTAATATTGTTGTCTATTGGTTTTCTCTTCTTAGTGAGAATGGTACGAATGGTTGGACCACTATTCTCTAAAACCTTATCAACAAGTTGTTCTTGCCCGTTGTGGAGAAATGAGTGTATAACTGGATTATAGTCTTGTTTGAAATGCAATACAGACCACTCTATGAAAATTATTATTAAATTGGGAACGGACATTGCTGTTGTGGTAAAATCTCTAACAAGTGTTTCAAAAAAACCAAGTACTTCATCACGTTCATGATTTGCAAGAAGATTTGTTCTATCAAATACCTCAGTAATGATGAAAGATAACTTTTTTGAAAAATTTTCACAATTGCCAGCTTGGTTGATTAATATTTTCAATCCATCTAGAAACCAAGATTTAGAATTTTGGTCTGATTTTGTTGCCAAATAAATTTCTAATTCTCTATCACACATTCTTAAAATTGAGAAGAAATCTGTAGGCAAGCGTGTCAATATATTAGTGCTAAGATTTGCTAATTCCACAAATATATTTCTCATGACAGAGTTCAAGTCTTCCTCATCCCTCATAAAGTGGTTGAATATTATGCTCTTAATATGATCAGATAAATTATGAATCACTGATGCAAGATCTGGTAGCCAATATATCCAATACTTCAGTTCTAACACCTCACAAAGAGTTTTGGAAGCTAGTAAGTTATTTGTTAAAATGCTGGAAAACCATAGAAATTCTTGATTCGATAACATTTTAAATTGACCAGTATGGAAGAGTAATGCCAATCTCTGTAGAAGAGGAGGAAATTTCTCATTTTGTTTTGCCATATTTATGGAGAATACTCGATTTTCTCCAATGATTTGGCAAATAGTCTTTAAAAAGGGAACAATATTTTGAGAAGAGTCTTTCCATTTGATCACTTTACAAGTTATGCCATCAAAAACAATGTTTAAAAAGTTAACGTGATCCCTAGAGTGTAAACTTTTGAAAATCACCTCTAAAATTTTTCCAAATCCATCATAACTCTTTTTCTGTGAGCATTCCACAAATATCTCCCTGCAAACTATTCCCAAATCCTCCAACAAGAACACATCTCTATATTTTTCTATTATATCCGAAAGACATCTGTTGAAGGTACTACTTTGGGTTATCATTCCAGCTCTTACCAATTGTCGAGTTAGAGAGGAAGAGTCTATAAGAGTGTTGGACTCTATGAGCTCAAAAACAAACTTTCTAATCTCAAATGGATTTTGCTCTGCAATCTCTTTTTCCATTATAATTCTGAAAGAAAAACAGTTATGAAAAGGATGAACCTGGGGTAGATTGATTCTTAGGAAATTTAGCAGACCCAAAGATTTGATAGAGAGTTTTGTTTGGAATTCTTTAAAACGTTTTAACATTTTTTCAGAATTTTCGCAGAAGAATTGTAAAAATTCTATAGGTCTGTTGGAATACATTTCTAAAATGGATTCTAAAATTGTATTCTCAGAAGTTGGATCAATAGGTTGAGATTTGGAATCAGAGAGGTAAAACTTGGAAAGAATGGATAGTCGTATTGAATTTGCGACTGGTCCTATCGATTCTTCTTCAATTGATTCAAGGGGAGATATGATACATTGCCTAGCATGCGTTGAATCCTCTAAAATTATTCTCTCTTCAATTGTTGATAGTAAAGGTATGGTAAACTTGTTTTTTTGCAAGAGGGATTTAAGCCATGTTTGAAAGTTGAATCTTAAAATACAATCAGAAGAATGATTGGTTATAACTTACTTAATGGATTTCGAATAATGAAATAATGTAGCCCAGTACATGCAATTGTGGATGTAAAATCGTGATAAAGTATTGGAAGTTATGTTCGGATGTAAAAATAAAATATTATCTATTATATCAATGAATGAATTTTCATCCCTAGTATCTGATAAAAGTTGTACAAATCTATTTACAAAAATGTCATTATCTTGTCTGACCATAAAAATAAAACCAGAAATTTTCAATTGTTTTGAATGAAGGAAATGTTGCTGAGAAATTCTAAAGCAAATCTTGGCCAAAAACCTTTTAAAAAATGATTTCTCACATGCCTTGTATACCAATAGCACTTTTTCTATCAATTCTTTTTTAAATTCGTCAGAATATAGTAATAATATGAAAATGGTAGCTGTTAAATCTTCTACAATATTATAAGGTATATGTTTAGTAGCCTCACCAAATATAAAGCTATTATCCTTACTGATAAATGAATAATCAATTTCAGGCCGTGAATTGAATATCTTTAACAAATCGAATAACTTTGTTGATGGCAACTCCTGAAAAATAAACCGTTGAACCAAATTACTTATTGTGAAATTATTAATACAGTGAATACTAGCAATGCAATCCCAAACATCAAAAAGATCTTTTTTTTCGAGAGGAGTCATTTCTAAAAAGAGGCGAAGGAATTTTGCAATGTTCTCCATGATTTTAAGTAGAATTGACTCGCTAGTACTCGACTCTTCCAGACTTGTAAATTCTATCTGGGTTGGCATTGAGAAAACCATTGATGAATTTTGAATTAATAAATTCAATTCCATACTACAGTTTTTCAATATGGTCGCTAAACTTTGAAAGTTATAAATATTGAATTGTTTTGAGGTATTAGACACAAAGGTAAAATCGATTAGGTTACATTTTTCAAGTTCGTCAAAAAATTGCTGTAGAATTCCTCTACCAAAAATATAATTAGATTCTGTGCATAAAATCATGTCAGTCACATTATGGTATTTTTTCATTAAATGTGAGGCTATTCTTTCAGAAATAAAGCCAATGCTAATTAATTTATCCTCCTCTGATGTGTCAAGAAAGAAAAAGGTAAGCCTTCTTTGTTGACTGCATACTTCAAATAATGAATAATTTTTGAATTTTGGATTAATAAATCTATGAATATCATTCTCAATCTTATCCAGAAAAGTATGCTCAAGTAATAGAAAAATCCAAGTGTTCATACTAAAAAAACTTTCTCCACCCAAACTTGAAATTCCACTATCTGATAAATCTCCAAACATGATTAATTCCTCTTCCAAAACTTGTTTAACTGAAAGATGAAATATATTCAATTGTTCCAATAAAACTTCTGTAATTCTATCCTTTAGAATAGTTTCTAAATATTTAAACGAATTTTGCTTGGCATTTTTCGAAATGGAAAAGTATAATGTTGTAAACAAGCTCATAAAAATGTCAAACCACAACATTTTGTGATTAAATATTATTTTCTTATAGATTTCATCTAGATTGGCTGACGATTTGCTTGTTTCATTGAACAGTCTCGCAAGATATTCAATAAATAATTTTGAAATTGATGAGAACAATATCGGAAATTTGTGCATGTAGTAATTCAAATTTTGCCATTGTGTATGTGATAAATCTAAATAATTGGAAGATGAATCCCGTTTAATAGCCTCTTCTATTCCCTTCCAAATTATTTGAAAGGTGTGGAAAGCCTTTATATGTGTGGAAGACATGACGGTAATCAACATGAAAACATTTTTTGCTTCAATTCTAAAAATAAAACATAATTGCGAATAAATAATAACAAAAAAAATGGCCAACGATAAGAAGGTTGATAACGAAGTGGAAAACAAAGTCGATGAACAAGATGTTTTGGAAGATGATGACTTTGAGGAATTTGAAGATGAAAGTATGTATTATTAATAGTAAAAATCAACAAAAATATGGTCCGATCTTGAATGATTGCTTAATAATTTTTATTATTTAATTGTAATACAACAGAATGGGATGTAAACCAAAAGGAAGAACAAGAACAATTAGAATGGGAAGAAGATTGGGACGATGAAGATGTGGACGATTTTTCGAAACAATTACGTGAAGAACTCAAACGACACGAAATGCAAGACGATCAATAATTATTTATTCATTAAACAGTCACCATTTACAACCCATTATCATTCCCTCCATCCCTAATACTCTTCTGCAATAATTCTATCATTGTAGATGTGCTTTATATTCCATTGTAAAAATAAAAACAAATTGCTTATTTGTAATGTTAATAAAAAATTTATTGTTTTGTTAGAGCAGTAAACAGAGATTCAGCTCTGGAGTAATAACTCTTTTTGGAAACTGAAGAAGGTGATTGCATCGGAGAAGCCGATAATGGAGAAGATGTTAAGAAGCTAGAAGTCTTAGAACTGAATGGTGAATAGCTTAATGAAGAAATATCTCTTTCTGGTGTGTATGGAAGTTTGTCAGAAGGGGATTTGAAGGCGTCAAACTTTTCAGCTGAACCATTAATCTTGGAATTGATTAAATTGAAATTAACACCCATTCCAATAATATTGGTTGTAACAGGAGTACTTGTAATTGAGGAGGATCTTTGAGGTTGAGGAGTAATACTAACGTCATCAGTAAAATCCAATCGCTTACCAAATCCTTGCTTTCTTTCTCTACCAGTTATTTGGTTTTGAGGAGTGGATGGACTGAAAAGATATGATGGGCTTCCAAAACTATTGTTAATTGGGGATTTCTTTTTTGGAGTATTAATATTTGAGCCAGTTGGACTATCAGATTCGCGTTTACGTTTTCTTAAAATGGAAGGAGAATTAAATTTGAGTGGAGACATGAAATCTTTTGAAGGTGAAAAGAATGGAATATGTTTTGAAGGTGTTTTGGATGGACTAAACAGAATGGAATTTCTATCATGTTTAGGACTGGAAAACATTTCCTCAAAACTGAAGGAAGAATTTAAATTTGAAGTATCATGCTTACTTGGGGAAGGAGCCATGGCAATATCATAATGTAAATTATTTGGATAAACATCAGTGCTCATTTCTGGGTTGTATGTTGGTGGTTGTACAAGAATTGAATTATTCGCATCATTGACTGGTTGAATTTCAACAAATAATGATTCTCCATAACACTCATTTTGAGGTTCATCATACTCAATCAAAGAAGGTGCAATATCAACAACTGATCCTTCAGCTGTAGTAATAGTCTCAGTAACTGTTGTTTCAACTTGTTGTGGAGCCACTGTAAGTGACACCATTGGAGGAATAGTTGGTGGTACAGAACTGGATGGAAAAGTGGATGGAATTTGTGGAGGTTGTGATTTTGGTGGCAACTCATTGAGTTGATCTGTTTTCTTAGATTTTCTTCTCGTGTATTTTCTCTTTGGTTTGGCATTAGGATCTATGAGAGGTGTTGAGCAAGTGGAAGTTGTTGTGCTATTTGTTTGACTGGATACAATTGAAGTTGTACTAGCTTCTGAAACTGTATCTAAACCATCGTCAGACTTTTTCTTAGCAGCACGTCCTCTAGGTTTTGTTGGTGGAAGACCTTCTTTTTCTCTTCGTTCCCTTTCCATCTTTCTTCTCATTGTTGAATTCCAATGATTCTTAATGGCATTGTCAGTTCTTCCAGGTAAAAGTTTAGCAATTTGTGCCCATTTGTTACCATAATCTTTATGTGCTTGATAAATGATACGATCTTCTTCCTCAGTCCATGGTCCTTTGTTGATATCTGGATTAAGATGATTGTGCCACCTTTCACGACATTGTTTACCAATTCTTCCAGGTAAATGTTGAGCAATGAGTGACCATTTTTTGGCACCATACTTTTTAACTAATTCGACAACTTGATTGTCTTCCTCCTGGGTCCATGGTCCTTTGACAACTTCAGGATTCAAAACTTTTTGCCATCTGTGAAGACATTGAACATCAGTTCTTTCAGGGAAATGTTCGGCGATCTTCTTCCAATTTTTGGCTCTATGATGCAAAACAGCAGCCTTTAATATTCTGTCTTCTTCTGGTGTCCATTTTACTTTGGATTTGTCCCTTATAAGAATTAGCTAATAATCTTCTGATTTCACTTACTTTTTAGAACAAGTACTCTCTCCTTCCGATTCATCAGTACTTTCGGATGGATCAGCTTCGTCATCGGAAACAGCATCTTTAGACTTGGATGTCGACACGATGATTGGGGTATTCATTTTCAAGGGTGTATCTGGAGAAATAGAAGCAACAATACCACTCGGTGGAATTATTCCTGTTGCACTTGTATATGGAGATGAATAATTGTTATGGATATTAATTTCTGAGAGTAATCCTGAGTGATGATGAATTGTTCCATTGAACATTAAAAATTGTTTAGTGCCATTTGAATCGGTGGATGGGACAAGTGGAGAAGGATGATGTGGATCCATCATTGGAGGATATGGGGTTGTTGGAGTTGAATATAAAACAGGATTTGTAGTGCTTGTACTTGTGGAAGGAGGAGGGTTAGTTGGGTTTTGAAGAAAAGCAGAGTTAGGTTGTTTCTTTGTTGTGTTAGGGTTCATGATGATTGTTTCGATCAGAGAACTTGTGTTGACTTTGAATTATGGCAGTAACGATATTGCAAGAGGAAGGAAATATTGAATTGGCTTCCGTGATTGGCTATAAAGCAGAATACAAGAATATATTTGTTGAAAGGATTTGATGAAATATTAGATTGCAATCATTTGATATAATTTAATATTACACAAGAGTAGGAAGGTAAGCATCATAAGAAATCAAATACAAACCTCTTTTTAAAGAAAGGTCAAGTTGTTGCCGACCTTGTAACAAACAAGATAATTCCAAGTAGATGATGTCTAATTTTGTATCCACAACTCACCTATGGTTGTGAATGGATGATGCTATAGTAAAGAGGAATTAATTTAATAAAAACTTTGAAATTTTAGGCTTGATAGAGACTACCTAACATACGCTTGTAAGTCTCGTGCTGGATGCTGTGGAAATTTTTTTGGAGTGGTTGAACAAGTGATTTATTTTGGCGCAAATTTTTTTTAACGGCCGTTACAATAACGTTCATTTTTTCAAATGCTTGTTGTATCTAACACAGAGAAAATATCAACGCTAGTCATTTCTTCCTAATCACCTCTGTAGTATTAAACAAAGTTCTTGAAAAATAAGAATTAGATCCTCTTCACAATTCTGCCTCTTTATCTAACCATTCCTTCCCTAATTGACAACTGTTGTGTGGGGGTTATACTCTTCTTTTTTCGTCTTGAGCAGAATAAACTTTTTGAACAGCAAGCATAATACTATAATTGCTTGCAAATTAATGCTGAAGCCAATGGTGATATTTTAATTCCATCGCATGATGTGTTTCACATGCATATCATTATTATGTTTTTTTTTGTGGATTTTCTTGCAACATTTTTTAATTTCTTATTGAAACGATTATTTTTCGCGCCAAAACGGTCAGTTATGTCTCGACAATTGATTATTCCAAATTCGTTGTTTCATGAAGTGATAATTTATTTCGTTGTTCTACGTTTCATTGGAAGGAGTGTTTGTTCTTGATTATTCATTTCATTAAACATAATTTTAGCAAAATTGGAGCATTCTGAAATATATTCTAACTTCCCATCAGTTTGTTGGACCTTAAAGTCAACCACCCTCTTTTTTCTTTTTGGGAAATAGTCACTTTCTGATGGGTCACTAACAATCTCTACATAGTTTTGGATAATATCTTGCTCGATTAATGATTCATTTTGTGTTGAAATAATGTTTGCTCTAAATTTCAAAGTATTAATAATTTCTGTTACTTTTTGATTCAAAATAGGTTGGGTAGGGCTAAAAATTTTCCCAAGACAATATAAATCATCTCCCCAAATCATATCTTCAATTGTAATTATATTAATTTTCATGCATTCTCTCAATAAATCTCCAACAAGATCATTGAAAAATAAATTGGGGAGACCAAGGAAAAAATCAACCACTAACACCTTATAAACTTTCATAAAAAGTTCAGCAGATAACAAATCCTCAATGGAAAAAGAAATGATTTCCTGTTCTTCAAATTCAATTCTTTTAAGAGAAGACACCATTTTCGAAAAATCTTCTTGAGTGAAATTTAACAATTTGTAACAATAAGAATCTCTTAGAGTATAATCAATTCTATCTGCACAAAGCATTGGAAAATCCTTTTCCAATAATGTGTAAGTGTCCAGTTTTAAATTTTCAACAACATCTTGCATGTTAAATTCTTTCAAAATATCCATAAGGGAGAGAGAATTTCCAATATAATTAATAAACTTATCATTTGGAGCTTGAATAATGTTATCCAAAATAGTTTCATGGAAATCATCTTTTCTATTTTCCAAAATAATATCAACCAAGTGGCTAAAAGCTGTATGTGAAATGTCATGTAGTAAACCAGCTAATTGTTGCTTGTGATCTGTTGGGCTGAGTTTTCTAATCAGTAACATAACCCCAATGGAGTGTTCCAATCTTGTGACGTTATACTTGTGAGTATTCCACAAGAAGAAGCCTCCTGCTTGATGAATTTTATCTAATCTTCTGATAGCACTGCATTTAAACAACAGGGAATGCAATAATTGGGAAAATTTATAATCTCGTGTAAAGTCAAAAGAACCGTAAACAGGATCCTGTATTGTCAAAATTATATCATCAGTATGAGTAATTAAAGTTTGACGTTTTTGATCAACATCTCCAACAACTTGGTTCGACGAATAATTGCCAAAGTCGCCGAGAGCAGTAATCTGTGTTCCATTCATTTTTTTTACAGATTTTTGCATCATTCGAGTTAACTCATTGACTTTTATTTCATAAACTTCTTGAGGTATGTAAATTTTCTTCTCTTTTGTTTTTCAGTGAGCTTTTCGTAAGGTGATTGATTATCAACAGGTTGTTCTTCTGGTTTTTGTTCAACAAGAATGGTTTGTTCATCCAATTCAAATGGATCATAACCTTTGGCTTGAATGATCTTTTCCTTCTTTCTCTCAAGAGACTCGGTATGAACATTGACACGATTGAAATCATCAATTTCACCTTCCCATTCCATTTCGTCCTCAGATTCTTCTAATGTAGCCTCTTCTTCTTCATCAGAGTTGTAAATGTCTTCTTCGTCATCATGATATTCTCCTTCTTCTTCGTCTTCACTTTCTGTAAAGTATTCACCATCGTCTTCCAATTCTTCATCATGATTAATGACAATGATTTCATCATTATCATTAAGCATTCCTTCTGATTGTATCTTATCATTTTCTTCCAAATCATCAACTTGAATATTTTCAGGAGGTGCATGGCAATACAGAATTTTACCATCTATGTAATCTTTCAAAATACGACGAGCAGCTGTTGGATAGTTGGGCACGAAATTCTTGGACATCAAACTCTTTGCAATACAAAAAGTCTTAAGTAAATTTTCTGGAGTAACAAATGTCATACGTTGTTTTCCAGGAAGTTTTGGGAACGACAAACCATATGTAAGTTCGAAAACACGTCTAGGAACACGACAACAAACCAATTCTATTGGTGGAATGTGATCTCTCATTTGGTGATCAATTGAAATAATACCATTTACAATCATTTCTTCCTTGGTTGTTGTAATTGATGGGAAAACTAGACCTGGACAGTCAGCAATCATTATACTTTCACCAATTGGAAGTGTTTGGAAATGTTTTGTTTTACCTGGAGTGGAACCAACTGCAACCTTCTTTTTACCACATAACACATTTACAAGTGATGATTTACCAACGTTTGGATAACCGACCATACCAACAACAACTCTACCAATGTCACTCTTCTTATTTTCAGGATTGAACTTATTCATCAAACTCTTAAAGAAGAATAACAATTCAGATCTATCAAAAATATATGTCCAATCTTTTTCTTGGGGATTTTCATAATTAGTAGTATCGAATGAATCTAGTTCCTCTTGTTGTTCTTTTAAAAGATCTTCTCTGGTAATTTGACGATTTGCAATTTTAGAAATTTCATTCAAAGCAGAGAAGAAGATAAAGTTAATCTTCTTCTTTTTAAAGTAGCATGCCCATTTGAATCTTTGCTTTTTTGTAAGCAAATCAGCCTTATTCAAAAGTAAAAAGTTTTCCTTTGATGAATCAACCTCTTTCACATACTTTTCTAAATCTTCACTTTGAAATAATAATGGATTACGAGAATCTACAATTTGAATAACAATGTCACTTCTCTCCACAACACGCCATAATTGTCTCCAAACTTCAATGTTCTTTTCATATGGTGTGAGTGTAGCATCATAACTTTCTTCAATCTCTGCCAAATTTCTTCTCCACTTTAAGAATGATTCGGTTTCAAATTGAATGAGTTTCTTCTTTGCTAGTTCATTCTTTTTTTCCTTTTTCTTCTTTTTCTTCTTTTGTTCGGGCTCAGTTGACTCTTGAACATAATTCATCAAATCATAGGCTTCCTTTGGTCTTCTAGGTATTGGTAATTGTATTCCCATTTCTTGTAATTCACGAACACGTTCATAAATTTCATCTTGTGATTTTTCCTTCAAAACCAATGTTCCTTCAGCATAGGCTTCATCGTCATCATCTTGATTTTCCTCATCTAAAATTATTTCATATTATTTAAAAAAATTATTAATCAATGATAAAACATACCATCTCCTTCTTCTTCTTCATCCCTATCAACGACATGAAATTCTCTCCGAGAGCCATCTTCATCAGTATGTATTAAAACAGTAGCACTATCTTTTTCATACTTTTTTAAGCTCATCTTGGCGTTTAACATTAAATCTTGGAGATCTGTTGTTCCAATTAAACTTTCCAATTTTCCTCTGCCTTTGTTGAGCATATTGTGCATGATATTATCTTCACGTAAAATTTCTTCTTCGATAGGAAGTTCATCGGAGCCCATGGTTACGGTTTCTTTACCCAATATTGCATCAGCAACTGGTTCTTGATGTCTATCAGAAAACACCTTGTCCTTCTTTCGGTTACGAGCTTTTAAAATTGTTTTACCTAATCCTCCGGATTTATTCTTGGTTCTTGTTCCTGGCATTTTTTTGATTCAATTATTTACGTGAATGGAACAATTTAATGATTATACCAATTTTTTTACTTTCTGTTGTTGATCAGTGTTTTGTTGTGAGTGAAAAAGTGTGATTACATTTGAGAATTTCCTGTGTTTGCATTTGGGAAAGTCTGTTGCTTATTAAAAACACCTTTGTTCTTCCTAGAAGATCTCCTGTTGCCATTAGCATTGGATTATGTTTGTTGAACTCTAGACATGAAAGAGCCTTTCCATCTTGTGAAACGTCAATATCATTAATTGGCTCAGTTGTGGACTCTAAGAGATCGAACATGTATAGGTGTCCATTGGAGCTGGCAACAGCAACTACCATTGGACGAAATGGAGAGAATTTAGAACAACTACTAGGATCAGTGGATGGTTGCAAAGTTAGAATATCTTTTGTTCTGAAAGCATTATATATCCTTACTAATCCGTCACTGCAACAAGACATAAATAAATCCTTATTAAAAGTATTGGCATCAAGAGTGTAAATAATTCCAGTTCCAGAGTCAAATTCAGATTCCATCTTTTCTTCCTTAAAGTTTACATTTGTTTTCTTTAAGGTAGCCATTTTTCTGGTGCTAATCATTTTAGAGTCTGATATCGATAGTTTAAACACATTTCCAACTTCTGTTCCTAAAATAAATGAGCTGTCAAGTGTTGGTGTTTTCTTTTGAGATAGGGCGCTACTGCCAAATAAATTTAAAAAACAAAGTGATGAACCACCCAAAGGAGTAGACTTGAGTGGGCTATTCAGGGCAATCGCGTGAATAGGTTGCTCTAGCTTGTTATGTAAACTCCATAATAATATTTTTCCGTCTCCACTCATACTCAATATAAGAAATGAGTCATCATATCTATTTCTTACCCATTGAAGACTAGTTATTGGATCTCTATGGGAGTAGGATTCAATTGAGGTTTGGCAAAGAAGACTGTCTGTATCCTGATGAAGTTTGTAAACCTTAATACCTCCATCATATGTACCTGCTGCAATAATATTATGCTTATCTGGATGGAATGCTAATTTCATAACGTAACTCTCTTCGTTTTCGATTGTAACTTTTGGTTCTAGGTTGTAATCTGTATAAATATCAGGATTTATCAAAAAGAAACACATATATCCTGGATCAACACACCACCCACTAGCCGAGGGTTTTCCAAAGCTCACACCCAACATGTTTCCTTTACAATTCCAAGATAAGTCAGTTACTGACAATGGTTCATGTAACTTTTTAATTATTCTCTCTGGTAATTTTAATTCGTGAGCTGTTGACATTTCCTCAATATCCACAGACCAATTAACATCGTAATCAATGAACGATAAATAATGAACTGTTTCAGCGTTAATCAATTCCTTTTCCATTTGAGGGTAGACTTTTTTCAAGAATGTAGATATTTCTCCTTCATTGCTTGTTGTTTCATTCCTTACTCTTTTAATAACATCCTCAATTGAGTCCGTTTGTATCTTCCCTTGTAAACATTTAAATAATTTACTTCCAACCTACTTCTTGATCGGCCACAATGCCTTGCTCCACTGAAAAATCATTACTAATACATGATGCATTGGATTGAACTCCAGAATCCTCAAAAGACAAACTCATCGTCTGTGTAGAATGGTCTGCACTCGGATTCTTTTTCTGGCCCCACTTTGAATTAAAATTGGCTCCTTGAACAAATCCGAACGAATAGAAAACTTCGTTATTTGCCTTGTTCATCTTGTATTTTTTTGTTGTTTGACCAAAAATTTGGCGCTTTTTTTTGTACAAACATCGACAATATTCACTAAACTTTTTCCAGTGGAGCTTGATTAAATTAATATGGCTCTAATTCATGTTTTGTGAGAAACCTGAAGAAAGTTCCTGACACCATTGACATCACTATCCAAAACCAGGTAAAAATGTTTTAGCCCAAGTAAAAAATTATAATTATTTATTAATTTAAAAGTAAGCTAAATGAAATTGATAATTTAAACAATTGTCTTTCTAATAATTCTTCCATCTCCACCAGATGTATAGAAAAATTGAGTGCTTATCTCAGACCATGTAACACCTTCTTGAGTGAAAAGTTTCTTCTTTGGGTGAGTGTCTGGATAAAAGTATAATTGTTTCTTTAAATTCTTCATATCCCAAACAGTTATGTGACCATTGGAGCAACCAGTAACAAAGAAATCTTCTGTAACATCAATATTTAAAACTTGAATACTGTCATGTTGAGTGGAGGTCTTTTGTAAAAAACCATAACTTCCATCTTCTGCATCAAAGATGTAAATATCTCCCTTCTTGGTACCAACAAGTAATAGTTTATACTTGTAAGAATAGCGAAGGGCAATTGGTTCATCATTGTTAGGGAATAAGTAATAGAACATTTTAGCATCTTGATTTGGCAAGAATAAATCCCAAATACACAATTCGCCTCCCTTTTGTGATTGTCCAATAGTTGCAATCAAACTGCCTGACTCTAAAAATGAAAAATCATTTACCTTAGTGCCATGACAATGTAAATGATAAAAGTAATGTAGACTTTCCTTGGATGCTTCAAATCTCCATAATGTAAGATAACCTGATGTATCTGTGACACCAAATTTGTATCCAAATCTGGAGAAACGAATGTTAGTAATTGGTGATGTACCAGGTTCTCTATAAGTTCTCAAAGCATATTGGAATCCATATTGCCACATGAATACAGAACCATCTGCACCTCCAGATATATAGAAAGGTAAAAATGGATGAGATACTAAAACGTTGGCTGTTTGATTTCTGTCAATTTTTCCAACTTTTTTGACTGGTTGTTTAGATGGAGGAACATTTGATTGTCTTCTAAAATGAGATGCAGATGGAGTTGTAGTCGTGAAGGAAGGTCTTTTACCAACAGAAAATCTTTGTTTAAGCTTGTTCATATAAGAATTGCTTGAATCGACAGAAGACATTGGATTGGAGAAACCAATAAACTTTTTCAAATTCTTGTTGGACATGGCTTCATCATCATTTACCGTATCTAGGAAGTCAAAAACGTTAAAGTTTGAAATGCTTGGAACTTTAGCAATAGAAGAGGACTGCTGTACAAACTTGGTATTATTTACATCCTTGGCAGCAATTTCATCAAATCGGTGGAATGATTGATCCCAAGTATTGGCTTCCTCATCTAAAAGTTTGTCAAGTGAAGGATTTCTCTTTCTGTATCTAATAGAATGTTCAATATTAATCTCTCTAATACATTTGCCAGATGCATATGCCAAATAGCTTGGGTTATTGGAGTCTACACAGAAAGATTTGATCAATTCTTTACATTTGACAATTTCAATATCTGCAGAGAATTTCAAAACTTCATCTGATTCTGTCTTTGAGAAGTCGGAGGAAGTTTCGGTAGTGTTCTCACCACTAGCAAATTTTGCTAGACTACTATTGACGCTTACGGAACTGCTAATATTTGGTTTTGGTTTAGATGATAAATCCATCAAGTAGCTCCATAATTGTTGGGAAGTTGGATCAGACTTGAAAGTATCGAAAATCTTTTCATCCTCTAACCAATGATCACTAATACAAGACAAGAGAAGATTTTGTTGTCCTCCAACTTGTTCCAATCCCAACTCTGGTAGAGCATGTGCCAATGAGTGGAAATGATCCTTTGACGATTGAGTACGTTGATGCATTTTCTTTGATCCATGAGAAAGGGTTTCTACCATGCTTGATAAATTATTTCTTGTTGAGAGTGCGTTTACATCTTTCAAATTAGGAGCCCCATGCTCAGAGACAGTGTATACTTCCATTTCTCTATATTGAAGTCGTCTTTCTAAATGGGAGCACCACAATGCAGAACATGAAAGAGCAGTTTGTGCACAGAGTGAATATTGTTGCTTATTGATATCATCCCTCTTCTTTTGGGATTGTTTGACAAATCCAGAGTAGGTTTCATCATAGGCATGTTCAATAAAATCCTTTAGAGTTGTTGTAAACTTGAACACTACAAATGCATCAAACATTTCCCAATGAAATTGCTTTTCAATTCTTTCAACATCCTCGTTTCTATCACTTCCAGATTTTGTGGTCTTGTTGTGATAGTTTTCGAGAAGATTTTTGTAATAGTCTTTCTTCTTCTCAGCTTCTTCTTTGTTAATGATCAAACCGGATGTCTTATTGACAGGAGCTTTTTTCTTTCTTTTCTCTTCTTGGTCAATTTCCTCTTGCATTGCCTTGTTTATCTTATTATCCAACATCTTTTTCTTGAATTTTTTGTGGAACATGGCCATTCTATCGAAAAGTAAATGATAAAACTTGTCAAATACTTCTTTTCCTTCAAAGCTTGGACGAGAGGACAACGAATCTCTTTCCTTTTTATCAAAATCTTGATGAAGAGTAAAAAGTGTGAAAAGCCCCTCAAAATCACGGTTAAAGTATAAAATTACAAACATCATTGTCTATTCAAGTTAAAAATGATCTATGTTTTTTTCAAAATACTTACTAAAAGAGTTGATGAGAGATCTGATTGTTGGTGTTCGGTAATGATTACCTTATTGCTCTTCATTCTACTGTAACAATGGACATATTCCTTTAGTAATCCTTCTAAAACGTTAACTTGTGATTTTCTTAATTGATTCTTGATTACAAGAGAAAGTGTGTTTTCAACTTGATAAACAAAAGATTCCAAAATTCTAAGAATTGAACTTGGCTTGGAGCAAAGTAAACACCTTGCTGCTAATAATCCATTGACTCTTGTGAACACTTTGAGCTTTTTGATTAGCATTTGTTTGTCAATATCCAATTTTTCAACAAGCTCATCAATATCTGTCATTATCTTCTTATGATTCTTGTCCCAGTCACTGTGGTAATTTGAATTGGTACGATAACAACAATCATAAAGTTCTTGAGAAATGATTGTGAGGGCTGTTTTGAATTTGAGAAGTTCAGTAAGATCAGTTTGTTCTTTAGCATCCTCAATGGAAATAGTGGAAGAGTTCAATTGCTGTTGTTTAGTGTTACCCATTCCCATACCACTCATTCCACCAAACCCACTCAAAGTTCCACTTGCAAGATTTCCTGATGTGCCTGATCCTCTCATGGAGTTACTCATTCCCATATTGTTCATTCCACCAAATCCACTCAGAGTTCCACTAGATAGATTTCCAGAAGCCATGGAATTACCCATTCCCATACTGCCCATACCAAACCCACTTAAAGTTCCACTTGCAAGATTGCCCGAGTTAATGGAAGAAGTCTTACTCATTGAATTACCCATTCCCATACCACTCATTCCACCAAATCCACTTAAAGTTCCACTAGACAAATTTCCAGAAGCCATGGAATTACTCATTCCCATACCACTCATTCCACCAAATCCACCCAAGGTACCGCTAGATAAGTTGCCAGATGTCATAGAGCTATTCATACCCATTCCCATACTACTCATTCCGCCAAACCCTCCCAAAGTTCCACTTGTCAAATTTCCTGAAGTACTAGGTGTAGTTTTAGGTGTCCCAAAGGCTCCCATATTGATTTGACCAGACATTAAATCATTTTGTCCAGTTGAAGTATTCAACTTTCTTTTAGAAGTATATTGTTCCATATTTTTAAGTTTCAATAAATGTTCTAAACAAAGTGTGTAAAGTCCAACTTGGCTATAATAATGAGCAGTTCTTAATAATATTGGAAGAGCATGCTTTGCAACAAGATCTGATGAATTCAAGTGTGGCTTGGAATCTACCTTAATACAGAATGCAAAAAGAGAAGGATCAAAAGCTTCATTCTCCTCTCCTCTCTTGATGAGTGTTTCAATGGATGTTTCATACTTTTTCAGTGTCCACAAAATAACACCTTGCATCCATACATCCTTGCTTTCAGTGTATCGTTGATAGAGTTCATTTTCCAACATGTTCTTACAGAAATTACTATCATCACCACAATATAGACGAGCAATGAAGAAAGCTAAATCGTATTCTTTGGCGCTTTTGATGAGAATACTGATAGCGTCTTTAGGATTATCAGCAAGTAAAAAATATGCGGCAGCATAGTAATAATCCTGTCTACTAAGTAAAGTATAGGCATTCTTAGATGCTGCTACTCTACATTTTTCATCTGTGAAATCCTTATTTAAGAATTCAGCAACCTTCTCATTACCTTTGAGTTTGAAAAGTCTAGCCAATGCTCCTTTCTTCTTAATAGCCATATAATACAAAGCACATTTGGTAGGATCATTTGTTTCCTTATAAATTTCTGTTGCAAGTCGTTCAGCAACCTTTCTCAAAGAATTATTATTCATCCAGTAACAAACACCCAACTGTTCTACAAGTTTCCAACAAATATCCTCTTCTTCTGGGCAAATCATACGCCATAATGAATCCTGTGTTTCAGAAAGTAAAGCCCAAGCTATCATTGAACTGTTTACCTTTTCTATTAATAAATTATCATGCTCCGTTGATGATTTTGAAGAATCCCTCATTTCGGGTTTTCTTTTATCGTATAGAAACTGTAAATACTTGACTGTCACAAGATATCTGATACCAGCTGGATCTAAGGCTTCAGGATTTCTTTGAAGCTCAATAAAAGTGTCAACTACAGCCTGTAAGTTCATTTGCTCTATCTTTGAAATGCCAGGTAAGTGAATACTACTTTTAGAAAGGAGAGAGTTTAAATAATGGACATCGGAATAAATGTTAATTTCTTCTTCTTCAGTTTCTGTCGGGGTTTCCTTCTTTTGGTTTTCTTCTTTGGCTATTTCTTCGTCAATATTTGTGAACTTGTCAAGGAGTGTTCTTCTCTTTTGTACAACAGGTTCTGTCTTCTTTGATTCTTCCTTTAAGAGAGAGGTCACTTTAATTGATGGAATTTCCAATAGGTGAGAATAGTCCTTGTCCTTATTTAGATATTCTTCAATTTTATCATTCTTCTTCTTTTCAACCAAATCTTCATAAATCTTCAAATGCTTAACTAAATGATGTATAATTGTCTTGATTATACTAAATCTTCCATCCATAAGTAATTCTAAAAGGAAATTTGGGTGATAGTCTACTAGTCTTCTGTGCGTAAGTAAGGATTCTGTATTAAGAGTTGGTTCAGATGCCAATTTGAAAAGAGACATTAGAGCAAGAGAATCATCATTTTGTTGAGTCTTTGTGTACACATGCAAAGATGAACCAAAAGAGGCGATAATAGCCTTATCCTTTGTAACTGTAATTTTGGAACATGGATGACCTTTAACTGAAGGCATAAATTGTGTAACCTTTTTCCAGTATTGTTTTTGTTGTTTGATTATTCCTGGAGGTATCTTTGATTGAGTGTAGTACAATATCTTGGAATCTGTTCCAATACAAATAACAAACTGACCGTCTCCATAGCTCAACCATTCAAAATCGTGCACGAAATCACTCTCTGTATTGATAGATTGTTCTAATGTGTATGTTACATGGGATTCATTTTCCCAAATTTTTACACAACTTGAGGAAGAGGTTGTAGTAGCAATTCTAGAAACCAATTCACAGCACCTAACAGTAGTAATTGGTTCTTTTTCGGCTCTAAACTCGAACCACTTTTGTAATATGAGTTTTTCCTCATCTGTATTAATACTGGCTGTAGAAGAGCTAGAATTGGAAGTAGTGGCGGTAAATTTTCCAAGAAGACCACCAATCTTTGGTTTCGGAGGCTCTTTGACTTCATTTTCCTGTTTTTTCAATCTTATTACAGAGACAGTACCATCCTTATTACCCAGAGTAATAACTACCACTCTTTGATTAGAAAAATACTTCTTAATACTGGATTCATTTGATAAAGCTGTCTTACTCTCTACAGTAAAATGTTTTAAAGTTGTATATAAAATTAAATGACTTACTATGAATATCATACACAAAAGGAACTCCTTTTACACAGTCTGCACTGCAAACGATCTTTTCAAGATTTTGTTTGATAAGGGTTTTACATTCGAATTGATTTACATCATTTTGCTTTGCCTCAACTTGGAAAATGCCAATGGTTTTACAATTCGAAGCAATAGCAACTACCAATGCTCCAATTGAGGAGGTTTTTTCTGGACTAGTAGGAGATGTTCCAAAAGGCAAAACTTTGAGGAACATACAATCAGAAAAATCTTCTGAATTTGGAAGAATAAAATTCAATGAATGAATATTATAGTAAGAAGGTGAAGGTGGAAATATTGTAGATTCATAGATGCTAGAGAGGTTGTGAGTGAGAGGGTTGACTGATTTTACGTGAATGACTTCAATACCTTTGTTTGTTGAGCAAAACAAATGAGGAGAAGTAGGAAACCATGAAATATTTGTTGCATTAATTTGAAAATCTTGAATATTGGTCAAAACATCTTTAGGGCTATAAAATGGTGTATCTCTTATATGCCATGCTACAAGATGGTTATTATCCTTATCTAATGATGCCATTATTGGTAGACTTGGGTGGCATTCCATATTTTTAACATCTCCAATATGTCCTGTAAATACATTAAGTAATTCTAATTGAGGACGTTTAGCCAAGTTTAACTCCCAACTAGATAACATTCCATTTCTACTTTGTACATAGATTGTTAAAATTTTTGGAGTTGTAGAACCCAAATCAAGATTTGAATCATCAGCTGTTTTGTAAACCATTGATACATTTAATGGATCTTCAATACCTTTTAATGCATTAGGCATCTTTATCCACATGGAAGTTTTTGGAGTTCTTCTTGGAAAATCGGCCAATCCTTGTAATAAATCAATCATTAATGTACCATCAGATTGAACTGTTCCTAACCATGTTTGTGATTCGAATAGACCTGTATCAGAACTTGCTTTTTGAAGTTTAGTCTCCAAACTGATCTTTGTCTCACTCTCTAAAATTATATCCTTGTGATCACCTTCATAAGACTTCTTTCTTTTTTTTCTGAGGTATTGTAGAAGTAGCTCATTTGGGCTCCTCTCATTAGCTGTATTTAACCATTGCACATTGGAAGGAGTTTCCTTTTCAATGATAGAACAAACATAAAATGACAAGTCTTCATTCTCGTTTGTTTCACTCCATACACGTACCACATTGTCAATAGATGTTGTCAATAAAACATTAGCTGTAAATTCATCTCTTTGTTGTGATTGTATATCCTTAAATCTCCATGAGATGGAAGTAACTGAACGAGGATGAGGTAAATAAATGTAGGAAAAACTTTCTTCTTCATCATCCTCAATAGTTTGTGAAGTAGATTTTGGATCTACAATAGTAATTACTGGAGTAAATAATGATACTCTGACTTGAGGTTTGTTTCTATACCAAACCTTTACAAGACGATCAAACTTGGACACTGTTGCAAAATATTTTTCATCTGGTGAATATGCAACTAAGTAAATTGGAGTTGGATTGTCATATTTCCAAACCATATTCCATTTCTAAACTATATTATAAATTTCTAAACATAAAGAAACATACATAAACTTGATTTCCTAGAATAGGTTTTCCTTCAAAAATCATTGTAGTTTTTCCACCAACAATTAGTCTATCACCATAAAAATTCCAATCCATGCATTCGAATTCATCTGTTGAGTTAATAACCTGTTCAACAATCCAAGAAGGGCTCTTTTTCAAGGCACCATTGTCAACCTCATCTTCAACTGGAGAATAAATAACAATTTTTCCTCTTGAGCAAGCAGCAATTCTTCCATGAAGATTACTCCATTTTACGCTGGTAATAGTTTCATCATGACCATCCAATAATTGAACAAAACTATTTCCACAATAAACCATAACATGTCTTCCGCTTGCAAAAGCAATCACTTCATCACCCATAAATGTTGACCATGTAAAAGCTTGAGGATAGGGATTAATAGAACCAGGACAAACCTGCCAAGCATTAATCCCTTTTGATCTGTTGATACTTGGTGTTGTCTGTTGTTCCGTTGCATTGGATCCTAATATATTTAAACCGTTTGAGAAGATATTTCCTCCAAACGATGATGAAGAACCAGCAGGTGTAGAGGGAGTACTTTTTGGTGTATTAACCAAAGGAGTAGTGGTTCCGCTCGAAACACCGTTAAACATTTTTTTTAAATAGATTTTTTAATACGTAAATCTAAAATAGGTTTATTAATTTAATAAATACCTAATTATTTTTTATTTATTTATTAAAAATATTTTTCGTCACCTTTTGCAAAGTAGATGTAATTTTAACGAAATAATTTACATTTTATTCTAAAACCATTTTTTCTTCATTTTCCTTTTGTTCCTTACTTCCATTATATACAAGTCTATCAAAGGAGCCAAATATTTTTTCCTTATCAGGAATATCAAGGTTTGTTAGGATGGCAGGTATCTTTGACATTATTTTTGGAAGTTTGGGTATTGGATTTTCTTTTGTTAGTTCATCACTCGACAAACAATGTGCAAATATACAACAATTTTCATCCTTTACATTTTTTTGAACAAAAGTCTTGTACCAAAATTCCAATTCCTTTACATGATTAATGTTTGAAGGATTATACACTATAATACATCCGTTCATGTCCTTCATTATTGCAGGCCAACAATTTTCGAAATTTCGATCTCCAGAAATATCCCAAAGTTCTACCGACACCTTTTCCATTGATTGCATCTCTCTATCACATTCGCAAATTCTTAGACCCATAGTTGGTCTGTATTCATTTGAAAATTCCTTATATCCACTAAGAAAATTACAAATAGCACTCTTGCCACTCTTTTTTGGTCCAACAACAATAAGTTTTACAGTTTGTGAGTCACTCATTTTTTTTGTAGTTTTATTGGCACTCTCCCGCCAATATGCAAAAGAATAAGAATAGAATTTGTAAACCGGTTATTTCTCTTGAAGTTTTCGTCCACCATTCGAATGTTAGAGGTCATAACCGATATTTGATGCTGGTACCTTATTGCACCACTTAAAAATTTAGAGTCCCCACTAAACAATAACGGGCAACAAATTGAAAAATTTGCCAAGTCAAAAAAAGACACCAAACTGGCTTGAACGATGCACTTCACAAAACCAATTGAAATTCCTCTCAACAGGTCCACATACCACGAATTAGACTACAATAGATATTGCCAACACTTTAGAACTATTTCTAAACCTACCACACACCCATGTGTTAGTAAACAGAAGAAACCTATTCTGTTGGAACATCCCAAGATGCTTTCAAATTTGCACAAGAACTTTTCTTCACAATCCATGAAAAAATTGGAGAAAGAAATATTGTTTTCACAACCTATTTTGAAACAATCATATGCGCTGCATGAAGATGAGCTATTAGAAGAAATGGTTTGCATGATTAAGAATCATAAACTCGCAAAACAAAAGGTCAACTCTACACAAGAGCCAGTTCATCAATCAGATAACGAAGAAACCAGAAGATTATTTGTTTCCAATTCACTTACAATCAAATTTCTAGAAGAACAGGATGTTGTCTTGATTACAGTATCTGAAGAATTACAAATTTCACAAGTGGTGGATGCCAATTTTCATTTAAAGGTTGGGAGAATTGTTAAAAAATTAGAGTTTGATGAGTGTTTAGTAGAAGTTGGAACTAATGACATTGTTACTGTGCCATCATTCTGTCTCTGTCTAGAAGATAGGGTTTTGTTTGATAGAATGCAAACTATGAGAAATAAGATGATATTCAGAAGAAGCAATGAAGAAATTAATGAATTGGAAATATCAATGGAAGAAAAACAAGATGTTTCCTCAAAACCAAAAAGAAAGTTCAAGAGTTGTTGAGCTGTCAAATTAATTTGTAAAACAACAAATGAATGGTAGAAAGAACTTAATTGAATTAAATGAGAAAGAAAGCTTAATGAAGAATTGATGTATGAATTCAAATCAGACAATTTGATAATATTTTACAACAAACCAGTTAACAGTTTTTTGCAATAAAGTGCAATGTACGATCAATCATAAAGGTTTGAAGATTTTAAACAACGTTATTACCATCTGGCCAAGTTTTATTTTTTAAAAAGAGAAGAAATGATCACCACGTTTCATTTCTAATTTTTCTTCCAAAACCTTCTTCATTGCAGCCAACATTGGTGGAGGTCCACACATTAAAATATTCATCTTATCACCCTTTGCTGGCAAGTACTTTTCAATCAATTCTTGAGTAATAAAACCAACACCTTGAGTCCAACCAGCTGGTGGTTCGTTCAAAACATTGAAAAGAGTAAAGTTCTTGTGTTTAGATGCCAATTCCTCGAGTCTATCACGCAAAATGATATCTTGTTCAGTCAAATTACCATATAATAAACTAACTTCAGTCTTGTCATCTTCATGTTTGAGAATTTCTTCAATAACTTGTAACATTGGAGTAATACCAGTACCACCGGCAATCATACCCAATTTGTTATACTTGTTCTTTTCATATGTAAAACGTCCCTTTGGACCACTAACCAAAATACTTTCTCCAACTTGCATATTTTCCAAATGTTGGGTCATTAATCCTTTTGGATAAATTTTGGCAACAACATCGAAGAATCCCTTATCATCATTAGATGATGTTGGTGTATAGCTTCTAGCGATTTCTTCTCCATTGATTGAAGCCCTATTACAACAATTATTCCGATTGTTAAAAAGGATAGTAGATTACACTTACTTCAAGGAAATGTGTTGACCGACTGGTAAACCCAAGCACTTTCCAGTTGGAAGTTCAAATCTAAAGAGACGAACTGGGCATTTAACTTCAGGACCATCGGTAAGAGTGATCTTTTTGATGAGTTTGAATGGTCTATATTCTTCGGTGGAGAGAACACCTTCACTCTTTACAGCAGCAGTAGTATTACTGGTAGTGCTGATTGGTTTGGTTGGTTTACTACCCATAAGTTTTTTAATTAAAACTGAAAAAGCTACTATAGCAAAAGCTGTTACTCCAAGTGTTGTCAAATCTCCGGAGAGAAGTCTTTCAATT